CGAACCCCCCACCTGGTTCCTTCCCCTCTTATCTCCCCGCACACACAATGGCGGAGCAGGCGGAACTGCGTAACAAAACAAGCACGCAGACAACGGGTCTCCTTCACATCGAAATGCTTTTTGTGTGTTTAGTTTGGGTGCCTTCCCCCGCACCTCCGATTAGCGCGGTTGGCTACGTACGGTGCGAAAGAAGTTCAACGTACTCGCAGTACGTTTGCAGTAGTCATACCTTTCCCCAACGCTTGCTTTATCGAACCGCGTGTTTCGGATATGCACGGTTTACCTATCGAGGTACGTTTCTTGGAACATGGGGGCGATGTTTTGGCTGCTATAGTATACAATTTGAACTTATATGCTTATTTGTATTTATTTAAGGCGCGCCACGGCGGCGTGATGTTATCTTCCTTGCCTGGTGGTTCTAGTTTGCATGTTCTCGGCGTGGGAGAGTGGATTCTTCTCCAGGTCGTCCGGGTTTTCCCTCCACATTTAGAAACATGCGTTTAGACTATTTGTCCGATATTAATTTCCACGCGATAAGCCACTTTTTTTTATTAAGGTTTCATTTGTGGCCAGGTCGCTTCTGAAAAGGAGCTCATGCTCAGTGGGCGTTACCTGGTATAATAAAAATAGTTAATTTAATTTGTTTTAGTGATTTTTTTACCTTTACTATACTTTGCACTCCCGTCGTGTTTGTACTGTTTGTTGTTGTACCATTCGGACCCGTCCCCTCCTGGACATCTGTGAAAAGAGCTTTATAGCTCATCGGATTCCTCCAGTGCAAATCAAGATTCTGGTATACGCGGTTTGAAGCTGCCAAGATCCTCATCTCCGTGCGACGAAAAGTATTGCGCAGTTCACTTGCAGATTCTGCAGATTCGTGTCTTGCCGTCTTACTTCTCACGCCGTCTTGCTCCTCACGCCGCGAGCACTCTCCAACATCATCACCATCATTTCTAGATTTGAAGCTTCCGTGACTGCGGATGCATGCTCTTTGTTTTTTTTCGGTAAAGTCACGTGACTTTACCGACAAAACCAAAGAGTATCACCACCATCACCATCATCACCCTAAGTAAAAGAACACGAAAATCTGTTTCACTTTTTCAAATTAAAATGGATGCAGTTTATCACCTAGGCTTTCGCGGCCTATATTATTCACAATAAAGGTTTTTGGGTGAGGTCGCGTAGTGTATAAATGTGTCGTAACCCTCCACCACCCGACACATCCAGCAAGGTTCGTCACGTGAACAACGCGCCAGCTGGTTCCTACTGCAGCCCTCCGTGGTGTTGGAGAGTAAATCCACGACATTTACAATTCCAGTTCCCCGTGACGTCTCGCCGGGAGCTGCATCAGCCAGCGGCATCGGGCGATTTGCCAGAATCGAGCAGCAATCCACCTGCTTCTGGTTTTACATAGCGCAGCAGGACGAGGTCGTCACTGAAGCCATCAGGTGCAGAGGTCAGAGGGCGAAGGAAGGGGGGGCGGTATTGCAATTATGTAATAGATTGGTAATACGTTAATTAGCAAGTGTTGTGGTTGTAAGATATATTACTTAATAATACGCTTCCAGGCCGCACTAAGCCTCTAGCTGTCAGATCGGTTACAATTTTTTGTTTCAATGGATTCTCGAATTAGTCTCGGTGGAGGGTTACGACACATTTATACTTACACAATGTAACCCCACTTGTAATGTGTTCACCATGTATGTTACGTGTGTTTATCCTTTGGCGTGTGATTGACAATGGGGAGGCGGGGTCACGCCGAAGGAAGGGGGGGGAGGTAATTATCGTCACCATCATTAATTAGAGATTTAAAAAAACTTCAGTATAATTCTGCGTCTTAATATATTTTCTATGATCATATTTACGCGTATTATGTGTCTGTTTTTAGTTTGCAGCGATACCAAGCGAGGGGAAATCTTGTATAATTGCTTCAAGAAAGAGACAGGGGGTGATACATTCGGGCCCAGCAAGGCAGCGCGATGTTTCGTGATGGTGTCTTATTTTAGTTTTTCCCAACACGGCATTTCCCCAGAGTGTAACGCCCGCGTTCGGAGAGACATGACTCTGTCCCGTCTCTCTGTCTATCTAAAACAAAAAGTAGATTTTACACATCTTCTTGGTTTTTTCGGTAAAGTCACGTAGAAGGGAAATAATAAAATAATAAAAATAAAACATAATAAAATACAATTCTCACGACGTTTCGGCCACAACGCAAGCAGGTCTGTCAGCTGTCTTTCCGACAGACCTGGTCTTCACCTGAGGACGGCTGCTTGCGTTGTGGCCGAAACGTCGTGAGAATTGTATTTTATAATGTTTTATTTTTTATTATTTTATTATTTCCCTTCTACGTGACTTTACCGAAAGAACCAAGAAGATGAATCCCTGCAGTCACGAAAGCTTTAAATCGAAATAGACTTTACACAACCCATCTTCCTCACGGTTCCACGGGCATTCCGAGAGTGGCGACATTCATCAGCATTCAGTCCCAATTCAACTCGAGATCCCGATTGGGAATCAAACCCAGGAGCTTCGTGCCTCGAGGCGCGAGTGTTCGTACCGAGAAACCCTGCCCACCCAAGGCACCACCTCGGCTCCCAAGATGACCCAGCCTCCCGCGCGCGCATCCCCCCACAAATGTTCAACTTTCCCGAAAGGCGACATTCTTAGCATTCTTACATCAAACCCCGGCGACTAAAAAAAACAACAACCCCAACCACAGAATCGGCAGGTTCCGCGAGGACCTCAGCCGCTCGCCTACCGGTCTGTCTCCCTGCCGGGGGCTGATGCAGTCACAATCGATAATTTGTTTAATAATTTTCATATCGGTACCCCCTCCAGCACTTTTCATTTGACCTATACGGAGCTCAAGCTGCTCACTACTTCCGCATGCACATGCCTCATCATTCACAAGCTGATTCCGCATGCTCTGGCTATTCGCGAGGATATGTCGGATGTGTGTTATGTGTGTACGGCGAACTTCTTTCGCACCGTACCTACCAAACCGCGCTAATCGGAGGTGCGGGGGGGATAACAAACTAATTACGAAAAAGCAGTTCTAGAGAAATGAGTCTGTCAATCTAGATGATGATTTCAAATTTGCATAGCCGCAGCGGCTTCCTAATATCGGAAAGAGGAGAGCGTTCCAGACGGACTGCAGAAGCGCATCCGAAAGCGCCGCGCGACGACGGTGATGATGATGATGATGCGGTGACCGCCGCCGTCTTTGCTCGACGGCTTAGCAGCCAGAAGCAGCCAGAAGTAGCCAGCAGCCGCTGCCGCTGCTGCTGCCTCTACCGCCGCTGCCGATGTTGCTGCTGCGCGGATGGCCGGAGTTGGCGCGGCGCTGGTTGATGCTCCTTGACGCGATCGGCGAGCGCATTTAAGATTCGACTCTTTCTGACTCGGCGTGCTCAGCGCACGGGACACGTGGCTGCTCATTCTGATGGCTCGGGCCAACGCCCCTTGACATTCGAGCCTTTCATTGCGAGCACAAAAACAATCGATTGTTAATTATGGACGAATCCATCCTCGCACGACTATTGCTTAGTGTAATAAACTTATTTCTTTCTGCCCCGATTACAAGAAATGGCCAATTGCTGAATTTGACTTTCGTCATTTCTGAGAAACTGTATTTTATATTTGAAGAAACAAACAATCAACAACCCCAATATGGAATCGCCGATACATTGCGATTTTAGTTTGTTTGTTATAGGTCACGAAGGGTGCTCACCAATGTTGGGTAAGAGAGTCCAACTGTGATCACTTCAGAGTGCTAATGTGGTACTACGTCGTGGGCTTCTCTGTGGCACGGCACGTGCACCGATGCCTACTTCATTGAGGGCGATATTGGCAAGCAAAATATAGATTGATCGATCGATCGCTTGCTCGATAGCAATTCTGGAAGGACGATCCATCGCCTACTTGAATGTCTCACGCAATCTTGGGATAGGGCCCAAATTTTAAACAATATCGAGACTTGTGTCTTCATGTTTCCGAGCGGAGGGGGGGGGGTCTCAGCTGTGAATTCGCAGCCTGTTCTCTGTGCTTCCACGGGGGCAGCGTTAGTGGGGGAATTAAGAAACCCGCACGTACGAGAAGATACACTTATCAACGCTCCTCCGCACATCGAAAGTCTCTTGGAAGAGCCGTCGGCTCGCTCGCCACGTCCCCTCGGGCAGCGAGGGCGTCTCGTTTAAAAAATAATCACAAATAACGACGGCGAGCCTCGGACTCGCGGTGATCACTCCCATCACTCGGCGTGCTGCCGCCCTCACGCATTTCAAGTTGCCCGTTTATTTTCGTTTCTTTCTTCTCAGGTATGTATAGCCCGAGTCACTGCCTCGGGGTGGATTCAAATCAACAACAATGACAACAGCAACAGCTCTTACGCAATTAGCCGTACGTGAGATGCCACGCATACGTCAGATGCCGCGCATAGTTCGCGTGGAGATTTTGTCTCGGGGAAGAGAAATCACGACTTCAGATTATTTATTTTTACGATCCTTAGATGTTATCATTTAACTGCCAGGCCGTCGTGGCACGTACACACTTAAACATTCACAAACACAACACACATCTATTAAGGCAGGCAGATATGGAACTAACCGAAACTATTTTTTTACTTTACCAGGTAAAGCCCACTGAGATATTTAGCAGTTTCTCTGAAGCGACCTGGCCACAAATGATAGCTCAAAGAAGTTGCTTGTTACGTGGAAATTTATAGCAGCTAAATATACTCTAAACACGTGACGTTGATTCTAAATGTGGAGGGAAAAGCCGGAGGACCCAGAGAAAAATGCACGCGACCATGGGGAGAACATGCAAACTCCAAATATATATAGGGTCGTAATCGAACCCACGACCTCCTGCATACCAGGCGAGGTAGTTAACATCTCCTAGCCACCGTGGAGCCCACAGTGGCGAGATGTTAATGACGACACTGCTGATGATGACAATGATGCTGCTGCTGCTGATGACGATGACGCCATTGCCTGTTCCAGTGTCACAGGTGGTGCCCACCGTGGTGAACCCCAACCTGCTGGGAGCCGTGACGCAGACGACGGTCGCCCTCCAGGCGCCCTTCTGCAGCGCCCTGGATACGGAGGTGGCGGCTCTCGGCTCGGTCGCCGCCAACCTGCGGCTCTTCGTGGTGGCCACGGCGCAACGTGAGTGCCCGCTCCAGGCACCGCGCGTGCTCCTGGAGCAGCGATCTTCGCTCATTTTCAGAGGGGGGCGGGGCACTTGAGCCGATAAGACATCGTCAGAGTGAGTGAGGGCTGCCGCCAAACATTTGAAACCAATGCCAATGTTGGGTTTGAGAGCAGCACGATGATGGTGATGATGGGGTGGTGTTGTCACTGTGTGTGTCTTGTCGGGGACGCCGCACGTCAGGGGACGCACTAAAGGCCACCAGGGGGGCCGCCAGTGGGGGCCTTGCAATGAAGACTACTGGGATAGAGTGTTACCCCTTGCAATGAAGACCACTGCTCTAAATATTTGAAGTTTGGATGTTGAAACTGTATGTTGAACTTCTTTCGCACCGTACGTAGCCGACCGTGCTCGTCAGAGGTGCGGGGGAAGGACAACAAACGAAACATAAAAGCAGTGAATTCCAATCTGGAATGAGTTTTCAGTCGCGTTGATGTTGGACCAACATTGTGACAACGTCAACCAAAGTCGGGTTGGCCCAACGTTGGCATGTTTATACCAGGAGGTTAGACTCTCCAAAACTAACAACCACCTTGAAATCTTTTGGCTTTCGTAATCGAAACTCACGACGACGGAAGTTTCCCCTTCGGCGCGAGTCCGCCGCCGCAACGCAAGGCGACCGAGAGTCAAAGCCTCACCAGTTGGATGAACAATTGGCAACCAAAAAAAATGTTTATGAGAAAAATATCCAAACCCCACACCGCCCCCCCAACCACCGACCCCGTCCATAGGCAACGTGAGCAACGAGATGATCACGAGCTCGTCGATCGGGCTCGACAAGGGATACGCGGGCTCGGGCGCGGGGAGCAGCAGCTGGTACGTGGCTCTGGGGGGCCGCCCCCTACTAAGCTGCACCGGCTCCCCGCCGTCGCTGTCGATGTCCACCAGCTACTACCGCGTGGGTGCCGACTCCATGTGCAGCGTGGAGGTCACGTGCAACGGGCCACTCAAAGCCGGCACCTACTACTGGTGAGATTTAAGAATACGTGCACAATAGAGGGGTTTTTTTGGGGGGGAGTTAGGTCGCGTAAATATATGAATGTGTCGTTAAACCCGCCACCACCCGACACAGCCAATTAGTAAGGTTGAGTGTCACGTAAACAGAACGTGCCAATTCGTTACTAGTACAGCAAATCCACAACATGCGTGTTATCCGTAAGGTTTTTTTTGGTATGTGGGTTAGGTCGCGTTATTCTGCTGTTATAAAATGTCCAAATGATGAGTCGCTTCCTTGAGCCTTCATTTGTGGCCAGGTCGCCTCTGAAAACTAAGTGAAAACCTCAGTGTGGTCTGCCTGTTACGATGGGGATGGTTTACTTTTAATTGTAAGTGTTTTTGTTTTGTTTGTGGTTGTGACGTTCTTAGCCCGTGCCCCGACTGGACACCTGTGAAAAAGAGCTTCATAGCTTATCGGATTTTCCCATTATAAATAAATATTCTGAAAAAAAAAATCTGAAATGTAACCTTGCCATGAAGCTGAACTAGCAACGAATTGGTCGCGTTTTGTTCACGTGACACTTAACCTTACTTGACTGGCCGTGTCGGGTGGTGGCGGGTTTAACGACGCATTTATATATATTACCGCGACCTCACTCCCCCCCAAAAACAAACCTCTATTTGGAGATAAATACCTTGGGGACACCACAAGCAATTGAGAAAGGGATGCAGGGAGCGATTGCAAGGGCGAGTCTGCTTTTGGAGAAGAGAGCGGGGTGGGGAGGTTGGTGGGAGTTTGGTGCCGTGAGTTTGGGGATAGTCCTTGCCGAGAGCCGGACATCAACACTCGTTGGCTTCACCCACCGCCGCCTGACGAGACTGCCCTCTCGTGGCAGAAGGTTTCGCAGCAACGGGATGTCAGACCCACGTGAAGCGGACAAATGCCAGACGCTCAATACTTTAGTTTTTTCAAAAATCATTGAACCCTTGAGGCTTGACCTGCACGCACAACCCGATCAAGACGAGATGGCGAGAATTGAGAATTGGGAGATAGTGGAGGGAGAGTATTGTAGGCCGATATGCAGTGAGACCCTGGACAATATGTATTTAAATTGGGCATTTAATTATTGTTGTGTTAACCCAACTAGATAGAATGATTTTGTATTATTTCTCTGATTAAATGGTATCAGAAATACATTCTCAATTAAAAATATAAAATCACTCCCATCTTTATAGATAAGTACCTTCATCTGTACGTATGTCTCAAAACCTCAAGGGTATTTCCGACAAGGTAGACCACTGAAATGTGGTGCATGGGTAGCTTTAAGGACACAAACAACAAGAAATATCAGATTTTTTGTGTTTTTTGCGGAAAAATATTAATGTTTGGAGTAGTTAGTGTCTGATCGTAAATACAAATTTCACAATAAATCATATCAGGCCAATTATTATATTTATTGAAAACTTTTTCCTGGCAAAGACAGGCTTGATGAACTAGTAGACTACTATCACGGATAACTGCTATTCGAGAATTAAATCTCCAACGCCTATTGATGCAATGCATCCATACTCTGTTAATATATGTTTCAAGGACAATGCATATATAATCAGAGTATGTTTTTTGTTTGCATTCTGGCCGCAAGCATTGTGGTTAATGCAGACATGATTCCTTGTAAAAGGTTTCAGTTTGGTGTTTTAACATCTTAACACCTGTTTTGTTGCCAGATAAAAGGGGAAAAACCTATTATCATATGTTGGTACTGGCAAAGGAGGTCTCATGAGGTACACACATTCTACTCACTGTTACTGCTCATCCTGCTGCCACAAGAGGGCAGTGTTGCCACGCAGCAATCATTGAAGTCAAAGTGTTCCGTGAAGATCTCTGGGTTTGATCTTCCACGGGGCAGCTCGTGGTCCACCCTGAACCACATCCGCTGCACACACCGTTCTGACGAGCCACGTTAACCGGGATCGCGACGCTGTGACTGCTTGCAGGTTCAAGTACCTCGTGGGAACGGTGGCTACCAACGGGGCCATCAGCGGCGCTTACCTCGAGTCCTCCTGGTCGAAACCCATCCGGCTGAACAAAGGTGCAGCTCCTTCTGTGGCGCGCGTCGCTGAGACGATGGATATCCAAACTGGGTCCTTGCCCGTTCCCCCTTCAACAACTGCCGCCGCACCAGCTTGAAATATCGTCCGATAACTTCCCAAGAACGACACGGCGTGGGAAGGCCTTCATCCAGCAGTGGATTTACAAATCCACTGGGGGTGCCACGGCGGCTAGGAGATGTTAACTACCTCGGCTGGTGTGCAGGAGATCGTGGGTTCGATCCCGACCCTGACACCTGCTGCTGTATATTTGTAGTTTGCGTGTATCTCTCCCCGTGGTCACGTGGATTTTTATCCAGGTCCTCCGGTTTTTCCCTCCACATTTAGAATCAACGTCACGCGTTTAGAGTATTTTGCTGCTATACATTTCCACGTGATTAGCAACGTCTATTGAGCTATCATTTGTGGCCAGCGCGGTTCTAAAAAGAGCTTTATAGCTCAGTAGTGGGCCTTACCTGGTAAAATAAAAATGGTTTATTGTTTACAAATAATTTCATTGCCAATATTATATTATTATTATTTTAATGATGAACGTTTGGTTCTTGACCGCCACTGCCACCCCATGTCCAGCCGGTGACCTCAACGCGATCGGCGTGACCCCTGGGCCGCGGTCGGGCGGCATGGTGGTGGTGACGGTCATCCTGGTCGTGCTCCTCTCCATCGCCTTGATCGGGGCCGGCCTGGTCTTGGTCATCAGCAGGTGTGCACCCAGCACTCGCACAAAGACAAAGACCCCCCCCCCCCCAGCCCCAGTATAGCCTCAACAGACTGTTGGGGCAAGTCCTGTTATCGTGCACCTACGAAGGCCGGCACGGCACATAAGGGGGGTGGGTGGCCAGCGCTACGCCCAGCCGCCTTTGTCTCCCTAGTGGTGATGTTTACTACACACCACACCAGTTACTCGTTTTTCCATAAAGTCACGTAGAAGGGAAATAATAAAGTAAAAAAAATAAAGCATAATAAAATATTACAAAATATAATGTTAGATTTTAATTATTTTATTACTTCCCTTCTACGTGATTTTACCGAAAGAACCAAGAAGATGAATCCCTGCAGTCACGAAAGCTTTAAATCGAAATTTACCAATAACAATGCCTACTCATACCGATAATGAAGCACTGCCGTAATGATGGTGCACCAAGACGGTGGTTGTCAACCGGGGGTACACGAACCCCCGGGGGTACGTGGCAATGCCCAAGGGGTTACGACGTGAGGTGGTTAGTGCGAAATTATACCGCACGTGAGAGCCATCGGTGAATAATCACGTACGAATCTGCCAATATAAAATCAGTACGATAACATTTAAAGCCACATGGCAACCTAGAACGATATAAGAGACCTTTCTAAACTCTATTGATCGTAAACAATGCGGGTTTCCAATAGCAACCAGCGAGCGTGAACAAATGATGTCACGTGTGCAGAGCGTCCGTTGATTTTTTTTATTTGCTTGCAGTCACTTAGCTAGTTAGGTGACCTCACAACATGGACAATTGGTTAAAATATCGATGTTCATTATTCATACAATTATCTCTCAGAACCGTGTTGGGGTCAGGCAAGGGGAGGGGTAACACTCAACAAGGGGGAGAGTAGCCGAAATAGGTTGAGACCCACCGCACTGAGATCTACAGGGCCTATTCCATATGGAGAACTACGGTAACAAGGCACCATCACCAGGCACGAACCCCGGTAACTATGGCAACAAGGCACCATCACCAGGCACGAACCCCAGTAACTACGGTAACAAGGCACCATCACCAGGCACGAACCCCAGTAACTACGGTAACAAGGCACCATCACCAGGCACGAACCCCAGTAACTACGGTAACAAGGCACCATCACCAGGCACGAACCCCAATCACCCGGCGCTTCTCCCGACTCCCCCAAAGGTTCCTGGAGCAAGGTGCGTCCGACGTGAAAAAGACCCCGATTAAGAACAAAAAGGCCCCGATGAAGAACAACGGAGGTCGTCAGGCCGACGACGTCGACGGCCGCCGCAACGCCGGCTTCGCTGCCGAGCCGGGCCCCGGGCTCACGGTGAGGGAGCCGGCACGGCCGCTGCAGGTGCCACCGCCGCCGCCGCCGCCGAATCGGTCGTCTCGTATGGAGGCTGATGACGGTGATGGCGGTGACTGGGATGAATTGGAGGTGCGGCCTCCGTTGCATTAAACTAACTAACCAACTATAACCATTTTTCATTTACCAGCTAAGGCCCCACTGAGCTACAGTTTATAGCTCTTTTTTTTTTACCAGGTCAGGTTTTTATTGTGAGAAGCGAGCTTGCTGTCACAAATGGTCTATCATGATAGCTCTCCGAAGTGAATCGGATTTAGAATCTCTATCCTGGAGAAATCTGGTGAGCTATGAAGCTCTTTTATCCACAGATGCCCTGTAGGAGCGGGTCAGAAAGTGACAACAGCAAGTGGCTTATCACGTGGACATTTACAGCAGCCAAAATACTCTAAACACAAGTTTCTAAATGTGGAGGGAAAATCTGGAGCACCCGGAGAAAAACACACACGACCACGGGGAGAACATGCAAACTCCAAATATACAGCAGGCGTTAGGGTCAGGATCGAACCCACGACTCCCTGTAAACCAGGCGAGATAGTTAACATCTCACACACCGTGGCACTCCAAAGTAAACTCACTTGCAAGACTGCGAGTTGGTCAAAAGATGGCAACAGAGCAATGGGCTCAACCCCCATGAAGATTCGCTGGAGTGTCTGTAGTGTGTGTGTGTAGAGTGTGTGGAGTGTGTGGTGTGTGTGTGTAGTATGTGGTGTGTGTGTAGTGTGTGTGTGGAGTGTGTGTGTTTGTGTGGAGTATGTGGTGTGTGTAGTGTAGTGTGTGTAGTGTGTGTGTGTTTGTGTGGAGTCTGTGTAGTGTGTGTAGTGTGTGTGTAGTATGTGGTGTGTGTGTGTGTAGTGTGTGTGTGTAGTGTGTGTGTGTGGTGTGTGTGTGTAAGTGTTTGTGCGGAGTGTGTGGCTTTGTGTGGAGTGTGTGTTTGTGTGGAGTATGTGGTGTGTGTAGAGTGTCTGTGGAGTGTGTGGTGTGTGTGGTGGTGTGTGTGTGTGGAGTGTATGTGGAGTGTGTGTAGAGTGTGGATTGTGTGTAGTGTGTGCCTATTTAGTGTGTGGAGTGTGTGTGTGTCTGTGGAGTGTGTGTGTGGAGTGTGTAGTGTGTAGTGTGTGTGTAGTGTGTGTGTAGTGTGTGTGTGGAGTGTGTGTGGAGTGTGTAGTGTGTGTTTGTGGAGTGTGTGGAGTGTGTGTGGAGTGTGTAGTGTGTGGAGTGTGTGTGTGTCTGTGGAGTGTGTGTGTAGTGTGTGTGTGGAGTGTGTAGTGTGTGTTTGTGGAGTGTGTGGAGTGTGTGTGGAGTGTGTAGTGTGTGGAGTGTGTGTGTGGAGTGTGTAGTGTGTGGAGTGTGTGTGTGTCTGTGGAGTGTGTGTGGAGTGTGTGTGTGGACTGGACTACGGGGAGCGGTAGTGCAGTGGCTATCACGCTGCCCTCTGAATCCGGCTCACGTCCAACACCAGTGACGATTATCTGAACCGGTTCACCGGATCAGCCCGGGACTGCCGGATAATGTTGGAAGCGAGATAGTTGCACGCCGGATAACCGATGATCGACTGTATATCCAAATCAAATTGTTAATGTTTTGTATCGTAGTTCTAGTTTCGCAGTAGGGGGCAGTGTAATCCCAACTTCGTATCTTGAAGGTACATTTGTTACCTTCAAATTATGGCAAATTTGGGTCATGCCGCCAGCACACAAAAGGGGCCTCCCTCTCTTCGAATGACGGAGCGAGATATGTGACGTCCATTCTGAATGCAGATGACGCGTATTTTGTCGCTAATTCACCTGCAGAGATAACCAGGGTGCAATGCGTATATGTAAAATAGTCGAAACAATAGCGTATCCTTCCATAAGCGTGGGAAACCAATCGATGCCCTCTATAAACAAAGGGGTATATCTGTTCACTCGTGTGAAAATAACCGTCTTGATCGCATCCACGGAAAGCTCTTACTCGATTAAGGACATTTAACTCGCGTAAATATAGAATGAGAACAGTTTGTATCCTTGAGCAGCTATGACCAGCGGTGGCATTTCCACATTTCCACGTTGGGAGCTAATCTGTCCATCGGGTGAACACTGTTGTCATCCCACAAGATGTGGGTTCGATCCCGACCCTGACGCCTGCTGCTGTATATTTGGAGTTTGCGGTGTCTCCATCATTATCACGGTGGTGAGATGTTAACTACCTCGCCTAGTGTACAGGAGGTTGTGGGTTCGATCCCGACCCTGACACCTGCTGCTGTATATGTGGAGTTTGCGGTGTCTCTCTCTCCACGTGGTAGCATAGATCTTTCTCCAGGAACTCCGGTTTTTCCCTCCACATTTGGAATCAACATCACGCATTTCGAGTATTTGGCTGCTTTACGTGTCCACGTGATGAGCCTCTTCGTTGGGCTATCGTTTGTGGTCGCCAGGTCCTGGAAGGCGATTGGCCAAATCGTCCACGCCCGAGGAGGCCACGGAATTGATCCGCCTTATCTTCGCCGCACGGCTTCAGATGCCGTCGTATCTTGAACCCGGTCGCGGGCACATGCTGGGGATTGTGGGATGTGGAGCCGACCTGACGGGCTCGTGTTCTCTGTTGCGATACAGTTGTTGTTGTTGTCGTCGTCTGTGCTTTTTGTTTTGGTGCCATTTCTTAATTTGTTTATTTATTTGTGAGTTTTGCTTGGTCGTAGTAGGGATTTCACTTGCTTGGTACTGGCTGTGTATGGGATTTGGTCCTCATAATTAATGTATGGCTGCTATTAGCATGAATGACACGCTGCTATTAGCATGAATGACACGATATAAAATGAAACTATTATTCTTCCACGCTCAAACTAATGCGAAGGCGTGTGCGCACGTTGTATGTGCGTGTGTGTGGAACTTCTTTCGCACCGTACGTAGCCAACCGTGCTAATCGGTGGTGCGGGGGAAGGACAAGAAATTAAACACAAAAAGCAGTTCTAGATAAATTAATTTTACATCTGGGTGATTTAAAAAGTGCATAGCTCCAGTGGCTTCCTAACACCGTAAGAGCGTTCCAGAGAACCATTGCGTATGTACCTATGTTGGACTTCTTTCGCAGCGTACGTAGCCGACCGTGTACGTACGTACGTGGGACAGCAAACTCACGTGTTGTGCTCGCGATGTCGCCCTCCGCCCTTCGTCATGAGCGCAGGTGGCGACCCCCGCCGACAGCGGACTGGACACGTTCTCCGCCAGAGACTCCTTCCGCATGCAGGTGCTGCAGGAGGAGCACCAGGTGCAGCACGAGGGCAGCAGGAGAGTGGGGCCGAGCGGTGTCGACGGAGATGACCTCTACTCGACAGCCATCACCCTGCCCAAGGCCACGGCCTAAATCGAGGGTCGAAGCAAGAAGGCCTCGCAAACTCGAGTTGCGCTGCAGTTGAACTTGCATTGGCGATCGTGCTCGCACGCTGCAAGGCACGAGAGGGCATTATAGCCCGCAGGGTATCTCAGTATCGGATAGTAATGCAAATGCAGTATAATACCAGAACTTTATATATATTTTTTCAACGGTTATGTAGGTAAACGGTAACTTTGACGTGTGACAAATATGAATACATCCTATACTAGCGTATGATGTTTAACCACTGCCAGAAGAGTACATCGATGATTGCAAACACGTGACACGCTTTCTGTAAAGCAGCGTTGGATCACTACTTGCTAAGATGGCTCGAGCAAGTTCACTTTCAACCAATAGCTCTGTCGGTCAACTCCAGCCTCCAGCATTGTGTCGTACACAATCCCAACGCATTGCGGTCACGGAATTGGCAGCGTATATCGGTACTGCTATTGTACAATAATAATACTATACATAGCATCATTGGGCATGCCCGTATTTACCGGTATTGCAAGTCTCGGTGTCTGGAGTACTGGACATACTTGCAGTTGTTTCCTAGCATTTAAATGGAAACGCTGCGAGGTGTAGAGGCCACGGTCACAAGCACACTCAGGATGTCAAGGCATCAACACAGGAGAGTGACGAGCAATGCATTAGGAGACTGGCAGGCATCGTTGTTTGATTATGAATCGGCAAAATTCTAAAGCAACCTCCAGGAATTGATGTATATACACGTACGTTGAACTTCTTTCGCACCGTACGTAGCCAGCCATGCTAATCGGAGGTGCGGCGGAAGGACAACAAACTATGGGTCTCTGTGTGATGAGTCTATGGGTCTCTGCGCGATGAGTCTTTGGGTCTCTGTGCGATGAGTCTATGGGTCTCTGTGCGATGATTCTATGGGTCTCTGCGCGATGAGTCTATGGGTCTCTGCGCGATGAGTCTATGGGTCTCTGTGTGATGAGTCTATGGGTCTCTGTGCGATGAGTCTATGGGTCTCTGTGCGATGAGTATATGGGTCTCTGTGCGATGAGTCTATGGGTCTCTGTGCGATGAGTATATGGGTCTCTGTGCGATGAGTCTATGGGTCTCTGTGCGATGAGTCTATGGGTCTCTGTGCGATGAGTCTATGGGTCTCTGTGCGATGAGTCTATGGGTCTCTGTGCGATGAGTCTATGGGTCTCTGTGCGATGAGTCTATGGGTCTCTGTGCGATGAGTATATGGGTCTCTGTGCGATGAGTCTATGGGTCTCTGTGCGATGAGTATATGGGTCTCTGTGCGATGAGTCTATGGGTCTCTGTGCGATGAGTCTATGGGTCTCTGTGCGATGAGTCTATGGGTCTCTGTGCGATGAGTCTATGGGTCTCTGTGCGATGAGTATATGGGTCTCTGTGCGATGAGTCTATGGGTCTCTGTGCGATGAGTATATGGGTCTCTGTGCGATGAGTCTATGGGTCTCTGTGCGATGAGTCTATGGGTCTCTGTGCGATGAGTCTATGGGTCTCTGTGCGATGAGTCTATGGGTCTCTGTGCGATGAGTCTATGGGTCTCTGTGCGATGAGTATATGGGTCTCTGTGCGATGAGTCTATGGGTCTCTGTGCGATGAGTCTATGGGTCTCTGTGCGATGAGTCTATGGACCTACGTTGAACTTCTTTTGCACCGTATGTAGCCAGCCGTGCTGCCAAACAGTCTGAAGACACTGTACATTCGAGTCGAATTCATTTGTGTCGGAAAACAAAACACCGTTTCCTCCCCCCCCCCCCTGCACTCTGCTGCTTTGATTGTGGAAAACTCTCGTTTATGCATCCTGAAAGCTTTTATACAAATAATAATAATATTAATAATCCATGCGTTTGCATACAAGGCTCCAGCTAGACAATGTGCCCCATATATAACGTGTATATATATGCAGTATTTGTCAATATAAATGACTAGGCGGGAATGATAATTTTAAAATGGGGAAAAAAACTAAACAAAAATGATCTTTTGGGGAAAATTGAATCGACGGTGTAAGCAGCAGATTGTGACCGGATTGCAATTTGATGGTCCTATCGGCTGATTTGATGGCTGAGATTTGCGTAAATGTTAACTGTGAAAAATAATGATATATTATACTGTGAAAAATTCTGTGGTAAGTAAAAAAAGAACGTCAAAATGTACTTGTGTATACATGAAGGCATGTGGGTTATCATCGTTAAACATACAACGCCGCCTCTGCTGTAATAAAGCCCAAGACGTGGATAACGCCCCACACGCTGCGATTCTCGCAACTCGCAACTCGCCCCGGTGAGCGACGCCGGGGGCTCGCGGACGATGGACACACTCGCGAGGGCATCGGATCGATCGATCGATTGATCGATCGCATTTCCCACGTCACGCCAGCAGCTGTCAAATGACGCCAGTGCATTTCGTCAGAGCCGCTGAACAGACGAGAACGTTGAAGCAATAAGAATTGTCTTTAATCGAGATTTGAAGTTTTCGTGACTGCAGGGATCCATACTATTTGGTTCTTTCGGTAAAGTCACGTGGGTAGAAAATAAAATATTACGTAATAAAGCCAAAGACGTGGATAACGCCTACGTGACTTTACCGACAGAACCAAAGAGAAAAAATCGTCTGTTGTTAACCCTCTCCGGCAACCAAACAGTCGGTGTCAAGGTGTTCATTCAACAAGTAGATACCTGGTGCAAGCCATCACGTCTGCATTAACCACACGTGGTTGTGGCAAAAGATGCAAACAAACATGCGCTGATAAATATACGCCTTGTCTTTGAAAGCTGACTGAGCACGTGTGTTCGCATGTGCATAACTCCAGTGGCTTCCTCGTATCGGAAGGAACAGGCGTTCCAGACGGCCGCAGAAGCGCATCAGAAAGCGCGTGGCGATGCCGTGACCGCCGTCTCTGTGCGATGGCTTAGCAGCCAGAAGCCGTCGCCGCTGCTGTGAGGATGGGGCATGGTGACGCGTTTCAGCAGCCCTGCAGCGCGCCGCTGTCCCACACACCGCCGCCCCACACGCCGCCCCACACACCCAAACGCGGCTATGCGGTCGGACATGGTACGACATTGTGTGCGTAGCTACCTACATATGCACTTTCAAGGGCCCCGCGCTAAATGCTTTCAAGCTATCAATTCCGTTTCGATTTAAAGCTTTCGTTACTGCAGGGATTCATATTCTTGGTTCTTTCTCGTAAAGTCACGTAGAAGGGAAATAATAAAATAATATAAATAAAACATAATAAAATACAATTCTCACGACGTTTCGGCCACAACGCAAGCAGCCGTCCTCAGGTGAAGTATTTCCCTTCTACGTGACTTTACCGAAACTATCAATTCCGGTTCTGTGATTCTGCACTTGCTCTATTACTATAGTACTCTGCCGCCTTCAACTTTTACGAACGACTGGGTGTTTAAGATTAGCGATTTGTCGTATTATTTGTCTGTATAGCAAATGAAAAAACATTCAATTACTTTACTATGCAAGTAAAAAAAAGTGTGTTTAAATATATATTTATGTCCTTTAGGGCCCCTTTAAAACATATGCTAACTCAGGTCCCGCACTAGCTTAATCCGGCACTGCTACCTGGTGCTGTTGAGCCGGCTGAACACAAACTGGCGGCGGAGGACGGAGCAAAGCCGGCGGAATCTGCCGCTGATCTCGTTCAGCCAACCCCAAGGCACCACCCCGGGGGTCTGTCCCGTGATCTCCTGCCAGCAGCGTCGCCTTCGACACTTTTCACGTGATAGCCTCGAAGCGCACCTAGCCTGGCACGGGCGCCGTGCTGACGTCACCGCCACACAGTGGCAAACGGCAGCGGTTGTCGTCATAGGATACTTAAGGCGTTGACATAGACCGTGGTCTCCGGCAGTAGTTCTCAGAGTGTTGTTCCACGCACCACCACGTGGCACTTGACGATCGTTCACGTGGGCCGAGGGGCTGTGACGCACAGCGCCGCTTGATCCGGGACAATCATGAACAACGTCTTCCATGCCTTTTGTTTCGGATATTAATAAGCACAGTATTTAACTTATGAGGTTTAATTCGTGAAGTTATGTAACAGCTAAACCAACGTAACCCTAAGAGTTAAATGCCCCACCTTAAAAAAACCGTACAGCTGCGTTTAACAAAAAGCTACGTTTTTATGTTGCGGTGTTATGCATCACTTCGTACGAGTGGTGTTTAGAGTGAGGGGTTAATGAGTTGTGTCACCAGGGGTGCGGGCGGGGTGCTCATCCGTGGAAATGTTTACATCGGCCGAGTGGTCTGTGGGCCTAACAAGTTTGACAAACACTGCACCTAAACTAAACTTTGTTTATTTGACTAGTGTCAGGCCCCACTGAGCTATGTAGCTCTCTTTCAGAAGCGACCTGGCCACAAATGATAGCTCAACGAAGTGGCTCATCATCATCACCGGTGTGGAAATGTTTAGCAGCAGCCAAATACTCCACGTGACCATGGGGATGATGATGAGAGAGACACACGCAAATTTCAAATACACAGCAGGCGTCAGGGTCGGGATCGAACCCACGACCTCCTGCATACCAGGCGAGGTAGTTAACATCTCCTCGCCACCGCGGCGCCCCACTGCTCTAGAGGGATGACAGGTCAGTGGACCGTCTTCCTCGTGTTTCAAACGTTGCACGCACGAGGCGATGCGCGTGGCATTAAAACGAAGGCGAGAAGAATCCCGTTCGGCTGGAAAGGGAAAAGATGTGCTCACACGCACGTTCAGTATCATCATCATCATTGATTGTGACAGATGGATTGCCACCAGCGTCACTACGCAGTGGGCATTCGTGTAGGGGAACATTGGATTACATTATGTGCATGTTGAAACATTATCTCTGTTACGTAGCTACCTTTGCGGATTTGCATAAACACTTATTATTCGTAGTAGTTGTTGTTCTCAGTATCCGTGTACGAGCGCAAAGAGAAGACGTAGAGATTTACAGAAAATGTATTTACGTGTCACGCGATGCACGTGCTGCCACGAAGATGGGCCATTGGTCGAAACGTCGCCTCTTTAAAACGTATTCATACGCTTCCTCTTGTTAAACTCTCAGTTAATTTAGTAAAATGGATTACGATATAATTATGTTTATGCTAAGTGTCTGCAGGTGCTGTACAGCGCCTTGAGATCCTTGATGAATAGCTGCTAGAAACATGCAATTAGTATGCATTCTATTTAGAGCGCAGTGCTGTTGTTGTTGTTGTCTGTGCCAACACAGCAGCGGCGTCACCAACTAGTTTGTTGAACTTGGCAAGAGGCGTCATTCCGCAACGCAGCGGTGGAACGAGGACAATGGCGTTGACAGCCCCCATCGCCTGAGTTTCTCGTGATGGTAACGTACTTACCCGTACGTTGACATTCTTTCGCACCGTACGTAGCTAATCGGAGGTGGCGGTGGAAGGACGACAGTGAAGACGGCGATGGTCGTGATGGCGACTTGCCCCATCCTCCCCACTCCTCTCACCGCACCGCGTGGCTCTGTCCGAATCCCGTCCAGCAACTGTGGAATTACGTCAGACTCGGGGTTTCCCAAACTGCAGCCCTCTCGGCCTCACCATCACCACCGGGCGATTTCTTTCCACGTTTTCATAGTTTACTCCCCCCCCCCTCCCAATTCAAATGCAAACGAAGTCGTTTCACGCTGCACGCGCCCGATGATTGTTGAACACGTCCCACGTGACGCGCTGAGCAATGAACGCCGCCTGCGTCACGTGGCACACGCGCACGCTGAGATCTCGATCCTAGTGGGAATCGGCTCTCTATTGACGCAGACAGCGGTAAATTAATTGCAAGGTACACTCGAATTGGCCACGCTAAATTGTCAACATAGAGTTTGTGTTTGCGTACCGTACCTTAAGTGGATGTAAAATCTCACGTTGGTAAATCTCAACGAGTAACTGAGCAAAAACAAAACGTGGTTTATAATACTGTTGAATATGTACCACTTTTTCCAAAATTAATATTAAGAATAATTCGGCCAATATTTTTTTTTTATAATTGGTTTTTTACCCTTTTATCTGGCAACAAAACTGACACCTTTTTTACAAGGAGTCATGTTTGCATAGACCACAATACCTGCAGTCATAATGCAAACAAAAAACATAACTCTGATAATGTATGCACTGTCCTTGAAGTTGATTGGTCCACACGCGAGACAGCTTTCCTTAGAGCCTAGCCTCACATGGTGTTGGACCAGATGACGCCAAAAGGCGCACTGGCAAATGAGGTTCCAATGGTGTAAATGCTTAGCCCGAGCTCTCATACTCTGATGGTGCATTGTCTTTGAGTTGTGCATTGTCTTTGAGCAGGGGTCTGCACCACCGCTACACCGAGCCGCCGAGGTGCGAGTGAAACTAACAGAGATTTCAGTTATCATTCTCGAGCAATAGCGAAAACACCCAACGTCAACCCAACGTCAACCCAGCAACGAACGAGAGGATCGTTCATCGCCAGAGCACCCGGAGCCGGCTAGTGCGCACAGCCGCGTCGTCCATCACCGAGCACAAAGGTGCCAGCCACCAGCGCACGAGCTAACGAGCACCGCCGCGCCGTCAGAGCCACAGAGTACAGAGGGTGCCAGCGCCGAGCCCCACCGGGCGTCACCGGGCGACCGAGCCTCTCCAAGGACAGCATCGGGCCGACGCCGCTCATGAATAAATGAACTTTGATCTCGCAGCGAGAGAGAAAGCCGCGGCTCGCTGCAATCCACGCCGAGCCAGAGGGAAGCCGTTCGTATCCCCCCCCCCACACTCACAAATCCACGAAACACGCCGGCGTTACTCACGCAAGAATTTACCAAGGAGACTAACCCACACCATGGAATCAACCCTAGCCAATCATAAGAAGACCAATTATAAAAGTATGAATCATCAGCTGGCCGTGAAGGCATCGCGGCTCATCGCGTGATTAGAATAAGTCATTTATAAGTGCCTTAGTTTTTTTTCATATCTTTTTAATCGCACATACGACCAATAGATTCGTCGATGCAAACTAAACTCTTGTAATCCTCATCACGAATCTACACGTTTACAGAGAGAGAATATCGTGTCAAACCTGTTCCTTTGCTATAGAATCTCGCTTAAGAATTAATTAAAGCGGAGCCAGAAATACGCTCTCCCACAAAGAACACACGCACGCACTCGCACACCATTGTCTCAAAACATTTCGTTAAAAATGTAATCTTGCCGACGAATCTATTGACGTATGCTTTTGCCTTCGAGATATAATAATTTGCTTATTGCCTTTCGTATGACTATCGTTGCATGCCTGGTTTAAGACTCTACCTGTTGCCGGATGTGCTCGTTACGCGGTGGAATTAATGATATGTGCGGTTGAAAAAGAAAAAAAGCATTGATGGTTAAATGTGCTGCTCACTGAGAGAAATCTCCCCGATGGTACCGTGGATAATTCCGAGCTTGAGAGTTCGCATATTAGAGTGTCATATTTTTGTTTAGAGTTAAAATTGCTTAACACATAAGTGTTTTGAGTGTGTCTTTCCAAGTCCAAGTCTATTATTTATAAGAACTGTATCCTGCTTTGAGATATTAATTTGGAGACCTAACATAACATAAGCACACTAAGAGATAATCAATAAATGTTTAAGCAAGAATAATTGTTTTATCCAGATTGATAAATACGACAATGGGCAGCGAAGCTAAGCCTAATTATCATAACGGCCCACATTAACATAATCGCAAGCATTCACATAATTAATACGATTATCTCCATAAATTTCATAACCCGACATATACAACAATAACACTCAAGACGCACTGCCAAAGTCAAGTTCAGTGTCTCACTTCCCGCTACCACCACCATGGCCATCCTTATCAAGCCCCCATCATCTACCACGAGAAGCGACCTCGACTAAACTCCGCCCTCTAACCCGAACCAACAACGAAAAATGCAGCAGCAGAGGCGCGCTGTTAAAAGGACGAGGAAACCAGCAGCAGCAGCACGACAGAATTAACTCGTTCGACTCGAGGGTGACAAGACGTCCGTAGAGAGACTGGAGAGACGAGCCTCGCCAAACCCACGGCGCCTCCTCATCCTCATCATCATCATCCTCCTCCCGTCAGCATGGGACGCCTCTCCCACGCGCTCCTGTTTCTCGGCATCGTCGCGACCCTTTCCCACGCAACTTGGGGTGAGTTTGTGAGCGTCCATCGCGCCCTCGTTGAGGGTCTTGGTGGCGCACCGCGCGGTGACCTTACGGGCGTCCGGGCGTGTTCGCTGGCCACCCAACCCCCCTCTTGCGCCGTGCCGGATTTACGGTAATAGGTGCTACTCGCTCACGGCACTTGGCCCAAAAAGTTTGTCAAGGCTACATGGGGGATCTGTGTCTTTCGTTTTGTCCAGGGACGTGCCGGACTTGTTTTTGCAGCACGCATTTCACTTTTAACGCACCTTGCACTGCTAATGCTGTCAATAGTCATGACGTTGACCTCGGGCATACATGTTGGCATTATTACCGGAATGAATGCGTCCGGTTATTGTGAGATTTCGCAAGCGAAGTACGCAGCGTTTAAAGCCTGGGGGGGTAGCGCTTAGATGTGCGTGTGACCCGCGTGCACAAGCAGGTCGGATTGTCTTTGAAATCGATTGTTTCTATTAACGTTTTGATAAATGCATTGCCTTTGTACTGTTCGCCTCCTGCCGTTCTCTGGTCTGACACTGGCGGTGAGACAAGGTCACAGAGAAGACTGTCGTCTGGTGTAGGCCAATCAGTTTCAAAGACAATGCGTGCATCGTGATGAGAGCACGTGTGTTCGCGTGTTCTACTTCAAGTGCGTGCATCGTGATGAGAGCAGACTGTGTGCCTTGCAGTCGCTGTCGATTGGTGTTTGAACATCTTTACGCCTCCTCCTGTTTTGTTGCCAGAAAGGGTAAAGCTCTACTCTTTATTTTGTCATCAAATAAAATGCATTTGGCTTTAGTAACTTCCTCCTCTGCATATCGCGCAGCGCCAGGGCGCCCTCTGCGTGAGTTTCTCGCTGGGGTCGTGGTGGGTGAGTGGGTGCCAGGGTAGACTGCCCGTGTAAGACCTGCTTTTCCCTTTGTGCCACTTCCACAACTGGTTGCATCTTGCTAATGACAACCAGGGAGGTAAAAACCAGTCCTCTCCCGGCAATGAGGAGCACACTTGCGATGTAATTCTGCTCTGTACCTTTAACCGGCACAAACTGAAACCACTTTGTTTTGTTTGATTTATATAGATCAGTCACCTTAACATCCGTGTTCCCCTTTTACAAGTCAGATCAAATGATCACTCATCTTCGGAATAAAATGTCACAACGGTGATTCGACTGCCCTGTAGAAGAGACACAATCGTATATCCGATGTCAACGGGTTTTCATGTATCGCTGGGAGAACGCGGTCACAGTAACATTGATCACTGTCAAGAATGTTTGTGAGTGTGTAGAAGCTGGCGGACATACACTGCCATCTCCGATTGGCACGGTTGGCTGCGTACGGTGCGAAAGAAGTTAAACGTACATCATAACGGTGCTCTCACAACGGCCCGTACACAACACTCGCCGACACCTCTGTGCCCCCATGCACGTACATAATGACGATTAACAACGGCGTCTTTTATGACAATGCTATAGCGCAATGGTTGCCTTCCTGAAGAACACCGCGTTATAACGCGATATTTCTATAATAAACAATGTATAATATAGGGGGGGGGGGGGGGTGAAGCACAGTCCGCGGTAACGCGTGAGACGCGTACGCAGGCTTAGCAAAGACCGAGGCACGTGGGTAGCATCTAGAAGCATCCAGCAGCATCCCACTGCCTCGTGTGATGACGCTGCGCTGGACGACCGCCTATTCCTACTCGCGCGACGTGGTTCTGTTCACTCGATCGCATCCACGTAAACAATTTTTGTTTCCTAATATATTCATCGCGTTCCATCCAATTCGCGTTATGAAAACACCACGCGGCGTTATAGGAAGGCAGACTAGATAGAGATGTCGGGGAACATAGTTCAAATGTTGATAACCATACTCTTTGGGTCTTTCGGTAACCAACATGAACATTGCCATGGGTATTTTAATAGAGGAGGAAGCAAATGTCTGTAAGGAAAACCACAGCCACATACAAATTCAAGAAGCTACCGCTTTGCACAGGAATGCAACTTGCTCTCCCTGATATTGCCCATTTTTGTGACACACACACACACACGTGGATACGGATAAAGTTTCCTGAACGGATGCTTGAAAAATGCGGAGCTGTCCCACTTAAAATATGAAACAAGGGCATACAATAAGCAGCCGTGAGGGATTGACTTCCTTGTGGAAAGCATCACAGCCTCCGCTGTTGTGGACACAGATTAACAACCCAGTGAAAGTGCATTTCTGTCCATATCCGAGTTATATTTTCGAAGGCCCATCTTTAACCACAGCATTCTTGGTTTATTAGGCAGTAGACCCAGCAAATGGCTTCAGAGTTCTGTACAAAAAAACAACATCTCTAGTTAATCTATCATATCATGGGATGCAAGTAGGTTTCTAGTTTATTTATAAACGGGAGAGTCTCATCGGTCGAGCACAATGCAGTGGTTCATGCACCTCATTTGTGGTACAGATTCAACGCAGTGTATGATATAAAACAAGAAGAGGTGTTAGATTTCATATGCCTGCTAAATGTATCAGTAACTGTGAGCCTAACATCTACGTGGCTGATGTCGGGCTGATGGGACTCATTGACGTGAAGGTGTCACGCCAAGATGTCACACTTACATGGGCGGCACTTTGAGCAGAATTAATGTCAGCGTGGTCAATCCGATGAGGTGACACAAAACGCCGACTTTCCACAGTACAACAGAGCCGTGGCGAGCCAGCCTGGCACGGCTCTGGAGGTGCCAGCGTTGTATTTGCACTTCAGACGCCGAGCTGTTCCCGCTGCAATCGCAACTCGAGGGACGAGTCCAGACTCGTGGAGATTACGAGGAAGCGACGCTATATTCATGCAAAAATTTCTCTACTCGCTCAATTGGTCCCCCGAGCCAGATTCAGACGACTTGTGAGTTCATCATAGACTGGTTTTGCTGAAAGCTTAGCCGTAAATTAGCGAATATAAAATCACCTGTACCGTTGTGGCCTTGCGCTGGCTTGGCTTGGATGAGTCAAAATGTGCAGTAGAGAAAACATTTACCTTTTTGCCAGTATCAAAGTATGAAAAAAAAATAATAGGTTTCCTAACTGCTCACCCCGAGCTATAAATGCTCTAATAGTGACATTGTCTTTATGGTGTTCGCCTTTTGGCGTTCTCTGATCTGACACTGTTTGAGACTAGGCCTTAAAGAAGGCCGTCTCTTGTGTAGACCAATCAGTTTCAAAGACAATGCCCATTCATTACCAGAGCATGTCTTGTTTGTATGTTCACCACAAGTACCGTGTGTGGTTCATGCAGACACGATTCCTTGCAAAAGGTTTCTATTTGGTGTTTGAACATCTTAACAACCCCTGTTTTAGTGCCAGAAAGGGTAAAAACCGATTCTTCGTTTTTTTTCATACAGAGAAAAATTAGTTCGCCATATTGAGATTTGGCAGCCATCTTGGATTTGCAGACCTTTGTGTCGTCGAGTGACCTCGTGACAATCACGCCTCGTGCTTGCGTCGTCGTTAGACAATAACCCTCGCAGGCCCGCGACGTAAAAACGCCACTCATCAATCACTTTGGAAAGGAGAGGTCAACTTCAGTGGGAGGAGACCTGTGGCGTTGCATTCAAGGCAAGATTTGGAATCCTACAATATATATTTTTGCTGTGTTGCTATTATATATATCTGGTGCAACATAACTTTTTTAAATTTCGTTATGCATCCAAGCATGCATGTTTACCATCGTTTAGTAGTAACTATAATTTTGGTTTCGTTTTAACATGCAGACACACACACACACAATCTCTCCCTGACAATTAAACGACACTTGCAATGATGCCCCGCGTCTCTCCACGTGGGCTCAAGGTCGTTTAAGTTGCGGAGGCAGCAACGGGCGTGCGAGCGCGTGCGTGTGCGCGCGTGCGTGCGTGTGCGCGCGTGCGCGCGCGCGAGCGTGTGTGCGTGTGTGCGTGCGTGCGTGTGCGCGCGTGTCTGTGCGTGCGCGTGCGTGTGCGCGCGCGCGCGTGTGTGCGCGTGTGTGTGTGTCTGTGCGTGCGCGCGTGTGTGCGTGAGTGTGCGAGCGCGTGTGTGTCTGTGCGTGAGCGTGTGTGCGAGCGCGCGTGTGTGCGAGCGTGTATGTGCGAGCGGGTGTGTGTGTGTGCGAGCGGGTGTGTGTGTGTGCGCGCTATATTTAACAGCGCGCATCGTGTACACTCTGGTCGAGTGTGTGATAACTCGAGATATTATCCGGCTCACCTGTCAGCCGTTTACTGGAGAGGACAATGCAATTACCCCCACCCCCTCCACCCCCCATGCGTTACACAGACACGCGCCACCCCCCCAGGGGTCACACAGACACGCGCCACCGCGAGAGAACAAACCCGTGGCGCGTTGGGATCGCGAAGTCAGATAGAGGCGGGAGGTTCACTTCCTCCCGTCTCTCACGGCGGTTTGCTATTCGCAACCCCAGTCGCGTGGAATTCACGTGGCCCGTTTGGCAAGATGTTTGAAACATTTTAAATTCACGCCTGTCAAATCCATAGGGCTTAACCCCGTATTGTTGTAGGGGGGAATTGAGTTTTTAGGTCCATAGGGCGTACAGCCGTTTTAATTCGGGCGCAAAAAAAGATCACAATTTGTGATTTTTTTTTATGTTTCTCTCTTGTGATGGGACTTTGTAGGATGAACGTTGAGATGTATAAGGGCACGGGGTGACCAATAAGGTCTGCATTGGTCTGTAATAAGGTGGGGCATTGATAAAGCCTACGTGCTAAACTCGCTGATAACGGGTTGACAGGTATGCAGATCCCCGTCTTTTGAACGATATATAGCCCCACATCATCGGATACAGCGACATTGCATCGTGTGGTTCCACAATAATGACTCATCCACCGGTGGATGTAAACATTGCTGCTGGTGCCGCTGAAGTTGTGCCGTTGTTGACAACGACGGCCACATCACCCGGTTCCTGTTTGGTGGCCACTCACCGTGTGCGGCGAAACACCTCCACCATCACTCTTGGCTTTGTGGTGGTATGTACACGTAGTGGTGTCCAGGCTTGGTGGTGGTATGTACGGTGTGGTGACCAACTTGAAGCAGGGCTGCCTCACACGATCGGTGTTAAGTGCCCGATGAACCCACGGAGACAGCAGAAGAGCTCTGCAAAAATCCTGAACCACCAACTCATCACCAGCTATAAACTCCCTCGCCTGGTACACAGGAGGTCGTGGATTCGACCCTGATGCCTGCTGTATATTTGGAGTTTGCGGTGTCTCTCTCTCTCTCTCTCTGTAGCCACGTGGATTTTTTTTACTCCGGGTCCTCCGGTGTTTCCCTCCACGTTTAGAATCAACCTCACGCGTTTCGAGTCTTCGGCCGCTATAACATTTCCACACGACAAGCCTCTTCGTTTGGGCTATCATTTATGGCCAGGTCGCTTCGCAAAAAGAAAAACCAGAGATGTCGTAAACCTCAGTGGGCCTTACCGAGTGAAATAAAAAATTGATTTTTTAGTAGTTTTGGTTTAGCTTTCTCCGCAGCACGGGAAGGCCACCACCGCCAATGTCGCCGGGCCTGATGGTGGAGGAGGGGACTTCGCCCGGGCTACCAAAGCAGAGCATCACCACAACCACCACCACTACCACAACCACCACCACTACCACTACCACCACCACCACGACCACATCTGCACTTGCAGCCACCGTCTCCCACACACACACACGCACCAGCCGCTCGCTCGCTCGCTTTGCCACGTGACGGAACTTCCACCAAGGCCGTGCTCGAAGTCTCCCCCCCACTCTACCACCACCTCTGTGACCTCCACCTGCGAAACGGCGTTCCCGTTACGTCGCAACCCCAGCGCCGATCGCTCCACTTCTACGCACGACGTATCGTGGCGGTGACTTGTAAACCCCCCACAAAAGACGCGCCTCCTCTCTGTTTTGTGTTTGCCAACAGCGATCAGCTGCTCGAGCGACCAGTTTCGGTGCAGCGACGGGACCCAGTGCTTCCCGGGGAGCTGGCGATGCGACTTGATCGTGGACTGCGCGGATCGCTCCGATGAACGCGGCTGCGGCGGCAACGCTACGTGTGAGCTCTTCTTGCTGGCGGCATTTAGCCCGGCGTGAAAAACCTCCACGCGGCCGTCGATAGCGATGCCTCACGAAGGGCAGTGTATCGTAGGTGACGTTCCAGGCAATGCCCATTCCTTTCTGCACATCGCATTGTGAGCGCGGCATCACGAGCACAGAATGCGCCGTGAAGAAGGGGGTCTGGGTTATTGTCGAGACGTGTCGAGTGCAGTGCTCGCTTTGTCTTTTCCCGTGCACCACCGCCAATGCAGCAGCATCACAAACTCGCAGGAGACATCATCACAGCGATGATGATGATACTACACTCTTCCTCCGCTGCTCCTGACGCGGCTGTCTGCTGGGTTGACCACCTGAATGTGGAGTCGTAGTCGTTGCTCTGCCATGTACATCAGCAGCCATATCACAACAACAAGCAGCATCACCACATCATCTGTTTCGTGATTTCATCATAAATACAATTTAATCATCAATATGATTTGACCATGAGCAGAGTTTTTGTTTTTCCACACTGATGCAGTGGCTTGCATCTGGAGGGTGTGTGATGACTGAGTCGGCCACTAAAGGGTCTCGACTTCTTAGAATGTGGCCACCATCTCTCAACTGACTCGAGCTGATGCAACATCAATGTTCAGCATCTGCACCTCTAGGGATGGCCTCGCCTACACACAGAAACATTCGGCAACCGACTTGCTGATGCTGAATTCGCTCAGAGCACTTCTTTAGAGGAACAAAACACGTATATACTGGGCGACGTTTCGAGCAACGGCCCTTGTGCAGGTGCTATTCAGAAAATCCATAACAAATAAATGGAGGAAAATACTTGTATTCTTCTTTCGATTACTGTGAGGTTCACCATGCCCGCATCTAAATTCCAATGTATTTATTCTTAAAAGATTGTGCGGCTTAACACATCTGGAAACTGTTTCACTAAACGGACCAATGCGCGTGAAACATAATGCGGATGTTTGTTGTGTTTCTCATGTTCTCCGTCGTGCGGCTCAGTCCCGACCACTTCAATCGGTGAGCGACTTCACGCACCCGGCTACGCGTCACCTGCCCTGTGTGCGCTTAGCCGATTCACTCCGGCCGCGTGCTGACGTCACGCGTGCCTTAATGACAGCTCGCGTTCACCGGGCGGTCGGGTGGCTGCTGGAGGGCATTCGTCGTAACACATTCGCGCGGTGCTCCTTTGAAAATAGAAACAAACCAGGGACCCCCAGCGGGTCCACGCATGCTGGTGACGGCGTCACGCAGCGGCGGTCTGCACGCAGCCGCCACTCGGCCCACATCGGCAAATTTGCCTCGCCAGGTCGTCCCCCGCCTCTCTCGTGGCCTCAGGCTCCTTGGGAGGTGGCATCACTTCGCCTGCGACGGCCGCTTCCATCCAATTTGAGAGACTTCGGCAGCCCTATCGGGAGGGAGGTCAATCGCCACCACCGTCCCACGATTTTTTTGGGTTGAGGGAGCTCCTCCTTCAACGCCTCACAGACAGGCTGCACTGCACATCTGTGAAAGAGCTTTATAGCTCATCGGATTCCTCCAGTATGTATATACATGTTCTGATTCTACTCACAAATCTACGGATTTGATATTGGGGATTATAGATCCGATCACAATTCTTCCCCTGATGAACCAACTGTGATCACGGGCCGCTTAGGAGTTTCTCAGCAAGCAACTTACCCGCAAACAAAGACAAAGATCCCCCGTGTAGCCTTCACGGACTGTTGGGGCAAGTGCTGTTATCAGGCACATTATCTGACGCCTCACACTCTCATGCAGACACATTTGCTCACCGCCCCGTGCCCGTCTGTTGATCACTCCTGGACAAAAGTGTCGTGGCAATTGCATCACCACTCCCTCTACCGCGTGGAAGGTGGTGCTATCGCATTACGCCGGGGCATCTTATGGATAAACCCTAAACTAATTTCAGATGTTTGTTTTCCAGGCCGATTTTTCAGATAATATCTAAAAACACATCCCGTATAAATGTAATGTTGTATTGAAGACAGTCATAGGTAGCAAAAGAAAGGGAAGGTCTTGAGTCTGGACTTGAATGGAGGCAGGGGTTGAGAGTAGAATCAACGTCATGCGTTTAGATTGTTTGGCTGCTATACAATGACACATGATAAGCCACTTCGTTGAGTTATCATTTGTGGTCAGCTCGCTTCGAAAAAAAAGCATTGTAGCTCAGTGGGCCTTCCTGGTAAAAAAAAAAATCTTTAGTTTAGTGTGGATGGTTGAGGGTAATAGAGTCACAATCCTCAAGCACAACATGAGAGAAGGAGCGACCTCCTGTAGAGTCGAGGTTGACTGGGAGTTTCGATATAGGAGGATGCCTTGGTTGCTGGAATGGAAAGCATGTACGTATGTTGAACTTCTTTCGTACGTATCCAACCTTGCTCATCGGAGGTGCGGAGGGGATTAAAGTGAGATGAAAGGACAGAGCAGGGGTAGCAGGGGATGAGTCAATGGGGGACCAGGATTGCCATGACCAACAAAATCTTATACTTCTACTTATTTTATGTCTACAGCGTCATCATCTCCACCTTATCTTCCAACCACGTCTGTTGGTAAGTGCCCTCTATTCTGCTCACGTATGCAACACCTCAGTGTCATTGCGTGTCACTTGCATTCAAGCGATCCTGTAATCCCCATGTCACTCATGTCAAGGTCATAAGGAATGGCTTTGCTACCCTTCACTCGTTGCAAATAGTCACGTGATCAACTTTCACGCCATGAATGGGTTTTTTTCTCTCTCTTCTTCTGGACAGTTTTGTGATTATATAAACCACAGAGAACCTTTCAAATATACTAAGCATGCATAGCTGCGCGTTGCGTATTGAAAGTCGTGGGGACTCAACAGTGCCGGATTAAGCTCGCGCCGGGCCTGTAGCGTATGTAATGAAGGGGCCCTAAATATAAGAAACACACAAATATTAAAACACAATTTTTTAACTCGCATAGTAAAGTAATTGTATATTTTCATTTGCTATACGACCAGATAATTCGACAAATCACTAACCTTAAACACCAAGTCGTTCATAAAAGTTGAAGGCGGTATAGTGCTGGAGTAATCGAGCAAGTGCAGAATCACTGAACCGGAATTGATAGCTTGAAAGCATTTAGCGCGGGGCCCTTGAAAGTTCGGGGCCCGTAGCTATACATATGTAGTAGCTAAATCTTGACTTGAAGCTTTCGTGACTGCAGGAATCCATACTCTTTGGTTCTTTCGGTAAGTCACGTAGGTATACCGACGTGACTTTACCGAAAGAACCAAAGGGTATATGTAGTAGTAGCTACTTGCGCTACTAGGATCATCCGGCACTGGGGCTCCAACGGACAAACGCCACGAGCCAATGGGTCATCATCCCCAGCACGCGCACATCCGCGAAAGTCCCAAAACGCATTCTCATCGGCCCCTTCCCCTGGCACCCAGGCGCGCCCATCCGACTGGCCGCGGGCGGCGCGTGCCACGGGCGGGTCGAGGTGTTCCACAACGGCTCGTGGGGGACGGTGTGCGACGATCTGTGGGAGCTGCAAAATGCCCACGTGGTGTGCCGCCAGCTGGGCTGCGGCGAGGCGGTGTCCGCGCCGCTCTACGCCTACTACGGAGTGGGCAGCGGCCACATCTGGATGGACAACGTCCAGTGCTTGGGTCAAGAGACCGAGCTCTCGCACTGCGGCCAGAATGGCTGGGGAGTTCACGACTGTAGCCACAGCGAGGACGCTTCCGTCATCTGCTCGCAAGGTGTTTGAGGGTGTGCGTTTCTGTGTGTGTCTGTGTGTGTGTGTGTCTCTGTGTGTGTCTGTGTGTGTGTCTGTGTCTTTATGTGTGTGTTTGTATGTGTGTCTGTATGTGTGTGTCTGTGTGTGTGTCTGTATGTGTGTCTGTGCGTGTATGTCTCTGTGTGTGTCTGTGTGTGTGTCTCTGTGTGTGTGTCTGTGTGTGTGTGTCTGTGTGTGTCTCTGTGTGTGTCTCTGTGCGTGTATGTCTCTGTGTGTGTCTGTATGTGTGTCTCTGTGTGTGTGTCTCTGTGTGGGCAAGCCACTAGCGCTATGAACCCGGCGACTCGAGTTCGATTCCTGCTCACGGACAACACCGGTGGTGACGATTATCTGAACCGATCCTGGGCCTCCCCTAGGTCGACTCAGCCTCAAATGAGTACCCGGTGTTGTGTGTCGTAAATATCGCCACCGGAGAGACAAAGGCGGCCGTGCGTGGTGTCGGCCACCCACCCCCTCGTGTGACCCCCCTCCCTGCCAAGGCTGTCTCCGCTGTTTTCGGTGACGTTCGTCTCTTCTCTCGTCCTCCTCTAGACGCGTGGGCTGCGTCAAGCACGCTGTGTAAGATCACGTTACAAGATGCATGCACAACACATTTTTACAACACCACATTTGCACAACACCACATTTTTACAACACCACATTTGCACACCGTCACATACCACGTTGTTTAGGACTCGCCTCGTGATGTTGTGCTGTCTGTCGTTGTGAATCGCTGACGCCTGTGTGAACAAAGAGCTTCACAGCTCATCGGATTCCTCCTGCAGTCCAAATAAAGATCCCGATTCTGCGATGTTGATTTACACAGCCTACAATGGCAATACTTTCTACATTAATCGAAGTGATTTGAGTACTATTATTCGTACTTGATTGTGTGTCACATTGCGTTAGCGCCAACTGTGCACCCTACACTACGCGACACGGCAAATCAATAAGCGCTGTCACGTCAACAACCACAACAACCACGCTGCTCGCTAAAGCCCTGCACGAGTTGAGTTCAACTCACGTACCGGGCACCCTTTGAGAATGTGTGTTTTATTGTCTGGGTCAACCGGGCAGACGCAAACTAATCTCGATTTGAAGCTTTCGTGACTACAGGGATCCATACTCTTTGGTTCTTTCGGTAAAGTCACGTAGGTAGAAAATAAAATAAATGAAATCCCGACGTTTCGATCGCAACACAAGCAATCGTCATCAGGTTGAACAGATACAGCAGGAGGACTGTTGACATTGGAGAAGAGCTGCTGCAATAACAGTTTATCTCGGATGTTGGTCGATATAAACTCTTGTTGCAGCAGCTCTGACGGTCGCTTGTGTTGCGATCGAAACGTCGTGGTTTTATTTATTTGATACCTTCGTGACTTTACCGAAAGAACCAAAGAGTAGAGACGCAAACAACACCAAGTGGCAGCTCTTGAGAGCGATTAGCGGTTTTTTCGTCACAAGCTGGACACACGCGAAGTTGATGACATTTGTGTTTTTTTTTGTTTCTCAAATGCAATGTTTGCGCGCACAACGGCGGGAGCAGACACCACAAGCACCACAGGTGAGATATCTCTCAATTATTATCATCATCATTATTTCACTCACGCAGCGCAGACGTGACACATTTAGCACCAATCACGCAATGCGCACAAGAGCCCAATTTATATTCACAACCGCGTTGGAGCGCACACATCAACGCATCGGGCGTTCATTCACAAGTTACTTTAAAACGCAAACAGATGTTAATTTAAATTCTGCACTCGTTGATAACCTGCGTATGTGTTTGTCTTTTCAATGTCTTCATCATCATCGTCTGGAGCAGCTACGACAGGTAATCCGCGACGCGACTTCGTGCACAAGTAGAACTATATAGAGTTAACGTGGCTAGCGGTAGCATGTTCTTGCTTAGAATAAGAGAAACGTGTTCACACAAAAAAAATCCCCACAACTCTTATTGGTGCCATAAGAGCCCGAGAGTTCAATATCGAGTTGGCAACTCGTCAAAACTCCGCGTTTACAACGAAGAACAATCACGCTCGTGCATGGACTCTGCAATTCTCAAACACCGTCACGTCACATTTGCTTTTGGCCTTAATCTGTTCAAATTCCACCGTGGTTTACTCGTGTCACACACATTGCTTTGTAGCAGGGCGCTGATTTTACTTTTATTAATTTTAATTAAAATTTTTTACCTACGTGACTTTACCGAAAAAACCTAAGATTATGAAAAAAAAGCGCTGGCCCCCTAGTCTGGATACGCGGCCACCTGAAGGGATCTCAGATCTAGTTCCTTGACATTTTCTTCAATGGACCTTTTTAAAACATGTGGGAGGCTTAACATTTATTCGTCAGTTTGTATTCTCTGTCTCGTAATTAATAGATGATCCATTCAGCAGACAATTTGGGACAAGACAAACATAACACATCTAAATATGGGATGTTTTCCCACGAAATATATACTTTTAACTGGGAACACGTGAATGAGGACTTCTACGGACCGCCTCCGGATTTGTTGTTCTCTGTAACATTGACATTGCGTTTTTGTGTATCTCTTTCAAATGTTCTGAAGTCCGGCCAACCACAGCCAGCGGTAAGTGATGTCTTTCTGCCCTCAGGAGTGCTTCCTTATTATCCCGAGTAAAACTTGCCACTTGCTAAGACCTTCCTTCAGTAAAAAGTCTTTCTGCATTGCTGCTCCGCGTTTCTGGAATACAGCCTGCTTCTCCCCATGCAATCCACCCACCGACATTATTTTGTAATATTATCATCATATCCCATTTTATAAAAATTATTATGGTGGTATTAAATATTATAAGCTATTTAAATGTATCGTTATGAGCATCATTGTAAGTATGTTGAACTTCGTTCGCAACGTACGTAACCAACCGTGTGAATCGGAGTTGCGGGGGAAGGAAAACAAACTAAACATAAAACGCATTTATAAAAAAACGAGTTTGTCAATCTAGACGATTTAAAAGTGTGTATCTCCAGTGGCTTCCTAATACTGGAAGGAAGAGCGTTCCAGACGGCCACAGAAGCGCATCTTAAAGCGTGCGATGCAGTGACATTTTTGTTCAATAATATGAACAGTACATTTTTAATGATTACATATATTGACATATTGGCGTAATATTTAAATACTTGAGTCATGTCCTGCTCTTAAATGTTTGCTTTGGGTCCTGATAATTAAAGGTCAGAGGCCTTACCAAAACAAACCAATCGAGATAGTTTATTTTTTATTGAAACCAAAGTTAAAGTTGCTTAAGACTAATATCTGTTCAGAATACAAGGACGTTGATTCAAAGTCTAATTTGGGCTCTTTGAGGGTCACATGACGGTGTAATTCCATCTAAAAATGCCAATGTGTCGGATGTATTATCAAAAATCCATTATTCAACTTCAGCTTCAAATCAAGATTATTTCAACTGTTGCGATCCTCCACGCGATAATGGGACCTCTGCCTCTGGATTGTTTTGATCAGAAAAAAAAACACTCACAAGCTGACATTTGTCTCATGTCCACCCCTTTGTTTTTGGTCCAGATTTTCTAATCCGGCTGGCCGGAGGAGGCACATGCCATGGCCGGGTGGAGGTGTTCTACAACGGTTCATGGGGCACGGTGTGCGATGACATTTGGCAGGGTTCTCATGCCGAAGTCGTGTGCCGTCAGCTGGGCTGTGGCTATGCCCTGTCTGCCCTGCAAAGCGCCTACTTCGGGGAGGGCAGCGGTAACATCTGGCTGGACGACGTCCAGTGCACTGGCAACGAGTCTCGGCTCTCCGAGTGTGGCCACCCTCCGTTTGGCATTCACAACTGCGGCCACAACGAAGACGCTTCGGTCATCTGCTCGAACGGTAATCCCCCCCCCCCACCCCTCATGTTCATCGTGTCAACCTTTATATATACAGGGTGCTTCACACAAATGTTTACACTGATATGGGACTATTGTTTTTAATGGAAAAAGAACGGATAATACACTCAAATGAGTACCTGGTGCGATGTGTAAACATTGCCACTAGGGAGACAAAGGCGGCCGGGCGTGGTGCTGGCCACCCACCCCCTCGTGTGCCGTGCCGCCTTCATAGGTGCAACTCGCTAACAGCACTTGCCCCAACAGTCTGTTGAGGCTATACGGGGGATCTTTGTCTCTAAAGATCCCCCGAGTCAATTACACTCGTTCTGATATCCTATAAATCTACAATTCTATGAATATCAACGATATATATTCCACATCTCCGTTGAATAAAAATACTTCCCGTATCTACAGGCTCTTAGCTGTTCTTGTAGATGGGGAAGTCTTTGATTTAAGGGTTTGTGTGACCATGTGGATGCTGTAGGTTTTTAAATGATACATATGTGTCCTCTGGGCCATTGCAATTCAACAAAAGCATAATAAAATATAGAAGTATGTACAAAATAGTAAAATTACAACAATATATGAGAAACATTGGAAAGTTCACTTCGGTGCCATTTGCGAGGATGGGAATATGGTAGACTATATTCTAATCATTGCACTTCATGTGCCGACAATAACCCACACACACACAAAATGTTTGTCCGGACCATGCCACCTGCATTTGCAGCGCATTTGTGTGTGTGTGTGTATGTTAAGGTTAGTTTTATATGACGTGTTTTCTTTTTTTGCTTTCTCTGCAGATATGTGGGCTACTTATAAAACGGGTAAGATATTTAACCTGTTCTGTAATGTTTGTATTACCGAAATAAAATATAAATTAACGTGCGTCTTAATTAGAAATTAACTTTTTCCCATAAGCCCTGTAAAAAGATGTACACCTACTACACGGTAATAATAGTCACCTTTAATTAACAGTTCTATAATTCAAACAAAACTACAAACAAGTGCTAAGACATATAGACAGAACTGAAGATATCTATAAAGAATAGTGACTTTACCGAAAGACCCAAAGAGGTATAATCGTACAAATATCAAGAAGATCATTTCCAGCCGTGACTCAGAGACTCCGCGGAGTAAGACTCCGGGTTCCTCCTCGTTCGTCCGACGAAACGGACGAGCGGCCTTCAGCAGGCTCTTCAACCTGGTGGTGGTGGTGGATCTGCTGGTCCGTGCGTTGTGGGGATTCGACGCCACAATAATGGGAGCAGCCACGGAGTGACGGCGCTCCGCCAGGAGGGTTTTGGTTCGGGGGACAGCGAGCAACATTGAGGGATGAGGACCTTTAAAGTCCATGCGGGGGGGGGGGGGGGGGGCGGGGAGGGGCGGGATGGCCAGATGTGGAAGCCCATGGGTGAGAGCATGATGAGTTTAACGTCTCGACGTTCTGCGCGGCATTGTCCACGCGTAATGCCATCGTGATACCAAATGTACACATTCAGTGTCTATTTCGCGATGGTTTAGTTGTTACTTATGTATGTTGAACTTCTCGCGCAACGTATGTTGCCAACCGTGATAATCGGAAGTGTGGGGTGAGTCCGGGGGGGGGGGGGGGGGAGGTAGTCTGGGGTGGGTCTGGGTTTGGGGTCAGGGTTAGGGGTCGGAGTTAGGGGGACAGAGTTAGGGGTTAGACTTTGGTTGTATTTTCTTCGGCTGGCCATCGCGACCGATGAGTAAAATTCACGTGAACCTGCTTTATTGCATGCACTGTCATTGGTAAACTTTGATTTTTACTTTTATCTCTTCCCAATGGCTTCACCATCATTGTCTGGACTGGACCTGACAGCTGTGTCCGGTGAGATATAAAATCATCGAACCTATTTCCACCACACCAGCTACACCACGATTCGTGGACATGCGCTCAACCTGTCAATCCTCTGGCAGGATCAGGACCCCCCTCCCCCTTCGGTGTCTATTTCGTGATGTTTAGTTGCACGTCTATATGTTGAACTTCTTGCGCACTGTACATAGCCAACCGTGCTAATCGGAGGTGTGAGGTGGGTCTGGGGGGGGGGGGGGGGGGTCCAGGGAGGAGTGCTGATTGAGTCAGGGTTCGGGGTTCGGGGTCAGGGGTCAGGGTTCTGGGTTAGGGTTGGGTTGTGTTTATTGTCTTCTTCGGCCATCGCGACCGATGAGTAAAATTCACGTGGACCTGCTTTCTTCCATGCACTGTCATTGGTAAACTTTGATTTTTACTTTTATCTCTTCCCAATGGCTTCACCATCATTGCCTGGACTGGACCTGACAGATGGGCCCGGTGAGATCTAAAATCATCGAACCTATTTCCACCACACCAGCTACACCACGATTCGTGGGCATGCGCTCACCTTATCTGTCAATCCTTTGGCAGGAAAGGGCCTTCTCACGCCGTACAGGTCTTGGGGGTTATTTGGCCATACTTCACCATGCTGGTCAGTGTAGGTAGTTGACGGCAAGGAGCATAGGACATAGAAGTAGTTGAAGCACAGTCTGTTGTTTTATAACGCGGTTGTTGCGTTCCTGAAGAACACCGCATTATGGAAAAATCGCGTTATAATAAACAATATATCATATAGGGGGTAAAGCACAGTCCGCGACAACGCGTGAGGTGCGTACGCAGGCTGAGCAAAGACCGAGGCGCGTGGGTCGCATCTAGACGCATCCAGCAGCATCCCGATGCCTCGTGTGATGATGCTCCGCTAAGGCAGCCGTACGACCGCTTATTCGTTCCGTTCACTCGATCGCGTTATATCCAAATTGCAGCCGCGATGTAAAAAATGCGTTCCCTAACACATTAATCGCGTTGCGTCCAATTTCGCGTTGTGAAAACACGTGCCGTTAATAGGACAGCAGACCGTACATCAGTGGGTCTTGCCACATTGCCCTCTGTGTTCACGACTTCGCGCAGCTGCACGGACACCGATGAAAACCTCGCGTCCGTCACGGTCACCCATCGGAGCACTGTGCAGGCTCGAACCGTCTTAGCTTTCGAGATGTGATGAGATCGGGTGACTTTGTCACGGGAATACTAGAACATACATAGCAGTAATGCACAGAAGCACCAGTGCATGCAGTAGTCTATACCTGCTTAAGTTTGTAATTGATATTAATATTTACAATAGAATGAATGGTGTACCCATCCCGTGCCCTGCGTTCCATCATGATGTGTAGGGAACCTAAAATTATGTTTATCATACGGTGAGATATCGTTTATCATATAGTGAGATTATCAATTTGAAAGAGACTTTATAAAACTGAGTTTATTATTAATACTGTAAAAACGTGGTGCAGCGGAGGCCAGATGTTAACTACCTCGTCTGGTATACAGGAGGTCGTAGGTGCGATCCCGACCCTGACGCCTGCTGTACATTTGGAGTTTGCATGTTTTCCCAGTGGTTGCGTGGATTTCCCTCCACATTTAGAAACGTGCTTATAGAGTATTTTCCTACTATGAATGTCCACGTGATGAGCCACTTGTGTTGAGCTATCCTTTGTGGCCAGGTTGCTTCTGAAAAAAAGCTGCATAGCTCTGTGGGCCCTCACCTGGTTAAATAAAGTGAAAAATAGCACGATAAATATATTATTACATGAACAAAAACTGCGAATGAATTAATCACAACTTTTATGAATTTCTCTCGTTCGCATGGCAACCTTGTCGTCTGCAGTCGTGCCAACATCGGGTAAGGGCTCTCATCATTTCTCCCGTGGGTAGTGTTGCACCGCCGTGCTGCCAACGCCTACGATTCATCAGTGATGTTTGGGTCGGATGGCGTGAAGGAAAATGCTGTGTCGTGCACCCTCCATCCACCCGACACGGTCAACGATTAGCGCTGTCATCACGTGATGAGCAAACGTGGCCAATGTTGTTGCTGCAAACAACGTGTCACAATTTTGGTGCAGACTTTTCACCGGCACTTACAACCAGCATTTGCTAGAAATCTGCAAAACACCTAGTTTGTAATATGGGAAAATGCTATTGTATAGGCTATTTGTAAAAAATAAAATCGACTTATATTGTTCATATTGGAAAGTATTATGTGACAAATTCTAAGTGTCATTCCACCTTTGTATAATTTGACAAAGAATGGTTCAGCCTTTGTCAAATTATACGATGGGACTAATTTACGTGTTGGTGGAAAGTGAGGGAAAACAACAGCAAAATTGTTGATATAAAAAAAAATGTTTTACAATATTTTTGCAAAAAAGATAACCATGAAAGCATTTTAAGTGTGTGCGGTGTCTCTCTGTTCAAAACAACTGACTCTCTGATGTCTTTTTCTGTCTCCTTGAAATGTCCGCGTTCAGAACCAGCCACTACTACCGCCGGTGAGTACTGCGTGACGCGTTGCTGCTTGCACGTTGAACTTCCTTCGCACCGCACACGGCGCTGCGTGCACGCCACCACGGGGGCTTCCTGCCGAACCTGCGCGGAGATGACTGCTCTTTGCTAGGCGCAAGACGTCGCACCCTTCATGTTTGACGATAAACTCTGACGCCTTAAAGCGAGCGCATGTCAGCACACGCTCGCTATCCTCACAGCTCCGACTAGCACGTGTGAAAGAAGAAGAACACACAGCGTGCCCCCTCCGTAACAAACAACTGGAGTCGCGTGACGCAAAAGAGAATCTCTTTGGCCAAGGCTCCTCCTTTGCCTTTCGACCAAGGAAAGCCGCCGTGACTTCGTAGCTCCGAAGCAACAACAACAACAACAAAAGCGAGCCGGCCTACGACTGTTTCCGTCGTTATCGTTGCAGATTTTTCCCTTCGCCTGGCTGGAGGCGGCACATGCCACGGGCGGGTGGAGGTGTTCTACGAGGGCACGTGGGGCACCGTGTGCGGCGACATCTGGGACCTGCAGCACGCCGGCGTCGTGTGCCAGCAGCTGGGCTGCGGCTCCGCCTATATGGCCCCGAGGAACGCGCGCTTCGGACCGGGCAGCGGCCAGATCTGGTTGGACGACGTCCGTTGCTCCGGCACGGAGTCGCGGCTCTCCGAGTGCCAGCACCTTTCCTGGGGGTATCACAACTGCGTCCACGGAGAGGACGCCTCCGTCGTCTGTTCTTCGGGTGATCTGTTCGAACGTTTCACGTGCGCGCTCGGAGAGGGGGCGTGGGGGCGGGGGGAAATAATAAAAATGGCGATTGCAGCGTGCTCGCTTGGCCAATCCGTGCGTTTGGCGTCGAGTGGGAGGAATCGACAGAGAATGCAGAGAAAACACTCGGCGTGTTTGTACAAAACATCGCAACGTGTTCACATAGGATGTAATTGAAAGTAATGTTGGGGGGCGGTTGTGACACCCGATATTTATTTGAACACCTTTCATTGTGTGACTGGCGTTGGCTTTAATCGACCAACGTGCTCTGCTTTGTGAAGTGTGTGGATCTGTCATTAGTTGGGCAAAAGTGTTGAAGCATGACATTAATTTTAACAAGTATTTTTTTTCTCCTTTCAGACTGGTGGGCTATCCCTACTTTCGGTAAGACTATTTTGTAAATTTCTAGTTATTTGTATATACAAATACGAACGTTTACATGTGCTGATTAATGTTAAAGATGTATCCTGCCATGACGTGGTGCAATGGGCCATGGCACGATACTATTAAATAAAAAAAATCGTGAGTTCAGATCCCAGTTAGGTGTAGCCTCCAGCCTTCTTCCGTCGAAATCCATTCCGTGCATTATACACAAAGTGAGTCTGAGACTGTGTTTCCCCCCCCCCCCCAGCTGCTGAATGCTGTTCTGGAGCATTTAACAGTACGAACGCCATACAAATGTTAATCGGTACCAGGGTGGATGACAATAACCGTGGTTTAAGAACCCTTAGCTCCCAACGCGAACAGTTCAGACTCATTATGTGGCCATATCTAATGAAGGTGAAGTCATTAAAAATAATTTAAATGTATAAAGCACCCTTAAAACAATCGTTCTCAGGGCGCTATTACTAGTCATACAACATCAACCGCCATTCGCCACTAAGTGGCCGTGACATCACCACGGCGCCTGTGCCAGGCTACGTGCACTTCGAATGCCCGCTGGCAGGCGGTCACGGGACAGACCCACACGCACATGAACTCTGTGTATTCGTGGAAGTTAGGTGACGTAAAATTAGACTCGAATAGATTAGGTGTAAGAAGTGGAAACAAATAAGATATAATCAATAACAGGTGACACAAACGTGGCTGGAATCTGCACCTGGAAGCATCGAGCTCTTCTTAGGCAAGCTTAATGTAGTCATAAGAAAAGAACAATGAAAAAAAAATGTTTTTAAAGGTTTAATTTGCACATAAATGGAGACGGTCCATTGCCCAACAGGTCACCTACTTTATATTCATCCTTTGAAGGCCTCACACAGTGTTGTTGACGAACACGTTGAGTTGTTACTGGTGGTGTTATTGTTGGCTGTGCTTGTGCACCATCGCCACCAAATAATTTGTTTGACTAATCATCTGTTGCTTGTGTTCCTCTCTCAAATGTCGTCTTCATCAACTGGAGCAGACCCGACAACCTTACCTAGTAAGAGGCCCTTTCATGTTCCTTCTCTTTGCCCGGGCACGCACAAAACAATAAAATCACAGAGGCCATGGGCAAACAATAGCCTGCATTTGCTGGAATCGTGTAACAGTGTCTCAACATTTGTGAAGCAAACAGAGTGTCTTACGCTATTTTCCATAACTGTGTAATGACGACTTGACACACTTCTCTTGAGATGGCACTTTATTGAAGACGCGTTCACTTGACATCAGGCGGAGACCCCAGTGCAACAGCCCCGATTCTCCCGCGCATCTCCCTTTTATACCAACTCGAGGCCACGCCCCCTTTCTCGATCATTCTCGCGGAATCTGGCCGCTCGCTCCACCGGCAAACTCCACTGTCCTCTTCCGTCACCTGACCACGCTCCCTTCTCCAACATTCCCGTAGCCACCAGTCCCTTCACACACTCACAACTGATAACCCTGTCATTACCTCCCGTAGCCATTACTGTATTCGCACTGTAGGCTGACTCCCTTGTCATTGCCTCCCGTAGCCACTAGTCTATTTACACTGCAGGCTGACTCCCCTGTCATTACCTCCCGTAGCCACTAGTCTATTCACACTGCAGGCTGACTCCTCTGTCATTACCTCCCGTAGCCACTAGTCTATTCACACTGCAGGCTGACTCCCCTGTCATTACCTCCCGTAGCCACTAGTCTATTTACACTGCAGGCTGACTCCCCTGTCATTACCTCCCGTAGCCACTAGTCTATTCACACTGCAGGCTGACTCCCCTGTCATTACCTCCCGTGACCACTAGTCCCCTCTCACCGCATGCAGGCTCGATTGTCATTGCAACTGCATAATCACGCGTGAAGTTTGCAGAACATTCATTCGTAATCATTATCATGATCGGCACTGTACAGTTATCTGTTGAAAATGAACATAATGTTGATCATGTTTTTTGTTTTATTTTTATCAACATGTGACTTTAAACTTACGAAGCTACGAGAACTGGTAACGTGGAACACAACGCTACTTTTTTTTTCTTTAAAAACGCACCGTGAAACTCTCGGCGATATATATCTGTTGTTTTCAGTATTGTTTTGTGAGAATTTTGCCTTAAGATTAGCTAAGCATCCTTAACTCTGTCGCCTTTGCAAATACTATCATTGCATGACACTAACATTTAACAAATACATATTTAAAACGTACACCATGAATCTGCTTACATATTCATAGAAACCAACTTTCCACTGACTTCCAGTTGTAAAAATTACCCAATCATCAAATGACAGCAACATTTTTTACATGTTTAGCTCAACAACATGTGTTTGTATCTCTGTGCTTCAACGTTGTTTTGCGTAATAGAGGTTCTTGGGTTAGAAAGTGTAAATATATAAATGTGTCGCTAAACCCGCCACCCCCCGACACAGCCAATTAGTAAGGTTTGTCACGTAAACAGAACGTGCCAATCTGTTACTAGTACAGCACACACCGGTGTGTTGGAGAGTAAACTCACAACATTTAGAATTCGAGTAACAAAGTTTCGCCTGTAGTTACGACTAGCATCACATTTATATTAACGCGATTTAATCCAAAAACCTCTTATGGATAATATTGGTTGCGAAAGCCTTGGACGTGCCACATTTTTTTATTTAAAATAACGTTTGTGCTTCTTTCTCCTAAACTTTCCTGCTTCATCATCTAAAGAGGAACCCACCACTGCCATTGGTAAGTGCCCTTTACCCTCGTGCGTTCATCACTTGCAGTGACGGTTATCACTGTTAACGAGGAGCTTCGTGAATAATCCAACACTCTCCGCCGCATCGTGAGTTGAGTTCTTTGCTCAACAACGTGCAGTTAAAGAAATATTGCAACCATTCTTTCTTGACGACTAAACTCACTTTTATTGAGCAGCGAGCTCATTTTTAGAGGTGACTGGGCCACACATTATAGCTCATGGAAGTGGATTATGTTTCACCTTCATATGTGGGATTTTACAGTGGCAGCCAATTAAATTTAAACGCACGTTTCTAAACGTGGAGGGAAAAACCAGAGAGAAATCCATGCGACCACGGAGAGAGAGATCATGCGATCTCTAAACATACAGGCATCATGGTCTGCGGATGCTCGCCCGGCCTACAGGGAGATGTCAGTGAGCGATTGTCTTTGGGCAAGAGGAGCAGCTGAGTTGCAAGGGCACAATTCATACTTCACCTGGAATTTTCATTCAGAAGCAGAAGAGAATAAATCCCCTCCTTTGAACTATTGACCATTATGCAAAAATATACGGAATTGATTTCTAACGCAGCGTACTGCGTGATCTAGGCATTTTTTGACATTCGGCTACAATAATAAGCACTGCGTGTGCGTGTATAATTTGATGTAAATCATTACGTCGCTGATTTTGACTTAAACGCATGCACCATATCCCAATGTATTTGGAAAATTATATAATTCACTCTCAGTACCGTAAATATACATGTGTATCTCATCATAAGCAGAATTATAGATTTTCTTTGGCGTGGGAAAACTTACTCGTCTTCATTAACTATATCGATTTCGCAAAACATGATTCCGTAAAATCAACCACCACATGACATGGAAACACGAATCATAAACTCAAATCATTTACGGTGGACACTTGGCCAGGAACCACCCAGCCAAGCTGCACCACGTCATCGCTCCCCCTCCTCACAGATTTTCTCACCTTTGCATTAGGATCAGATTTCCCGATCCGCCTGGCTGGAGGAAGCGCGTGCCAGGGCCGCGTGGAGGTGTTCTACAGCGGTTCGTGGGGCACGGTGTGCGACGATATTTGGGAGCTAGCTCACGCCCAGATCGTGTGCCGTCAGCTGGGCTGTGGGCCTGCCCAGGCTGCCCTGCAAAGCGCCTACTTCGGGCAGGGCAGCGGTAACATCTGGCTGGACGACGTCCAGTGCTCTGGCTACGAGCCCCGGCTATCCGAATGTGGCCACCCTCCGTTTGGCATTCACAACTGCGGCCACAACGAAGATGCCTCGGTCATCTGCTCAGAAGGTTGCATTTTTTGTCTGCTCGAGTTTATCGCCGTGATTTTGTCCGTGCGCGTATATGTATGCCGTGTGTGGAAACGCGATGCGCGACGCAATTGGTAATTCCAAACGCTCCGCCTTAAAAGGTGAATGTTTGCAAAATAAGTATTTTGTATTTTCTTTGCAAGAGTTGGATGCATTGAGACGCATCGCGTTCAAGCTGCACGCACACCCGTGCAAATTATGGCCTTGTTAACGCATTCACCCAGGTGGAAATATATTCGTATATACTGTACTAGCTTTACTACCCGGCTTCGCCCGGGACTTGGATTCTTGTCTTGGATTAATACACAGCCTCCGCGGGGGGGGGGGGGGGGGGGGATGCGTGACGTCAGCAGGCACACTGCGTGACGCTACCGCATGCGGGTGACATCACAGATGTGAAGTCAATTTTTATACTTTTTGCATTGTGTACAGTTTAGAAGATACCCACATGCCACATTTCAAGTGTGTTGCATGTCGGGAAGTATGCTAAACATTTCGAACAGACACACATATTCACAAATGTCCCTTTTATATATATAGATATGTTCAGGGAATAAAATATAAGATAATAAATTGTATCACAATCAGCAGTGTAAGATTTCGCAGAGGCATCCTGTTAACCTATGAATTGCAAAAATGTTATCAGTGCAAAGGAAATTTGAGACAATGTGAGATAAAAAAAACTAGTGAGAATGGGCTTACATTTTTTTTATATTGTAAAAACACCATACCACAGATGCAGAGTTTGAGGTGTGGGTTTTAAATTGGAAAGCCTTGACATGCTAGGCCATCCACCCAGATACTACGTCTCACATAAGTCTCACGACGTAGTATCTGGAAACAGTACCATAAGAAAGTCCAACTCCATTGGATACCGTGTGTCATTACACGGATTTTGATTATTTTAAATGCTTTCAATGCTGAGAGGAGATCGACAGACGTCAGCTCCTCGTGGGATTTTTCCGAACCCAGTGTCTGCGTTATTACTTGAGGTGTGTGGGTACATTTTAAAGAAAGTCATCCCCATCACTTCACAAAACATTTCCTGTAACGATATCAAATGATCTGTATATAACTGCTACCGAGGGGTAGATTTTTGCGTGACAATTGCACGCTATTTTAACATCGTAATATTGATGCACTCACGCACTATTATTAAACTACTGTCCACTGCAGCGTATTCCATTTCGTAAACGTGAATATATTCGATCGGGCAGAAGTTAACGTTTGTTAAAAATGTTCATTGGTTCTGTTTCCACAGAAAAGAAAAATGGCTGCGCAGTTGCTCACCGTGTGTGTTGTGCGATTGTTTCTCTCGCGTGTCTGCAGCTTCTACGCCTGCAACAGAACCACCTACACCTACCCACTTCAGTAAGAGTCATGAAACCCATTTGCTTTAGAACTGTGCCTCCACCAGAGGTGGGACAAAGTCATTGTTATGCAAGTCCAAGTCGAGTCTGAAGTCATCAAATTCATGACTCGAGTCTGACTCGAGTCCAAGTCACATGACTCGAGTCCACACCTCTGGCCTCCACACAAGTAAACACTCTCAGTGCCCATAGTAAAGTAGGCCAATGTTGATCGGACAATAGCATCGCTTCATAACAACACCATTAAAAAAAATCCACTGTGCATTTTGGATTTGCATCACCACATCGCGCACAATTCGTGATGTTCGAATGATCGGACAATAACGGCAGTGAGTCCCTTCCAGGGCTCACACTGCCCACAGACAACTTTTGTGTTGAGGGAAACCAAGGCAATGGACAACTCCACCCATGTATGTCCACTTGCAGGCCGCGGGCCTTCTTTCAAGTTGTTTGGCTAATGCCCGGCTCTCTGACAACAACAACAACCGCCATTTGCCATTAAGTGGCGATGACATCATCACGGTTCTTGTGTCAGGCTCTGTGCACTTTAAGGCCACGCGAAGTCTCAAACGCCCACGGCAGGAAGGTCACGAGACAGACCCAGGTGCCATGGGTTGACTGAGATGACTGTCAGATGCATACATTTGTAGTGACATCGTTGGATGTCACTGTGTGAGGCCGGCGTGGGAGAGACACTGCGTGCGATTTATTGACATCGCGGACACCACTTGAATGTGGATGCAGCACCGGCCCTAGCGGGGCTGCGTGGGCGCTGACTGACAGTGATGGATAGCACCACGCTCGGCGTGCAGTGCCGGCCCCTACAGGATAGGGTGCAAGAGTGCCGGCCATGGAATAGGGTTACAAGGGGCCATGGCACTCTGGTTGACCCCGGAGGACACGTGACCGGTGGTGTCTACACGGGGGCCTCCAAAAGGGGGCTAAGGGTGATCACGTGTTCAGGTCGAGATCCTGCTCGACGATTCTAGAAGGTGGTCGTGGCTAAGGGTGGAGCGAGCCCCGCCACACAGGATATAAGCCGGGACCCCAGAGGGACCGGCTGCTGTTGTTATCCTGAAGGAATTTACGTTCTACATCCAAGAAGAGTTTTCAACACGTGGACCTGGACCCAAGTTGTGGTCCTGTCCGTCGTAGCTAGTTACTGTGTGATTAGTGTAGTTAGCCTGGTGGTCACCACCATAGGTTGTATAGTGTTTAACCAGTGTTGGTGTTAAATAAATGTGTTGCCTCTAAAGAGTGTGTCTGCGACTCCGTTTGAGCCCACTACACATTAACCCACACATAACTCCTTACCCAAATACTTGTCTCCTAACACTAATACTCTCTACTCTTCTAATTGAAAAGTCATCTTGTGCCAGGGCAGGGACAGCTGCCACTGGGGGTGCCCTTTCTGATGCGTTAGTTACTACTTGAGCACACCGGTTGTGAGATGGAGAGTAAATCCACAGAATTTACTGTTGAGTACGACATTTCGCTGGTGATTACAACAACCAGCTTAATCAGGCCAGTTTCCAGAATTGTGTTTTGTTCACGTGACAAACCTTACTCATTGGCTGTGTTGGGTGATGGTAGACTAACAACACATTTATACTTACACGATCTATCCCAAATGCCTTTGTCATGAATATTGGTCGCGAAAAGCCTACGTGTTAAATTGGCGAATATAAGTTTAAGGGGTATACAATCTTGAAAATGTTAGAAGCTTGATTATATTACAATGTGAATGACAAATGCGAGGACACTATGACCGAACAAAATCTACATGTCTCTGCAGGGGCATGCCTGTCTCGCCCGTGTCAACATGGGGGCACCTGCGTGGAGGAGAATGTCCACCCCTATTACTCCTGCAACTGCATCCCATTCACATACGGCGAAAACTGTGAATATCAAGGTGAGTGGACTGCGTTGCGTGTGTGCGTGTCCGGGTGCAGAAATGAAAGTGCTGTATGCCAAGTATTTTTCTCTCTCACAACTACAAGAACAAGAAAAAGCACCGCGACAATTTAAAATCGAATACAGAGGCTGTGATTGGTGCGTTGGCGGATATATTTTAGCGACAATTTTGTTCTAGAAAATATTCCTTTGTCTCCACCACTAAACAACAGAAAAATCTCAAAGGCAATGGGTTTCGGTTATTTTATGTCACAGGACGAATCTGCATGAAGTTAGAATGTGGACCAGAGCAACTTTTTGTTGAAAACAAGTGTTACAGTTCTGCAACAGTCTTCTGCCTGGTCATCCATTTTTCACGGAATCTTAACATCTACAATGAGACGGAAGCAACTTTGACGTCGTAGGATGGATGCATGGCTGAATAATAACGATGATGATGAAATGGACATCCTTTTTAATTACTGCCGTGTGTCTATATTTGTGTCCATAGCAACTCCACGACCATCGCCTGGAACGGTGAGCCCTACTCCCCCTGCCGGTAAGTGTCTCTTCTCCCTCTCTGTTACTTGCACCTAGACGCCTGCCTCGTTCCAATTCTGCTGCCACTGCCGTTGTTTGAGTGCAGCTGGTGTAGACCTTTAGAATCGTGAACAGACCAAACACAATCACCAAGGGCGGCCTTACCGCGCAATGCTGGCTACACGGTTCTGTAATGACGTCTCTCTTGCTGCAGCTGGCTGCCAGTCCAACCCATGTCTCAACGGAGGGACTTGCGACGATAGCTTGTACTACCCCAACTACTGGTGCGCTTGCATCTCGCCGTGGTCGGGCAGCAACTGCGACTACTATGGTGAGTTCCTCGTTGACGAGTGTGTCGCTGCAGTAGCGCACGTTTAATGAGTGTATTCCGATAGATGTCACGGCTTAATCAGTAAAATGCAATAGATGTCACAGTTTGATCAGTAAAATGTAATAGATTTCACGGTTTTATCAGTAAAATGCAACAGATTTCACGGTTTGATCAGTAAAATGCAATAGATGTCACTGTTTGATCAGTAAAATGCAACAGATGTCACATTTTGATCTGTAATAATGCGTTTTGTCTTTTTCAACTGGCTTCATCCTAATTACTTGGAGCAGTTCCTACACCTTCCCCTGGTGAGCAGAACATATCTACTATTGCCCGGCCTCACCCTCGCTCTGTTAGACTTGGATGCTTTCCATAGATTTATTTGTAATCTGGAAGAATCACACTTTTCTGATGCAATACACCTCTTGTGTGTGAGCTGATAAGATTTTCTGAACCAGTCCTGTGACTCCCCGAGGTCGCCTCAGCCTCAAATGAGTACCTAGTGTGGTGTTTAAACATCGCCACTAGAGAGACAAAGACGGTCAGGCCTGGTGCTGGCCACCTACTCCATCGTGTACAGGGCTGCTCTTCATAGGTGCTCGCTCATAGCACTTGCCCCAAAAGTCGGTTAAGGCTCTATGGGGGATCTTTGTCTTTGCTGATAGGTGCCTTGTTTCACTCGCTAAGATGTATTGTACGCCGCTTAAGCGGTGTGCTTCCGCTAAGTTCTCCCCACCTGAAGAAAGACGCTTGTGTTGCACCCGAAACGTCGTGATTTAATTTATTTAAATTTTTTACCTACGTGACTTTACCGAATAAAACAAAAAGTATGAATCCTTGCAGTCACGAAAACTTCAAATCTAGAATGTATTGTATAGTCATCTAGTGTTGGTTGATGTGGTCCTATATGATTACTTGGTTCATTGGTATAAACAGGTACAGGGACAATGGAAATGATAGATAGACACAAATATTGTTGAGGGCCTTGTGCACGTTGTACTCAGGTCACTCTTGCACGGTCGGGACTCTGCTGGTCTCTCCAACTCTCTCCGGGTTTAACCAAAACAAAACGTGACTTGATTTGCATAAAAGCGACACACCGATCATGCACCCTTCCCTTTAATGCCTCTTGCTGCAGCTGGCTGCCAGTCCAACCCATGTCTCAACGGAGGGACTTGCGACGATAGCTTGTACTACCCCAACTACTGGTGCGCTTGCATCTCGCCGTGGTCGGGCAGCAACTGCGACTACTATGGTGAGTCCCCCGTTGACGAGTGTGTCGCTGCAGTAGCGCACGTTTGATTATTCAAATGCAATAAATGTCACGGGTTGAGCTGTAAAATGCAATAAATGTCACGGTTTAACCACAAATAATTAACTTTTGTCTTTTTCAATGGACTTCATCTTAATTACCTGGACCAGTTCCTACGCCTCCCCCTGGTGAGTAGAACATATCTACTATTGCCCGGCCTCACCCTCGCTCTGTTAGACTTGGATGCTTTCCATTGATTTCTTTGTAATCTGGAAGAATCACACTTTTATGATGAAATACACCTCTTGTGTGTGAGCTGATAAAATTATCTGAACCAGTCCTGGGACTCCCTGAGGTCGACTCAGCCTCAAATAAGTACCTAGTGTGGTGTTTAAACATCGCCACTTGGGAGACAAAGACGGTCAGGCGTGATGCTGGCCACCCACTCCCTTGTGTACAGGGCTGCCCTTCATAGGTGCTCACTCATAGCACTTGCCCCAAAAGTCTGTCATGGCTCTATGGGGGATCTTTGTCTTTGCTGATAAGTGCCTTGTTTCACTCGCTAAGATGTATAGTCATCTGGTGTTGATTGATGTGGTCCTAAATGATTACTTGGTGAGGTGTGGTCGTGATCTATTTCCGGCTCTTTATCCGCTGCTTGGATGCCACACGCAAACAGATAACTCACTCGGCTTGGAGCAGAAGTTGTTAGCAAGTGTTTATGAAGGCCAGCATGGAACTTGATGGTGCCCATGATTAAATCGCACCTCACTGGGTACTCACTTGAGCGCACGTCAACCAACACGACGTCACACGGAGAGACTGAGGCAGTCACAAGGAGATACCATTAGATACGTAGAGAAATTCACACAAAGAGTGAAACATAAGGAAAGAGAGACACACGGAGAGACCCATGGAGAAATGCAGAGAGGAACGGTGAGGGGCAGACACTGAGCGACAGACAGAGAAAGGTGATACAAGTAGCATCAGGAGACACATTTACCGTATCGACAGGTACAGAGACAGTGTAAATTATAAATAGACAAAAAATATCGTTGAGGGGCTTGTGCTTGTTGTACCCAGGTCACTCTTGCACGGTCGAGACTCTGCTGGTCTCTCTCGAGCTCTCGCCGGGTTAAACAAAACTTGACTTGACTTACGTACAAGCCGCACACCGGTCGTGCGTATCCCTGGCACACTTCCCTTTAATGCCTCTTGCTGCAAAAAGTACGCGTTCATCCCTTGGTATTACCGCTGTCAGTAAGGAGGATCCTCACTTTCAAAAGGGAGATGCATCAGAGTGTGAAAGACAAAGCAGCATTAACCCCCAGGCGCGAGGCGCGGTAAAGTTGTGTTCCTCTGCAGGCGCATGGCCTGTCTCACCCGTGCCAAAATGGCGGCAACCTGCGTGGGTCGACATGGCTACCCCTATTACACCTGCAACTGCATCCGGTCCACATCTGGTGAAAACTGTGAATTACTCTTTGGTTCTTTCGGTAAAGTCACGTAGAAAGGAAATAGATTAAATAATAGGATACGACGTTTCGATTGCAACACAAGCAATCGTCATCAGGTACGAATGAATGAGAAAACAAACCTAGTAAACTGAGAAATATAATGCAATACAACACAGAGAGTCGGCTAACATAACAGTCAACACCCTACCTGGTTGATTACGTTCTTCCAAAGATTACTAAATTTGAGAGAGAGACAAAACACAGACACGGAGACACATACACAGACACATACGCAGAGATAGACACACACAGAGACACACAGAGAATATCAAGGTGAGTGGACCGCATTGTGTGTGCGCGTGTGTGTCCAGGTGCAGAAATGAAATTTAGATCACAACGGCAAAGGTCTCCCGTATTGCTGTTTGCCAAGTATATATTTCTCACAACTACAACAACAACAAAAAGCACCGCTACAGTTTCAAATCAAATACGGAGGCTTTGATTGGTACTTTGGCGGATATATATTAGCGACAATTGTTTGTTGAAAATATTCCGACGTCTCCACGACTAAAGATGGGAAAAATTTCCAAGGCAATGGGTTCTTTTATGTCACGGGACGAATCTGCATGAAGTTAGAATGTGGACCAGGACGGTTTTGGAGCAATTTTTTGTTGAAAAAGAAGTGTTACAGTTCTGTAACAGTCTCCTGCCTAGTCATAAATTCTTCAAAGAGTCTTAACATCTACGTAGAATGAGACGGAAGCAACTTTGACGTCGTAGGATGGATGCATGGATGAATAATAACGATGATGATGAAATTGACATCCTTTTTAATTACTGCAGTGTGTCTGTATAATTGTGTCCATAGTAACTCCACAACCACGTCCTCGAGAAGTGAGCCCTACTCCCCCTGCCGGTGTCACTTCTCTCTCTCTGTTACTTGCACCTAGACGCCTGCCTCGTTCCGATTCTGCTGCCACTGCCGTTGTTTGAGTGCAGCTGGTGTAGACCTTTAGAATCGTGAACAGACCAAACACAATCACCAAGGGCGGCCTTACCGCGCAATGCTGGCTACACGGTTCTGTAATGACGTCTCTCTTGCTGCAGCTGGCTGCCAGTCCAACCCATGTCTCAACGGAGGGACTTGCGACGATAGGTTGTACTACCCCAACTACTGGTGCGCTTGCATCTCGCCGTGGTCGGGCAGCAACTGCGACTACTACGGTGAGTCCCCCGTTGACGAGTGTGTCGCTGCAGTAGCACACGTTTAATGAGTGAAATCCGATAGATGTCACGGCTTAATCAGTAAAATGCAATAGATGTCACAGTTTGATCAGTAAAATGTAATAGATATCACGGTTTGATCAGTAAAATGCAACAGATTTCACGGTTTGATCTGTAAAATGCAATAGATGTCACGGTTTTATCAGTAAAATGCAACAGATGTCACGGTTTGATCAGTAAAATGCAACAGATTTCACGGTTTGATCAGTAAAATGCAATAGATGTCACGGTTTGATCAGTAAAATGCAACAGATGTCACAGTTTGATCTGTAATAATGCCCTTTGTCTTTTTCAACTGGCTTCATCTTAATTACCTGGAGCAGTTCCTACACCTTCCCCTGGTGAGTAGAACATATCTACTATTGCCCGGCCTCACCCTCGCTCTGTTAGACTTGGATGCTTTCCATTGATTTCTTTGTAATCTGGAAGAATCACACTTTTCTGATGAAATACACCTCTTGTGTGTGAGCTGATAAGATTTTCTGAACCAGTCCTGTGACTCCCCGAGGTCGACTCAGCCTCAAATAAGTACCTAGTGTGGTGTTTAAACATCGCCACTTGGGAGACAAAGACGGTCAGGTCTGGTGCTGGCCACCCACTCCCTCGTGTACAGGGTTGCCCTTCATAGGTGCTCGCTCATAGCACTTGCCCCAAAAGTCTGTTAAGGCTCTATGGGGGATCTTTGTCTTTGCTGATAGGTGCCTTGTTTCACTCGCTAAGATGTATTGTACACCGCTTAAGCGGTGTGCTTCCGCTAAGTTGTCCCCACCTGAAGAAGGATGCTTGTGTTGCACCCGAAACGTCGTGATTTAATTTATTTAAATTTTTTACCTACGTGACTTTACCGAATAAAACAAAAAGTATGAATCCTTGCAGTCACGAAAACTTCAAATCTAGAATGTATTGTATAGTCATCTAGTGTTGGTTGATGTGGTCCTATATGATTACTTGGTTCATTGGTATAAACAGGTACAGGGACAATAGAAATGATAGATAGACACAAATATTGTTTAGGGCCTTGTGCACGTTGTACCCAGGTCACTCTTGCACGGTCGGGACTCTGCTGGTCTCTCCAACTCTCTCCGGGTTTAACCAAAACAAAACGTGACTTGATTTGCGTAAAAGCGACACACCGATCATGCACCCTTCCCTTTAATGCCTCTTGCTGCAGCTGGCTGCCAGTCCAACCCATGTCTCAACGGAGGGACTTGCGACGATAGCTTGTTCTACCCCAACTACTGGTGCGCTTGCATCTCGCCGTGGTCGGGCAGCAACTGCGACTACTATGGTGAGTCCCCCGTTGATGAGTGTGTCGCTGCAGTAGCGCACGTTTAATGAATGAAATCCGATAGATGTCACGGCTTAATCAGTAAAATGCAATAGATGTCACAGTTTGATCAGTAAAATGTAATAGATATCACGGTTTGATCAATAAAATGCAACAGATTTCACGGTTTGATCTGTAAAATGCAATAGATGTCACGGTTTTATCAGTAAAATGCAACAGATTTCACGGCTTGAACAGTAAAATGCAACAGATTTCACGGTTTGATCAGTAAAATGCAATAGATGTCACGGTTTGATCAGTAAAATGCAACAGATGTCACAGTTTGATCTGTAATAATGCCCTTTGTCTTTTTCAACTGGCTTCATCTTAATTACCTGGAGCAGTTCCTACACCTTCCCCTGGTGAGCAGAACATATCTACTATTGCCCGGCCTCACCCTCGCTCTGTTAAACTTGGATGCTTTCCATTGATTTCTTTGTAATCTGGAAGAATCACACTTTTCTGATGAAATACACCTCTTGTGTGTGAGCTGATAAGATTATCTGAACCAGTCCTGTGACTCCCCGAGGTCGACTCAGCCTCAAATAAGTACCTAGTGTGGTGTTTAAACATCGCCACTTGGGAGACAAAGACGGTCAGGTCTGGTACTGGCCACCCACTCCCTCGTGTACAGGGCTGCCCTTCATAGGTGCTCGCTCATAGCACTTGCCCCAAAAGTCTGTTAAGGCTCTATGGGGGATCTTTGTCTTTGCTGATAGGTGCCTTGTTTCACTCGCTAAGATGTATTGTACACCGCTTAAGCGGTGTGCTTCCGCTAAGTTGTCCCCACCTGAAGAAGGATGCTTGTGTTGCACCCGAAACGTCGTGATTTAATTTATTTAAATTTTTTACCTACGTGACTTTACCGAATAAAACAAAAAGTATGAATCCTTGCAGTCACGAAAACTTCAAATCTAGAATGTATTGTATAGTCATCTAGTGTTGCTTGATGTGGTCCTAAATGATTACTTGGTTCATTGGTATAAACAGGTACAGGGACAATGGAAATGATAGATAGACACAAATATTGTTGAGGGCCTTGTGCACGTTGTACTCAGGTCACTCTTGCACGGTCGGGACTCTGCTGGTCTCTCCAACTCTCTCCGGGTTTAACCAAAACAAAACGTGACTTGATTTGCATAAAAGCGACACACCGATCATGCACCCTTCCCTTTAATGCCTCTTGCTGCAGCTGGCTGCCAGTCCAACCCATGTCTCAACGGAGGGACTTGCGACGATAGCTTGTACTACCCCAACTACTGGTGCGCTTGCATCTCGCCGTGGTCGGGCAGCAACTGCGACTACTATGGTGAGTTCCCCGTTGATGAGTGTGTCGCTGCAGTAGCGCACGTTTAATGAATGAAATCCGATAGATGTCACGGCTTAATCAGTAAAATGCAATAGATGTCACAGTTTGATCAGTAAAATGTAATATATATCACGGTTTGATCAGTAAAATGCAACAGATTTCACGGTTTGATCTGTAAAATGCAATAGATGTCACGGTTTTATCAGTAAAATGCAACAGATTTCACGGCTTGATCAGTAAAATGCAACAGATTTCACGGTTTGATCAGTAAAATGCAATAGATGTCACGGTTTGATCAGTAAAATGCAACAGATGTCACATTTTGATCTGTAATAATGCCCTTTGTCTTTTTCGACTGGCTTCATCCTAATTACCTGGAGCAGTTCCTACACCTTCCCCTGGTGAGTAGAACATATCTACTATTGCCCGGCCTCACCCTCGCTCTGTTAGACTTGGATGCTTTCCATTGATTTCTTTGTAATCTGGAAGAATCACACTTTTCTGATGAAATACACCTCTTGTGTGTGAGCTGATACGATTTTCTGAACCAGTCCTGTGACTCCCCGAGGTCGACTCAGCTTCAAATGAGTACCTAGTGCGGTGTTTAAACATCGCCACTAGAGAGACAAAGACGGTCAGGCCTGGTGCTGGCCACCTACTCCATCGTGTACAGGGCTGCTCTTCATAGGTGCTCGCTCATAGCACTTGCCCCAAAAGTCGGTTAAGGCTCTATGGGGGATCTTTGTCTTTGCTGATAGGTGCCTTGTTTCACTCGCTAAGATGTATTGTACGCCGCTTAAGCGGTGTGCTTCCGCTAAGTTCTCCCCACCTGAAGAAAGACGCTTGTGTTGCACCCGAAACGTCGTGATTGTATTTATTTAAATTTTTTACCTACGTGACTTTTACCGATTAAACCAAAAAGTATGAATCCTTGCAGTCACGAAAACTTCAAATCTAGAATGTATTGTATAGTCATCTAGTGTTGGTTGATGTGGTCCTATATGATTACTTGGTTCATTGGTATAAACAGGTACAGGGACAATGGAAATGATAGATAGACACAAATATTGTTGAGGGCCTTGTGCACGTTGTACTCAGGTCACTCTTGCACGGTCGGGACTCTGCTGGTCTCTCCAACTCTCTCCGGGTTTAACCAAAACAAAACGTGACTTGATTTGCATAAAAGCGACACACCGATCATGCACCCTTCCCTTTAATGCCTCTTGCTGCAGCTGGCTGCCAGTCCAACCCATGTCTCAACGGAGGGACTTGCGACGATAGCTTGTACTACCCCAACTACTGGTGCGCTTGCATCTCGCCGTGGTCGGGCAGCAACTGCGACTACTATGGTGAGTCCCCCGTTGACGAGTGTGTCGCTGCAGTAGCGCACGTTTGATTATTCAAATGCAATAAATGTCACGGGTTGAGCTGTAAAATGCAATAAATGTCACGGTTTAACCACAAATAATTAACTTTTGTCTTTTTCAATGGACTTCATCTTAATTACCTGGACCAGTTCCTACGCCTCCCCCTGGTGAGTAGAACATATCTACTATTGCCCGGCCTCACCCTCGCTCTGTTAGACTTGGATGCTTTCCATTGATTTCTTTGTAATCTGGAAGAATCACACTTTTATGATGAAATACACCTCTTGTGTGTGAGCTGATAAAATTATCTGAACCAGTCCTGGGACTCCCTGAGGTCGACTCAGCCTCAAATAAGTACCTAGTGTGGTGTTTAAACATCGCCACTTGGGAGACAAAGACGGTCAGGCGTGATGCTGGCCACCCACTCCCTTGTGTACAGGGCTGCCCTTCATAGGTGCTCACTCATAGCACTTGCCCCAAAAGTCTGTCATGGCTCTATGGGGGATCTTTGTCTTTGCTGATAAGTGCCTTGTTTCACTCGCTAAGATGTATAGTCATCTGGTGTTGATTGATGTGGTCCTAAATGATTACTTGGTGAGGTGTGGTCGTGATCTATTTCCGGCTCTTTATCCGCTGCTTGGATGCCACACGCAAACAGATAACTCACTCGGCTTGGAGCAGAAGTTGTTAGCAAGTGTTTATGAAGGCCAGCATGGAACTTGATGGTGCCCATGATTAAATCGCACCTCACTGGGTACTCACTTGAGCGCACGTCAACCAACACGACGTCACACGGAGAGACTGAGGCAGTCACAAGGAGATACCATTAGATACGTAGAGAAATTCACACAAAGAGTGAAACATAAGGAAAGAGAGACACACGGAGAGACCCATGGAGAAATGCAGAGAGGAACGGTGAGGGGCAGACACTGAGCGACAGACAGAGAAAGGTGATACAAGTAGCATCAGGAGACACATTTACCGTATCGACAGGTACAGAGACAGTGTAAATTATAAATAAACAAAAAATATCGTTGAGGGGCTTGTGCTTGTTGTACCCAGGTCACTCTTGCACGGTCGAGACTCTGCTGGTCTCTCTCGAGCTCTCGCCGGGTTAAACAAAACTTGACTTGACTTACGTACAAGCCGCACACCGGTCGTGCGTATCCCTGGCACACTTCCCTTTAATGCCTCTTGCTGCAAAAAGTACGCGTTCATCCCTTGGTATTACCGCTGTCAGTAAGGAGGATCCTCACTTTCAAAAGGGAGATGCATCAGAGTGTGAAAGACAAAGCAGCATTAACCCCCAGGCGCGAGGCGCGGTAAAGTTGTGTTCCTCTGCAGGCGCATGGCCTGTCTCACCCGTGCCAAAATGGCGGCAACCTGCGTGGGTCGACATGGCTACCCCTATTACACCTGCAACTGCATCCGGTCCACATCTGGTGAAAACTGTGAATTACTCTTTGGTTCTTTCGGTAAAGTCACGTAGAAAGGAAATAGATTAAATAATAGGATACGACGTTTCGATTGCAACACAAGCAATCGTCATCAGGTACGAATGAATGAGAAAACAAACCTAGTAAACTGAGAAATATAATGCAATACAACACAGAGAGTCGGCTAACATAACAGTCAACACCCTACCTGGTTGATTACGTTCTTCCAAAGATTACTAAATTTGAGAGAGAGACAAAACACAGACACGGAGACACATACACAGACACATACGCAGAGATAGACACACACAGAGACACACAGAGAATATCAAGGTGAGTGGACCGCATTGTGTGTGCGCGTGTGTGTCCAGGTGCAGAAATGAAATTTAGATCACAACGGCAAAGGTCTCCCGTATTGCTGTTTGCCAAGTATATATTTCTCACAACTACAACAACAACAAAAAGCACCGCTACAGTTTCAAATCAAATACGGAGGCTTTGATTGGTACTTTGGCGGATATATATTAGCGACAATTGTTTGTTGAAAATATTCCGACGTCTCCACGACTAAAGATGGGAAAAATTTCCAAGGCAATGGGTTCTTTTATGTCACGGGACGAATCTGCATGAAGTTAGAATGTGGACCAGGACGGTTTTGGAGCAATTTTTTGTTGAAAAAGAAGTGTTACAGTTCTGTAACAGTCTCCTGCCTAGTCATAAATTCTTCAAAGAGTCTTAACATCTACGTAGAATGAGACGGAAGCAACTTTGACGTCGTAGGATGGATGCATGGATGAATAATAACGATGATGATGAAATTGACATCCTTTTTAATTACTGCAGTGTGTCTGTATAATTGTGTCCATAGTAACTCCACAACCACGTCCTCGAGAAGTGAGCCCTACTCCCCCTGCCGGTGTCACTTCTCCCTCTCTGTTACTTGCACCTAGACGCCTGCCTCGTTCCGATTCTGCTGCCACTGCCGTTGTTTGAGTGCAGCTGGTGTAGACCTTTAGAATCGTGAACAGACCAAACACAATCACCACGGGCGGCCTTACCGCGCAATGCTGGCTACACGGTTCTGTAATGACGTCTCTCTTGCTGCAGCTGGCTGCCAGTCCAACCCATGTCTCAACGGAGGGACTTGCGACGATAGGTTGTACTACCCCAACTACTGGTGCGCTTGCATCTCGCCGTGGTCGGGCAGCAACTGCGACTACTACGGTGAGTCCCCCGTTGACGAGTGTGTCGCTGCAGTAGCACACGTTTAATGAGTGAAATCCGATAGATGTCACGGCTTAATCAGTAAAATGCAATAGATGTCACAGTTTGATCAGTAAAATGTAATAGATATCACGGTTTGATCAGTAAAATGCAACAGATTTCACGGTTTGATCTGTAAAATGCAATAGATGTCACGGTTTTATCAGTAAAATGCAACAGATGTCACGGTTTGATCAGTAAAATGCAACAGATTTCACGGTTTGATCAGTAAAATGCAATAGATGTCACGGTTTGATCAGTAAAATGCAACAGATGTCACAGTTTGATCTGTAATAATGCCCTTTGTCTTTTTCAACTGGCTTCATCTTAATTACCTGGAGCAGTTCCTACACCTTCCCCTGGTGAGTAGAACATATCTACTATTGCCCGGCCTCACCCTCGCTCTGTTAGACTTGGATGCTTTCCATTGATTTCTTTGTAATCTGGAAGAATCACACTTTTCTGATGAAATACACCTCTTGTGTGTGAGCTGATAAGATTTTCTGAACCAGTCCTGTGACTCCCCGAGGTCGACTCAGCCTCAAATAAGTACCTAGTGTGGTGTTTAAACATCGCCACTTGGGAGACAAAGACGGTCAGGTCTGGTGCTGGCCACCCACTCCCTCGTGTACAGGGTTGCCCTTCATAGGTGCTCGCTCATAGCACTTGCCCCAAAAGTCTGTTAAGGCTCTATGGGGGATCTTTGTCTTTGCTGATAGGTGCCTTGTTTCACTCGCTAAGATGTATTGTACACCGCTTAAGCGGTGTGCTTCCGCTAAGTTGTCCCCACCTGAAGAAGGATGCTTGTGTTGCACCCGAAACGTCGTGATTTAATTTATTTAAATTTTTTACCTACGTGACTTTACCGAATAAAACAAAAAGTATGAATCCTTGCAGTCACGAAAACTTCAAATCTAGAATGTATTGTATAGTCATCTAGTGTTGCTTGATGTGGTCCTAAATGATTACTTGGTTCATTGGTATAAACAGGTACAGGGACAATGGAAATGATAGATAGACACAAATATTGTTGAGGGCCTTGTGCACGTTGTACTCAGGTCACTCTTGCACGGTCGGGACTCTGCTGGTCTCTCCAACTCTCTCCGGGTTTAACCAAAACAAAACGTGACTTGATTTGCATAAAAGCGACACACCGATCATGCACCCTTCCCTTTAATGCCTCTTGCTGCAGCTGGCTGCCAGTCCAACCCATGTCTCAACGGAGGGACTTGCGACGATAGCTTGTACTACCCCAACTACTGGTGCGCTTGCATCTCGCCGTGGTCGGGCAGCAACTGCGACTACTATGGTGAGTCCCCCGTTGACGAGTGTGTCGCTGCAGTAGCGCACGTTTGATTATTCAAATGCAATAAATGTCACGGGTTGAGCTGTAAAATGCAATAAATGTCACGGTTTGACCACAAATAATAAACTTTTGTCTTTTTCAACTGGCTTCATCCTAATTACCTGGAGCAGTTCCTACGCCTCCCCCTGGTGAGCAGAACATATCTACTATTGCCCGGCCTCACCCTCGCTCTGTTAGACTTGGATGCTTTCCATTGATTTCTTTGTAATCTGGAAGAATCACACTTTTATGATGAAATACACCTCTTGTGTGTGAGCTGATAAGATTATCTGAACCAGTCCTGGGACTCTCCGAGGTGTTTAAACATCGCCACTTGGGAGACAAAGACGGTCAGGCGTGGTGCTGGCCACCCACTCCCTCGTGTACAGGGCTACCCTTCATAGGTGCTCGCTCATAGCACTTGCCCCTGGAACTCGCGGAGGATCGGTCCGTTGAACAAAATAGATCCGCGGTTTGGTTCGTAAGCACGACTGTACGTTCGTAGTTGGACAGTTAAAAATAATAGAATCTAACGGTGGCTCGTTCATTAGTGCGGATGTTTGTCAGTCGGCGACTGCCCATATTAAACAATGTAAAGAAGATGACTTGAGTGTGAGTTTGCATTTTTATGAATGTCCTTAAGCCTGAAATGAGCATATAATCGCGACCTTTAAGTTACAATATAATGACTGCGTCTCTTTGTCTCTTTCATATCACCTTCATTGTCTGGACCAGAGCCTATTACCACTGCCAGTGAGTATCCGGTGTTTCACGCATACATCACGGTGGTGAAAGTCTCGTCGCAGTTTAATGTTGTGATGAAGAGGCTGTTGGCGGTTTGAAAATTCCAGTCAACTAAATGTCCATGGCGCAATGGCTGTGCGTGTGTCTGTAGGGCGGTGCCAGTATAATTCGTGTGTCAATGGGGGTACCTGTGTAATGGTTCGATTGAGGCGCTTACACTCGTGTGGAGGCAACACTATTTATTTAACACAACTGCAACACAACTGCAACACACCCTACACATAAGGTGGTGACCACCGTCCTACTCTCGCTAACACTCGGGTACTACTTGGCGTGGCCAAGCCAGGAGGGCTTCTGCTTCGCCACGATGTCTGGAGGCTTCTTTCTTCAGAGTCTTCATGAGACGGCTTCATCCCAGGCACCAACAGCCCAGCTCTATGAGCCATTCGGCTCTTGAATCGGGTGCAACCGCAACAAACAAAAACATGAACAAGAAACATCTTAAATTGACTATGCGCAAACAGAAAAATCCAGGAAAAAACAGCAAAGTCTTCAAGAAAAAGCACCGTACACCAACGCTGTGTGCAAAAATCCCAGTGGGATGCAAGTCAAACAATAACAACCATAAGCCAATTTAGATTAAAGTTATCAGTCTAACTCTGTACTACAACAAACAAACATGGCTAAACCAAAACGTTTTCGAAATCACCAAAATAAAGCTATAAAACAATGTAACAGTGATCACTATTTGTGACCCCCAGGGTCCCCCAGGGCCCCTGGCCCCCTCCTGGATCCGTGCCCAGACGGGGTCACTCGGAGTGCCATGGCCTGAAAACCACCCCCGTGGCACCCATCAACAGTTTCCATACCAAACAGGCAGTGTCGTCACGCGTACAGACCCAACATAGCAATGACGTCATGTGCGTACAGACCCAACATAGCAGTGACGTCATGTGTATACAGACCCGATACAGTAGTGATGTCATATGTCACTACACCTGTATGGAAAAGCCATACTACTACCCCTACTACCAGTGCAGCTGAAACCCAGGTTTCAGGCACTCCCCGGGTTACGGAAGGGTTAGGTTCCCAAGAACGATTCGTAACCCGAATTTTCTCTATTTTAGGAAACTGAACAATTTTCCCCCAAAATCAACGATAAAATCCCATAGCCGGAAATAGCTGTGCCTACCCTACCGTTTTTTTTTATCAGGACTGCATCGCGCCATAGTCCATTCTCGATCACTACCTTATCGTATCGTGGTACATACACTCTGCACTTGCTATGGTTCTTTCCTTTAATCGAATATCTACCCTAACACTACCCATTATTAAACTAATGTAACATATACTGTATCCCATTGTTTATGAGTACCACGAAATATTTTAAGGTTTATTGGTTATCAATAAAGCACTCACTTCGGAATGTCTGTTTACTGTGCATTAGGCCAGGCCTAGATTCTCCGATCACTGTTGGGCTGAGACATGAGTGTTCGAAGTGTCATTGTGTTAAATAAAGTGCACACAGTAAATAACTCATGAAATAAACTTAAAATGAAAAAAACAACTAGCAATAGAAACGTGGAAAACAATATAGTTCTAAGCATAGAAAACAAACATGTAATGCTACAAAATGAAAATAATTACATAACGTTACCAACAATTCCATTGACCTTGATCCCGGTGAAGCTCGGGCTTACGCCTCGTACCGCGGTATTCATCCGCGACCTCACCGCGCTGCACTATTTGCCCCTTACGTAACTAACGCGAACATATCCACATGTTGATATTTTTTTAAACACGATTCATGGGAGCATTTCCGTAAACTCGTATTTCCGTAAGTCGGCTATTCTGCAACCTGGGGACTTGTGACCATCCCGGTGAGAATGGCCTCGACTGCAGTCTCGGTGGTGTCCAAGGTGCGCAAATAGTGATGCGTGCATCTCTCTATTCGGGCAAACGTGAGGTGTTGTTTTCTCTGTTGGTACCCTACAGTGACGAAGGATTCCACTTTCCTTGAGTAGGGGACGACAGCATTGCATGCGTATATACATCGGTACAGCGTGTGGTACAGAGTGTGCTTTTATGCACTCGTCAGATGCAGGCAAACTTCAACTTTTCGCAATAACGCTGGGAACTCCTGTTGTAAAGCGCAGGAAGATGTCACTTTGCTTAAAGGGCCAAACCTTCACCCTCCTCTCACTCTGTACAACTTCTTACCTGTGTGGTCTACCAATAATAATAACTAAACACAAGGACATAAATATAAATTAGCAATTGATCACAATATGTTTGAGTTTGTCTCTAAGATGCTGGACGTTATTTGTTTGCAGGACACGAAACCACTCACAGTAAGTCCTTCATTATTACTTTGTAATCATCTGCTACACCGAGAAGCATTACATTCATTCAGTTGCAGGCTGTCACCTCACCTGGTAACATTTGCAGTGCATTACAGTTTGGTTTTACATTGCAATAAAATCGTAAGGGCATCTCAATATACTTAGTAATAAGAGACAGTCAGTCATAGGCAGTGAAAAAAGGAAAACGTAAGCCTTAGCTCAGGACGAGTACATGGAGGATCTTGATGATGGCATGTGTTATCATTTGGTCTGGGATTGGATTAGGAGGCAGCGGAGGATTTGGAGTAGTATTTGGATGATGTGGTCTCGTTCATGAGTGTGTCTGACGAGTCTGGTGGTGGCATTTTGGATCATCTGGCATTTAAAGATGAGGGATTTGGAGAGTGAGTTGCAGTGTTTTTTTGGGACAAATTCAGCAGTGGTTGGAAAATGCTATGACAAGATGTCGTCCTGGATCGCACCACGAAACATCTGCCATTTTATAACCTTAGCACTGTCAACACATATACCACTGTGTATTTACCGTGTTTATGTTTACTCACGAAAGTGATGGATTACAATAATGTATCGATTTATCTACCTACTGCCACCTGCGTCACCGTATGTTCATGTTTGTATTTCTATTTCAAATATCGTCGCCTTCTCAGAAGCAGGACGTACCCCTGGTAAGTTGGCTGCCCTCTCCCGTATCTGCAAGAGTACGCACACGGATGTTCACGTGACATAATGGGAAGCCTACAATGTCTTCCCTTCACTGTTGGAGCAACACCTGACGCGATTTAAAATGATAACGTGCTGCCAAATGTCGACGATGTACATGGAATACGACTGCTCACCCCGTTACAAATTGCGTGTCCTTGGAATGACAGTTGACACAGTCGCATGCAAAATGTCCCCGTGCATGAACGGTGGTACCTGCGAGGATCGTTGGACCTACCCCGACTACCTGTGCTACTGCACATCGGAATGGGAGGGCAGCCAATGTCAATTTTACGGTGAGAGCGCCTTTTGTAGTTTGTGTGCGCATCTACATTTGTTCGTGTAACAGCACGCGGAATGCAACGGAATGATAGCGACTGGAAAAATGAGTTGCATTGTTCGAATGTCTTTGTTTTAAAGAAATGTTCTTGAGAGAACACTGGTAGGTGATAATGAGGGGAGCAAATGTATTTCCTTGCGATCACCCTTGCATAACTTACAGGGGTAAACACAACAACATTTCCGTACTTATCTTACATTAAATTTAATTTTAATGACTGTACATATTTGATCATTAAGTTAATGGTTAATGAAGATGGGGTTTTTGTGTGTGTGAATTCACACTTTTAATTAAGAACTATATTGAACTTTATTGCGATGGGTCAGCAAATGATTGGTTACCAATGACGACTACCACCGGCTGAGCCATCTCGTGCACAGTGCTGGCCCACCTGTGCCGGTGATGCTGGATGGTGGGGCCTGTCTCACCTGGCGATTTGTACGATCCCTTCCCTATGAAGGTGGAGTTGTACGACTGACTGCATTTGGCCGCGTGGCCACTTCTTGAATTAGGGGGAGCTGGGTGGAATCTTTTCCCCGAAAACCAATTTGGCTGTTTGGCCTCAGCAGACCCGAGCAAGATAGCAGCAACCTGTAGTTTTTGAAACGAAAGCAGTAAATAATGCTAAACAATTAAAGTTTATGCTTGTAGTGAGTTTGCGTTATGCATCTGTATACTTCTGTACAGTGCACAATATTACCATCCAAAAGCAGACATCCCGTACCATTTACGTTGTCATGCATAACACCCGAACGGCAACAATGACCTACTTTAAAAAAGACTGTCATGAAAAATGACTCGCCATTTGGTAGACCTGTGTTTGTGCGTTGTCTCCATCATGCCCTGGACCGTTATCATCTTCGAGTAGTTGCAATGCGTCACGTTTGCATATGTAAGTGGTCTGGGGGGGGGGGGGGGTGGACGTGGCCAGGATTTTCATGTTGGAGTCACGAAAATAAACGAGGGACTATGCCCAGAGGAATGAGGAAAGGCGCGAAAAAGGGGATTGGGGCAAACACTCCCAAAATATGTACCCAGTAAACCCCTCTATGTCCGCGAAGGGTTACATCCCTAAAAACGCTCGCGAATACAGAAGCCTCGTTGCAATACGAAAGGCAAATGTGGTTACGTTCCTGGTACGAGTTAACATAGAGCAAGCGGGAAATGATAAATGTTTAGAAATGATAACCACAATAGATAATGAAGTATAAATAATGACTTGTTTTTTCGTTAGCTTTAACGATGACGATGATGGAGGTTGCTGGTGATGAATTCAGGATGACTGCTCTGGAGATGCGGGCGTTTCATAGCGAAGCATGGTTATTATTTGAGCCCTCTGGGGAGCGATGGCAACAACATATTCCCAGATTGCATTCTCGCGTTCTTTTTAATGGACATCGGAGTCGACTCGTTTAAACCAAAATGTATAAACGAGTCGTACTGTAAGTAGGTACAAAGTAAACACAAAATGCAACAACAGCGAGTTCAGAGCGCGATTACTGCGAGACTTGAGGACAAAGCGGGCAGCCGTGGGGGCGTGCCGAACCGTCGAGTCTGACAGGTCGCCAGCACTGAAGTGGTGTTATACATTTAGTTACTCGTGAATCCAGATTTCGCGCACAGCGAGGGTTTACTGGATTGGTGGGAAAGAGGAGTTGAGAGAGGGTTTGTAAAGAGGTGTTGGAATAAAGGTTCACGGCTCTGCGGAAGCAAATTCTGGAGTCAACAACAACAATTTGTGTGCCCTGTAAGCAAAAAAATTTAAATTAATAAAAAGCTTCCGTCTTCACCTGAAGACGGAAGCTTGTGTTGCCTCCGAAACGTCGTGATTTTTATTTTATTTTTACTTACTTTTATTACTTTTAATTTTAAATTTTTACCTACGTGACTTTACCGAAAAAACTAAGAATATGAATCCTTGCAGTCACGAAAGCTTCAAATCTAGAATGCCCTGTAAGCATCCGCTTCCCTCGCCAGGGCGACTCGTGCAGACTCCCGTTCACTTATTTGCCCTGAAAGCAGCAATTAGGTTTTCTAAAACTGCAATGAAAATGACTTGGCACACTTGTGTTTGTGTCTCCTGCATGACTGGACTTTCGTCATCCACAGTCGGCACTTTAAGGACTACCGCCGGTAAGTCCTCTCTCATCGGTGTTGCGTGCATCACGTTATTCCATTGAGCAGACTGGGCAGTGTGGTTGACAATGGGGAGCTGTGTGGCATCGGCATGAAGTAGATGCTCGACATTAAAATTGGAGATTTTGCCAAGAGGGAATAAATGTATGATTAAGAGTGGATGTAGTTCATGTTGGCCACTTCTCTAATGTACACTCGGTAGCTTGTGCTCATATTCTACAATTTAGTGGACTTAATAAGACGTGCACCATTGCATTGTCACAACATGTCCGCAGTAATACTAATAACTGGTAAAAGGGAATTATGTAGCTCAAATGTCTCTGTTGCACCAACCTAAACTAAGACACTGCGCCAAATTGTTTCATATTTTCCCCGTTAAGGGTCGATAGCAATAGTGTATACAATTCATGTGGATCACGCTTTTTTTGTCTATTTGTCTCTTTCATATGACCTTCATTGTCTGGAGCAGAGCCTCCTACCACTCCCAGTGAGTATCCGTTGTCTCACGCGTACCTTACAGCGGTGGAAGTCTCCCTGCGTCTCTCTTACGCGATGGATCGAAGCGGAAGCTGTCTCATCGCGATTGATTTTGACGTGAAGCGTGTGTTGGTGGAGTAGGAAGAAAATGCCAGTCAACCAATTTCCATGACGCAATGACCGTGTGTGTGTCTCTGCAGGTGTGTGCCAGAACAACCCTTGTGGTAATTCGGGTATCTGTGTGGATCAGCCATACGACTACCCCTACTACCGGTGCTACTGCATCCCACCCTGGTCAGGCAGCAACTGCCAATATTACGGTGAGCTTGCCATTGTAGTTTGCACTTGTTTGTGTGTGCATCTACATTTGTCTATATTGCACTGTACACACGTAATGTATGCAGACGATGGTGGTAACTGGACACATTGGAGCATCTTCACAATGTCATTCTAAAATGTTTAGAACAAATCTACTTGAGAAAACAATTGTGCTCGTAAACATTCCCTCTTCTTTACCTCATTTTATTGTTCTATATTGTGCACAACTAATTACTGTCCAAAAGCAGACTGCCTGGACTTGAAAGTTATAATGCGCCACGTTTGAGTACATATTTATACCAGAACAGCAACAAAGACCTACTAAAATACTGCAATAAAAAATGACTTGCCATTTGGCACATCTGTGTTTGTGTTATGTCTCCATCATGGCTGGACCTTAATCATCTGCCGTAGCCACCACGACTACTGGTAAGTTCTTGTATCGGAGTTGTGCATCACGTGATTCCATCGAACAGATGATGTAGAGCTTTGTGGCATCAGCATAAAATTGATGCATGACATTAACTATGGAGATCAATTTATCAACAGGCATGAGATATGTTGATGAGAGTGGATGTATTTAATGTTTGACCCTGCGCTGATGCACAACAGGCAGCTTCTGCACCGATCCTGTAAATTAGTGGACTTCATTTATAATGCGTGCATCATTGTTTGAACACATGGCCGTCGAAATGATGCTCACACAGAAATTGTTAAACAATGTAAATTTTCAATGTAAAATTCATCAAAGGTGATACTAACCTAAACTAAACACTTTGCACAAACGTAAGTAGCAATTTTTCCTGTAACAAGGCATATATATAAAATTATTGTTAAACAATTTGCAATAAGCTATGAGGATCAATGGCAATAGTATATACAATTCATGTGGATCACGATTTTTTTGTGTATTTGTTTCTTTTATATGACCCTCATTGTCTGGAGCAGAGCCTCCTACCACTCCCAGTGAGTATCCGTTGTCTCACGCGTGTCCCACGGAGGTGGAAGTCTCCCTGCGTCTCTCTTACGCGATGGATATAAGCGGAAGCTGTCTCATCGCGATTGATTTTCACGTGAAGCGTGTGTTGGTGGAGTAGGAAGAAAATGGCAGTGAACCAATTTCCATGACGCAATGACCATGTGTGTGTCTCTGCAGGTGTCTGCCAATCCAGCCCGTGTGCCAATTCGGGTACCTGTGTGGATCAACCTTATTACTACCCCTACTACTGGTGCTACTGCAGCCCACAATGGTCAGGCAGCAACTGCCAATATTACGGTGAGGTCGCCATTGTAGTTTGCACATGTTTGTGCGTGCATCTCCATTTGTCTAAAATGCACGTACTACGCACGTAATGTATGCAGACGATGATGGTAACTGGACACATTGGTGCATCTTCACAATGTAATTCTAAAATGTTTAGAACAAATCTATTTGAGAAAGCAATTGTGATCATAAACATTCCCTCTTCACTTCATTTTATTGTTCTACATTGTGCACAACTAATTACTGTCCAAAAGCAGACTACCTGAACTTATACATTATAATGCCTCACGTTTGCATACATGTTTATACCCGAATGCAACAATAACATATCTGTGTTTGTGTTTTGTCTCCATCATGGCTGGACCTTTATCATCTGCCGTAGCCACCACGACTACTGGTAAGTCCTTTTATCGGAGTAGTGCATCACGTGATTCCATCGAACAGATGATGGAGAGCTGTGTGGCATCAGCATAAAATTGATGCATGACATTAACAATGGAGATAATTTTAGCTACAGGCAGCAGATATGTTGATGATAGTGGTTGTATTTAATGTTGGACCCTGCTCTGATGCACAACAGGCAGCTTCTGTACACATTTTGTAAATTAGTGGACTTCATTAACAATGCGTGCATCATTGTTTGATCACATGGCCATAGAAATAATGCTCACACAGTAATTGTTAAACAATGTCAATTTTCATGGGAAAATTCATCAAAGGTGATACTAACCTAAACTAAATATTTTGCACAAACTTAAGTAGCAATTTTCCCTGTAAGAAGGCATATATATATAATTATTGTTAAATAATTTGCTATGAGCTTTGAGGATCAATGGCAATAGTGTATACAATTCATGTGCATCACGGTTTCTTTGTCTATTTGTCTCTTTCATATCAACTTCATTGTCTGGAGCAGAGCCTCCTACCACTCCCAGTGAGTATCCGTTGTCTCACGCGTACCTCACGGCGGTGAAGTCTCCCTGCGTCTCTCTTACGCGATGGATAGATGTGGAAGCTGTCTCATCGCAATTGATTTTGACGTGAAGCGTGTGTTGGTGGAGTAGGTAGAAAATGCCAGTCAACAAATTTCCATGAGGCAATGACCGTGTGTGTGTCTCTGCAGGTGTGTGCCAGAACAACCCTTGTGGCAATTGGGGTACCTGTGTGGATCAGCCATACTACTACCCCTACTACCGGTGCTACTGCATCCCACCCTGGTCAGGCAGCAACTGCGAATATTACGGTGAGGTCGCCATTGTAGTTTGCACATGTTTGTGCGTGCATCTCCATTTGTCTAAAATGCACGTACTACGCACGTAATGTATGCAGACGATGATGGTAACTGGACACATTGGTGCATCTTCACAATGTAATTCTAAAATGTTTAGAACAAATCTATTTGAGAAAGCAATTGTGATCATAAACATTCCCTCTTCACTTCATTTTATTGTTCTACATTGTGCACAACTAATTACTGTCCAAAAGCAGACTACCTGAACTTATACATTATAATGCCTCACGTTTGCATACATGTTTATACCCGAATGCAACAATAACATATCTGTGTTTGTGTTTTGTCTCCATCATGGCTGGACCTTTATCATCTGCCGTAGCCACCACGACTACTGGTAAGTCCTTTTATCGGAGTAGTGCATCACGTGATTCCATCGAACAGATGATGGAGAGCTGTGTGGCATCAGCATAAAATTGATGCATGACATTAACAATGGAGATAATTTTAGCTACAGGCAGCAGATATGTTGATGATAGTGGTTGTATTTAATGTTGGACCCTGCTCTGATGCACAACAGGCAGCTTCTGTACACATTTTGTAAATTAGTGGACTTCATTAACAATGCGTGCATCATTGTTTGATCACATGGCCATAGAAATAATGCTCACACAGTAATTGTTAAACAATGTCAATTTTCATGGGAAAATTCATCAAAGGTGATACTAACCTAAACTAAATATTTTGCACAAACTTAAGTAGCAATTTTCCCTGTAAGAAGGCATATATATATAATTATTGTTAAATAATTTGCTATGAGCTTTGAGGATCAATGGCAATAGTGTATACAATTCATGTGCATCACGGTTTCTTTGTCTATTTGTCTCTTTCATATCAACTTCATTGTCTGGAGCAGAGCCTCCTACCACTCCCAGTGAGTATCCGTTGTCTCACGCGTACCTCACGGCGGTGAAGTCTCCCTGCGTCTCTCTTACGCGATGGATAGATGTGGAAGCTGTCTCATCGCAATTGATTTTGACGTGAAGCGTGTGTTGGTGGAGTAGGTAGAAAATGCCAGTCAACAAATTTCCATGAGGCAATGACCGTGTGTGTGTCTCTGCAGGTGTGTGCCAGAACAACCCTTGTGGCAATTGGGGTACCTGTGTGGATCAGCCATACTACTACCCCTACTACCGGTGCTACTGCATCCCACCCTGGTCAGGCAGCAACTGCGAATATTACGGTGAGGTCGCCATTGTAGTTTGCACTTGTCTGTGTGTGCATCTACATTTGTCTATATTGCACTGTACACACGTAATGTATGCAGACGATGGTGGTAACTGGACACATTGGTGCGTCTTCCCAATGTTCTAAAATGTTTAGAACAAATCTACTTGAGAAAACAATTGTGCTCGTAAACATTCCCTCTTCTTCACCTCATTTTATTGTTCTATATATTGCAAAACTAATTACTGTACAAAAGCAGACTGCCTGAACTTACACATTATAATGCTTCACGTTTGCATACATATTTATACCCGAAAGCAACAATAACACATCTGTGTTTGTGTTTTGTCTCCATCATGTCTGGACCTTTATCATCTGCCGTAGTCACCACGACTACTGGTAAGTTCTTTTATCGGGATTGTGCATCACGTGATTCCATCGAACAGATGATGTAGAGCTGTGTGGCATCAGCATAAAATTGATGCATGACATTAACAATGGAGATAATTTTAGCTAGAGGCAGCAGATATGTTGATGAGAGTGGTTGTATTTAATGTTGGACCCTGCTCTGATGCTCAAACGGCAGCTTATGCACACATCCTATAAATTAGTGGACTTCATTAACAATGCGTGCATCATTGTTTGATCACATGGCTATCGAAATAATGCTCACACAGAAATTGTTAAACAATGGCAATTTTCATGGGAAAATTCATCAAAGGTGATACTAACCTAAACTAAATATTTTGCACAAACTTAAGTAGCAATTTTCCCTGTAAGAAGGCATATATATAATTATTGTTAAACAATTTGCTATGAGCTTTGAGGATCAATGGCAATAGTATATAATATTCATGTGGATCACGGTTTCTTTGTCTATTTGTCTCTTTCATATCAACATCATTGTCTGGAGCAGAGCCTCCTACCACTCCCAGTGAGTATCTGTTGTCTCACGCGTGTCTCACAGCGGTGGAAGTCTTCCTGTGTGTCTCTTACACGATGGACAGAAGCGGAAGCTGTCTCATCGCAATTGATTTTGTCTTGAAGCGTGTGTTGGTGGAGTAGGAAAAAAATGGCAGTCAACCAATTTCCATGACGCAATGACCGTGTGTGTGTCTCTGCAGGTGTGTGCCAGAACAACCCTTGTGGCAATTGGGGTACCTGTGTGGATCAGCCATACGACTACCCTTACTACCGGTGCGACTGCATCCCACCGTGGTATGGCAGCAACTGCGAATTTTACGGTGAGGTCGCCATTGTAGTTTGCACCTGTTTGTGTGTGCATCTACATTTGTCTATATTGCACTGTACACACATAATGTATCCTGACAATGGTGGTAACTGTACACATTGGTGCATCTTCCCAATCTCGTTCTAAAATGTTTAGAACAAATCTACTTGAGAAAACAATTGTGCTCGTTAACATCCCCTTTTATTCACCTTATTTTATTGTTCTACATTGTGCACAACTAATTACTGTCCAAAAGCAGACAACCTGAACTTGTAAGTTATAATTCCTTACGTTTGCATACTTATTTATTCCCGAACATCAACAAAGACCTACTAAAAAATTGCAATTAATAAGTATAACCCGTAAAAACAAATTTTTTCACTATAAATCTTTTATATGCGTGGCGGCTAGAATCCTCTCGTCCTCTGGCTTGAGATGGCTGCCACCTATGGGTCAGATGATTGCCTGCCACCATTAAGCAATTGGTAATTAAATATAATATTTTTGTCCTAAAAAGTGTAAAATTTTGGAAAAAAATTTTCACGAACATTAATTGTCACGCACAACGAGTCTGTGTGCAAATGTCAGCTCGATTGGATCACGGGAAGTGGGTTAAAAAACGACCGAAAGATTTGCACGGTCGTAAGCGTGCAAGCAAGCAAGCAAGTGAACTTAATATAAAGGATTTAAAAATATATTCGCCTGTGGAGGACGCGGGTATCGATCCCGCGACCTTTGGCATGGGAAGCTAGGGCGCTACCAACTGCGCTACTCCGCCAGGGCCTGTGGAGGTGTCACGCTATGGGCTCCTACACTGTGACGTTCAGCCAAAGCCATGAATGAGTTCTATTTGAATAAATGTAAAATACATTTTTTTTTGCCTAAAAAGTGTAAAATTTTCGAATTTCTTTTTTTCACGAACAATAATTGTCACGCACAACGAGTCTGTGTGGAAAATGTCAGCTCGATTGGATCACGGGAAGTGGGTTAAAAAACGACCGAAAGATTTGCACGGTCGTAAGCAAGCAAGCAAGCAAGCGAACTTAATATAAAGGATTTAAAAATGACTTGCCATTTGGCACATCTGTGTTTGTGTTTTGTCTCCATCATGGCTGGACCTTTATCATCTGCCGTAGCCATTGAAACTACCACTGGTAAGTCCTTTTTTTGGGGTTGTGCATCATGTGATTCCATCAAACAGATGATGTAGAGCTGTGTTGCATCAGCATAACATTTATGCATGACATTAACAATGGAGGTTATTTTAGCAAGTGGCAGGAGATATGTTTATAAGAGTGGTTGTAGTTAATGTTGGACCCTGCTTTGATGCGCAATGGGCAGCTTCTGCACACATTCTGTAAATTATTGGACTTCATTATCAATGCGTGCATCATTGTGTGATCACAACATGGCTGGAGAAATGATACTAATACAGTAATTGATATACAAAGTTTATTCTCAAGGGCAAATTCATCAAACGCGGTACCACCCTAAACTAAACACTTTGCATAAACTTAAGTAGCAATTTTTCCTGTAAGAAAGCATAGCAAATTATTGTTAAACAATTTTCTATGAGCTACGAGGGTTAATAAAGTAACAACATAAATAAGCCGTTCTATGGCGATAGTGGGGGTCCAATTCATAAAGGCTTACTAGAGGGCAGAGTCCGGATGTCACGGAGGTCGGGTCAGGACGTGACAGTCTGGGTGAACCCGCCAGAGCACGTGACCGGACGAGGGGACATGGGGGTCCCTAGAAGGGGGTGAGTGGGCCACGTGATGTGGACCCAGAGCCTCCGCGAAGGATCGAGAAGGGGGGCGTCACCAGGGGCGGAGTCCGGTCACGCCAACGCCACAGAATTTCTCAGACGAGTCCCGAGAGGGAGCGTGGCTGTTCAACCCGGGAAAGAAGTCGCCTTCTTAGATCCTCGCTCGTCGGTCGCCGCACACGACGACCCGACGACGTGTTGGCTGTTCTGGTTCAACCACATAGAGATTCCGTTCAAGTGGTTAGGTAGTTCGGGATGATGGTCACCCCCCACGTAGTTAACCCGTAATGTACATAGACGCTCGGAATGTACATAGTTAACTTTGGAACGTTGAAAAGTGTTGGTTGTGTTAGTATATGAACGTTTTGCCTCCAAGTCTTGGTGTGCGCCTGATTAGAACCCACTACAATATCAATAGTGTATACAATTCATGTGGATCATGCTTTCTTTGTCTATTTGTCTCTTTTATATGACCTTCATTGTCTGGAGCAGAGCCTCCTACCACTCCCAGTGAGTATCCGTTGTCTCACACGTGTCTCACGGAGGTGGAAGTCTCCCTGCGTCTCTCTTACGCGATGGACAGAAGAGGAAGCTGTCTCATTGTGATTGATTTTGACGTGAAGCGTGTGTTGGTGGAGTAGGTAGAAAATGCCAGTCAACCAATTTCCATGACGCAATGACCGTGTGTGTGTCTCTGCAGGTGTGTGCCAGAACAATCCTTGTGGCGATTGGGGTACCTGTGTGGATCAGCCAGACGACTACCCCTACTACCGGTGCGACTGCATCCCACCGTGGTATGGCAGCAACTGCGAGAATTACGGTGAGGTCGCCATTGCAGTTTGCACTTGTTTGTGTCTGCATGTACATTTGTCTATATTGCACTGTACACACGTAATGTATGCAGACGATGGTGGTAACTGGACACATTGGTGCATCTTCCCAATGTCGTTCTAAAATGTTGAGAACAAATCTTCTTGAGAAAACAATTGTGCTCGTAAACATTCCCTCTTCTTCACCTCATTTTATTGTTCTATATTGTGCACAACTAATTACTGACCAAAGGCAGACAGCCTGAAATGGTTAGTTATAATGCCCCACGTTTAAATACATATTTATACCACAACAGAAACAAAGACCTATTAAAATACTGTCATTAAAAAGTTACTTGCCATTTGGCACATCGGTGTTTGTGTTTTGTCTCCATCATGGCTGGACCTTTATCATCTGCCGTAGCCACCACGACTACTGGTAAGTCCTTTTATCGGAGTAGTGCATCACGTGATTCCATCGAACAGATGATGGAGAGCTGTGTGGAATCAGCATAAAATTGATGCATGACATTAACAATGGAGATAATTTTAGCTACAGGCAGCAAATATGTTGATGAGAGTGGTTGTATTTAATGTTGGACCCTGCTCTGATGCACAACAGGCAGCTTCTGTACACATTCTGTAAATTAGTGGACTTCATTAACAATGCGTGCATCATTGTTTGATCACATTGCGGTCGAAATAATGCTCACACAGTAATTGTTAAATAATGTAAATTTTCATGGGAAAATTCATCAAAGGTGATACTAACCTAAACTAAACACTTTGCACAAACGTAAGTAGCAATTTTTCCTGTAAGAAGCCATATATATAATTATTGTTAAACAATTTGCTATGAGCTATGAGGATCAATGGCAATAGTGTATACAATTCATGTGGATCACGGTTTCTTTGTCTATCTGTCTCTTTCATATCAACATCATTGTCTGGAGCAGAGCCTCCTACCACACCCAGTGAGTATCCGTTGTTTCACGCGTGTCTCACGGAGGTGGAAGTCTCTCTGCGTCTCTCTTACGCGATGGACAGAAGAGGAAGCTGTCTCATCGCGATTGATTTATACGTTAAGCGTGTGTTGGTGGAGTAGGTAGAAAATGCCAGTCAACCAATTTCCATGACGCAATGACCGTGTGTGTGTCTCTGTAGGTGTGTGCCAGAACAACCCTTGTGGAAATTGGGGTACCTGTGTGGATCAGCCAGACGACTATCCCTACTACCGGTGCGACTGCATCCCACCGTGGTATGGCAGCAACTGCGAATATTATGGTGAGGTCGCCATTGTAGTTTGCACTTGTTTGTGTGTGCATCTACATTTGTCTATATTGCACTGTACACACGTAATGTATGCAGACGATGGTGGTAACTGGACACATTGGTGCATCTTCCTAATGTCGTTCTAAAATGTTGACAAAAAATCTACTTGAGAAAACAATTGTGCTCATAAACATTCCCTCTTCTTCACTTCATTTTATTGTTCTATATTGTGAACAACTAATTACTGTCTAAATGCAGACAGCCTGAACTTGTAAGTTATAATGCCTTACGTTTGCATACATATTTATTCCCGAACATCAACAAAGACCTACTAGAAAATTGCAATTAAAAATGACTTGCCATTTGGCACATCTGTGTTTGTGTTTTGTCTCCATCATGGCTGGACCTTTATTATCTGCCGTAGCCACTGAAACTACCACTGGTAAGTCCTTTTATCGGGGTTTTGCATCATGTGATTCCATCAAACAGATGATGTAGAGCTGTGTGGCATCAGCATAACATTTATGCATAACATTAACAATGGAGATTATTTTAGCAAGTGGCAGGAGATATGTTTAGAAGAGTGGTTGTAGTTAATGTTGGACCCTGCTCTGATGCACAATGGGCAGCTTCTGCACACGTTCTGTAAATTATTGGACTTCATTATCAATGCGTGCATCATTGTGTGATCACAACATGGCTGTAGAAATGATACTAATACAGTAATTGATATACAAAGTTTATTCTCATGGGCAAATTCATCAAACGCGGTACCACCCTAAACTAAACACTTTGCATAAACTATAGTAGAAATTTTTTCTGTAAGAAAGCATAGCAAATTATTGTTAAACAATTTTCCATGAGCTACGAGGGTTAATAGAGTAACAACATAAATGAGCCGTTCTATGGTGATAGTGGGGGTCCAATTCATAAAGGCTTACTAGAGGGCAGAGTCCGGATGTCATGGAGGTCGGGTCAGGACGTGACAGTCTGGGTGAACCCGCCAGAGCACGTGACCGGACGAGGGGGCATGGGGGCCCTTAGGAGGGGGTGAGCGGGCCACGTGATGTGGACCCAGAGCCTCCGCGAAGGATCGAGAAGGAGGGCGTTGACCAGGGGCTCTGTCCCTGGTCACGCCACAGGAGATCTCAGCCAAGTCCCGAGATTGAGCGTGGCTGTTCAACCCGGGAAAGAAGTCGACTTCTTAGATACTCGCTCTTCGGTCGCCGCACACTACGACCCGACGACGTGTTGGCTGTTCTGGTTCAACCACATAGAGATTACGTTCAAGTGGTTAGGTGGTTATGGATGATGGTCACCACCTCACGTCGTTAACCCATAATGTACATAGTCGCTCGGAATGTACATAGTTAACCTTGGAACGTTGAGTAGTGTTGGTTGTTTTGGTAAATCAACGTGTTGCCTCCAAGTCTTGGTGTGTGCCTGATTAGAACCCACTACAATAGCAATAGTGTATACTATTCATATGGATCACGCTTTCTTTGTCTATTTGTCTCTTTCATGTGACCTTCATTGTCTGGTGCAGAGCCTCCTACCACTCCCAGTGAGTATCCGTTGTCTCACGCGTGTCTCACGGAGGTGGAAGTCTCCCTGCGTCTCTCTTACGCGATGGATAGAAGCGGAAGCTGTCTTATCGCGATTGATTTATACGTGAAGCGTGTGTTGGTGGAGTAGGTAGAAAATGCCAGTCAACCAATTTCCATGACGCAATGACCGTGTGTGTGTCTCTGTAGGTGTGTGCCAGAACAACCCTTGTGGAAATTGGGGTACCTGTGTGGATCAGCCATACGACTACCCCTACTACCGGTGCGACTGCATGCCACCGTGGTATGGCAGCAACTGCGAATCTTACGGTGAGGTCGCCATTGTAGTTTGCACTTGTTTGTGTGTGCATCTACATTTGTTCATATTGCACTGTACACACGTAATGGATGCAGACGATGGTGGTAACTAGACACATTGGTGCATCTTCCCAATGTCGTTCTAAAATGTTTAGAACAAATCTGCTTGAGAAAACAATTGTGCTCGTAAACATTCCCTCTTCTTCACCTCATTTTATTGTTCTATATTGTGCAACACTAATTACTGTCCACAAGCAGACTGCCTGAACTTATACATTATAATGCTTCATGTTTGCATGCATATTTATTCCCGAAAGCAACAATAACACATCTGTGTTTGTGTTTTGTCTCCATCATGTCTGGACCTTCATCATCTGCCATAGCCACCACGACTACTGGTAAGTCCTTTATCGGGATTGTGCATCACGTTATTCCATCGAACAGATAATGTAGAGCTGTGTGTCATCAGCATAAGATTGATGCATGACATTAACAATGGAGATAATTTTAGCAAGAGGCAGGAGATATGTTGATATGTGGTTGTATTTAATGTTGTACCCTGCTCTGATGCACAAAGGGCAGCTTCTGCACACATTCTGTAAATTATTGGACTTCATTATCAATGCGTGCATCATTGTGTGATCACAACATGGCTGTAGAAATGATACTAATACAGTAATTGATATTCAAAATTTATTCTCATGGGCAAATTCATCAAATGCGGTACCACCCTAAACTAAACATTTTTCCTGTAAGAAAGCATAGATAATTATTGTTAAACAATTTTCCATGAGCAACGAGGGTTAATAGAGTAACAACATAAATAAGCCGTTCTATGGCGATAGTGGGGGTCCAATTCATAAAGGCTTACTAGAGGGCAGAGTCCGGATGTCACGGAGGTCGGGTCAGGACGTGACAGTCTGGTTGAACCCGCCAGAGCACGTGACCGGACGATGGGGCATGGGGGCCCCTAGAAGGGGGTGAGTGGGCCACGTGATGTGGACCCAGAGCCTTCGCGAAGGATCGAGATCTCAGCCGATTCCCGAGAGGGAGCGTGGCTGTTCTCGTTCAACCACATAGAGATTCCGTTCAAGTGGTTAGGTGGTTAGGGATTATGGTCACCACCTCACGTCGTTAACCCGTAATGTACATAGTCGCTCGGAATGTACATAGTTAACCTTGGAACGTTGAGTTTTGTTGGTTGTGTTAGTAAATCAACGTGTTGCCTCCAAGTCTTAGTGTGTGCCTGATGAGAACCCACTACAATATCAATAGTGTATACAATTAATCTGAATCACGCTTTCTTTGTCTATTTGTCTCTTTCATGTCACCTTCATTGTCTGGTGCAGAGCCTCCTACCACTCCCAGTGAGTATCCGTTGTCTCACGCGTGTCTCACGGAGGTGGAAGTCTCCCTGCGTCTCTCTTACACGATGGATAGAAGAGGAAGCTGTCTCATCGCAATTGATTTTGACGTGAAGCGTGTGTTGGTGGAGTAGGAAGAAAATGCCAGTCAACAAATTTCCATGAGGCAATGACCGTGTGTGTGTCTCTGCAGGTGTGTGCCAGAACAACCCTTGTGGCAATTGGGGTACCTGTGTGGATCAGCCATACTACTACCCCTACTACCGGTGCTACTGCATCCCACCCTGGTCAGGCAGCAACTGCGAAAATTACGGTGAGGTCGCCATTGTAGTTTGCACTTGTTTGTGTGTGCATCTACATTAGTCTATATTGCACTGTACACACGTAATGTATGCAGACGATGGTGGTAACTGGACACATTGGTGCGTCTTCCCAATATCGTTCTAAAATGTTTAGAACAAATCTACTTGAGAAAACAATTGTGCTCGTAAACATTCCCTCTTCTTCACCTCATTTTATTGTTCTATATTGTGCAAAACTAATTACTGTCCAAAAGCAGACTGCCTGAACTTATACATTATAATGTTTCACGTTTGCATACATATTTATACCCGAAAGCAACAATAACACATCTGTGTTTGCGTTTTGTCTCCATCATGTCTGGACCTTTATCATCTGCCGTAGTCACCACGACTACTGGTAAGTCCTTTTATCGGGATTGTGCATCACGTGATTACATCGAACAGATGATGGAGAGCTGTGTGGCATCAGCATAAAATTGATGCATGACATTAACAATGGAGATAATTTTAGCTACTGGCAGCAGATATGTTGATGAGAGTATTTGTATTTAATGTTGGACCCTGCTCTGATGCTCAAACGGCAGCTTATGCACACATCCTATAAATTAGTGGACTTCATTAACAATGCGTGCATCATTGTTTGATCACATGGCTATCGAAATAATGCTCACACAGTAATTGTTAAACAATGTCAATTTTCATGGGAAAATTAATCAAAGGTGATACTAACCTAAACTAAATATTTTGCACAAACTTAAGTAGCAATTTTCCCTGTAAGAAGGCATATATATAATTATTGTTAAACAATTTGCTATGAGCTTTGAGGATCAATGGCAATAGTATATAATATTCATGTGGATCACGGTTTCTTTGTCTATTTGTCTCTTTCATATCAACATCATTGTCTGGAGCAGAGCCTCCTACCACTCCCAGTGAGTATCTGTTGTCTCACGCGTGTCTCACAGCGGTGGAAGTCTTCCTGTGTGTCTCTTACACGATGGACAGAAGCGGAAGCTGTCTCATCGCAATTGATTTTGTCTTGAAGCGTGTGTTGGTGGAGTAGGAAGAAAATGGCAGTCAACCAATTTCCATGACGCAATGACCGTGTGTGTGTCTCTGCAGGTGTGTGCCAGAACAACCCTTGTGGCAATTGGGGTACCTGTGTGGATCAGCCATACGACTACCCTTACTACCGGTGCGACTGCATCCCACCGTGGTATGGCAGCAACTGCGAATTTTACGGTGAGGTCGCCATTGTAGTTTGCACCTGTTTGTGTGTGCATCTACATTTGTCTATATTGCACTGTACACACATAATGTATCCTGACAATGGTGGTAACTGTACACATTGGTGCATCTTCCCAATCTCGTTCTAAAATGTTTAGAACAAATCTACTTGAGAAAACAATTGTGCTCGTTAACATCCCCTTTTATTCACCTTATTTTATTGTTCTACATTGTGCACAACTAATTACTGTCCAAAAGCAGACAACCTGAACTTGTAAGTTATAATTCCTTACGTTTGCATACTTATTTATTCCCGAACATCAACAAAGACCTACTAAAAAATTGCAATTAATAAGTATAACCCGTAAAAACAAATTTTTTCACTATAAATCCTTTATATGCGTGGCGGCTAGAATCCTCTCGTCCTCTGGCTTGAGATGGCTGCCACCTATGGGTCAGATGATTGCCTGCCACCATTAAGCAATTGGTAATTAAATATAATATTTTTGTCCTAAAAAGTGTAAAATTTTGGAAAAAAATTTTCACGAACATTAATTGTCACGCACAACGAGTCTGTGTGCAAATGTCAGCTCGATTGGATCACGGGAAGTGGGTTAAAAAACGACCGAAAGATTTGCACGGTCGTAAGCGTGCAAGCAAGCAAGCAAGTGAACTTAATATAAAGGATTTAAAAATATATTCGCCTGTGGAGGACGCGGGTATCGATCCCGCGACCTTTGGCATGGGAAGCTAGGGCGCTACCAACTGCGCTACTCCGCCAGGGCCTGTGGAGGTGTCACGCTATGGGCTCCTACACTGTGACGTTCAGCCAAAGCCATGAATGAGTTCTATTTGAATAAATGTAAAATACATTTTTTTTTGCCTAAAAAGTGTAAAATTTTCGAATTTCTTTTTTTCACGAACAATAATTGTCACGCACAACGAGTCTGTGTGGAAAATGTCAGCTCGATTGGATCACGGGAAGTGGGTTAAAAAACGACCGAAAGATTTGCACGGTCGTAAGCAAGCAAGCAAGCAAGCGAACTTAATATAAAGGATTTAAAAATGACTTGCCATTTGGCACATCTGTGTTTGTGTTTTGTCTCCATCATGGCTGGACCTTTATCATCTGCCGTAGCCATTGAAACTACCACTGGTAAGTCCTTTTTTTGGGGTTGTGCATCATGTGATTCCATCAAACAGATGATGTAGAGCTGTGTTGCATCAGCATAACATTTATGCATGACATTAACAATGGAGGTTATTTTAGCAAGTGGCAGGAGATATGTTTATAAGAGTGGTTGTAGTTAATGTTGGACCCTGCTTTGATGCGCAATGGGCAGCTTCTGCACACATTCTGTAAATTATTGGACTTCATTATCAATGCGTGCATCATTGTGTGATCACAACATGGCTGGAGAAATGATACTAATACAGTAATTGATATACAAAGTTTATTCTCAAGGGCAAATTCATCAAACGCGGTACCACCCTAAACTAAACACTTTGCATAAACTTAAGTAGCAATTTTTCCTGTAAGAAAGCATAGCAAATTATTGTTAAACAATTTTCTATGAGCTACGAGGGTTAATAAAGTAACAACATAAATAAGCCGTTCTATGGCGATAGTGGGGGTCCAATTCATAAAGGCTTACTAGAGGGCAGAGTCCGGATGTCACGAAGGTCGGGTCAGGACGTGACAGTCTGGGTGAACCCGCCAGAGCACGTGACCGGACGAGGGGACATGGGGGTCCCTAGAAGGGGGTGAGTGGGCCACGTGATGTGGACCCAGAGCCTCCGCGAAGGATCGAGAAGGGGGGCGTCACCAGGGGCGGAGTCCGGTCACGCCAACGCCACAGAATTTCTCAGACGAGTCCCGAGAGGGAGCGTGGCTGTTCAACCCGGGAAAGAAGTCGCCTTCTTAGATCCTCGCTCGTCGGTCGCCGCACACGACGACCCGACGACGTGTTGGCTGTTCTGGTTCAACCACATAGAGATTCCGTTCAAGTGGTTAGGTAGTTCGGGATGATGGTCACCCCCCACGTAGTTAACCCGTAATGTACATAGACGCTCGGAATGTACATAGTTAACTTTGGAACGTTGAAAAGTGTTGGTTGTGTTAGTATATGAACGTTTTGCCTCCAAGTCTTGGTGTGCGCCTGATTAGAACCCACTACAATATCAATAGTGTATACAATTCATGTGGATCATGCTTTCTTTGTCTATTTGTCTCTTTTATATGACCTTCATTGTCTGGAGCAGAGCCTCCTACCACTCCCAGTGAGTATCCGTTGTCTCACACGTGTCTCACGGAGGTGGAAGTCTCCCTGCGTCTCTCTTACGCGATGGACAGAAGAGGAAGCTGTCTCATTGTGATTGATTTTGACGTGAAGCGTGGGTTGGTGGAGTAGGTAGAAAATGCCAGTCAACCAATTTCCATGACGCAATGACCGTGTGTGTGTCTCTGCAGGTGTGTGCCAGAACAATCCTTGTGGCGATTGGGGTACCTGTGTGGATCAGCCAGACGACTACCCCTACTACCGGTGCGACTGCATCCCACCGTGGTATGGCAGCAACTGCGAGAATTACGGTGAGGTCGCCATTGCAGTTTGCACTTGTTTGTGTCTGCATGTACATTTGTCTATATTGCACTGTACACACGTAATGTATGCAGACGATGGTGGTAACTGGACACATTGGTGCATCTTCCCAATGTCGTTCTAAAATGTTGAGAACAAATCTTCTTGAGAAAACAATTGTGCTCGTAAACATTCCCTCTTCTTCACCTCATTTTATTGTTCTATATTGTGCACAACTAATTACTGACCAAAGGCAGACAGCCTGAAATGGTTAGTTATAATGCCCCACGTTTAAATACATATTTATACCACAACAGAAACAAAGACCTATTAAAATACTGTCATTAAAAAGTTACTTGCCATTTGGCACATCGGTGTTTGTGTTTTGTCTCCATCATGGCTGGACCTTTATCATCTGCCGTAGCCACCACGACTACTGGTAAGTCCTTTTATCGGAGTAGTGCATCACGTGATTCCATCGAACAGATGATGGAGAGCTGTGTGGAATCAGCATAAAATTGATGCATGACATTAACAATGGAGATAATTTTAGCTACAGGCAGCAAATATGTTGATGAGAGTGGTTGTATTTAATGTTGGACCCTGCTCTGATGCACAACAGGCAGCTTCTGTACACATTCTGTAAATTAGTGGACTTCATTAACAATGCGTGCATCATTGTTTGATCACATTGCGGTCGAAATAATGCTCACACAGTAATTGTTAAATAATGTAAATTTTCATGGGAAAATTCATCAAAGGTGATACTAACCTAAACTAAACACTTTGCACAAACGTAAGTAGCAATGTTTCCTGTAAGAAGCCATATATATAATTATTGTTAAACAATTTGCTATGAGCTATGAGGATCAATGGCAATAGTGTATACAATTCATGTGGATCACGGTTTCTTTGTCTATCTGTCTCTTTCATATCAACATCATTGTCTGGAGCAGAGCCTCCTACCACACCCAGTGAGTATCCGTTGTTTCACGCGTGTCTCACGGAGGTGGAAGTCTCTCTGCGTCTCTCTTACGCGATGGACAGAAGAGGAAGCTGTCTCATCGCGATTGATTTATACGTTAAGCGTGTGTTGGTGGAGTAGGTAGAAAATGCCAGTCAACCAATTTCCATGACGCAATGACCGTGTGTGTGTCTCTGTAGGTGTGTGCCAGAACAACCCTTGTGGAAATTGGGGTACCTGTGTGGATCAGCCAGACGACTATCCCTACTACCGGTGCGACTGCATCCCACCGTGGTATGGCAGCAACTGCGAATATTATGGTGAGGTCGCCATTGTAGTTTGCACTTGTTTGTGTGTGCATCTACATTTGTCTATATTGCACTGTACACACGTAATGTATGCAGACGATGGTGGTAACTGGACACATTGGTGCATCTTCCTAATGTCGTTCTAAAATGTTGACAAAAAATCTACTTGAGAAAACAATTGTGCTCATAAACATTCCCTCTTCTTCACTTCATTTTATTGTTCTATATTGTGAACAACTAATTACTGTCTAAATGCAGACAGCCTGAACTTGTAAGTTATAATGCCTTACGTTTGCATACATATTTATTCCCGAACATCAACAAAGACCTACTAGAAAATTGCAATTAAAAATGACTTGCCATTTGGCACATCTGTGTTTGTGTTTTGTCTCCATCATGGCTGGACCTTTATTATCTGCCGTAGCCACTGAAACTACCACTGGTAAGTCCTTTTATCGGGGTTTTGCATCATGTGATTCCATCAAACAGATGATGTAGAGCTGTGTGGCATCAGCATAACATTTATGCATAACATTAACAATGGAGATTATTTTAGCAAGTGGCAGGAGATATGTTTAGAAGAGTGGTTGTAGTTAATGTTGGACCCTGCTCTGATGCACAATGGGCAGCTTCTGCACACGTTCTGTAAATTATTGGACTTCATTATCAATGCGTGCATCATTGTGTGATCACAACATGGCTGTAGAAATGATACTAATACAGTAATTGATATACAAAGTTTATTCTCATGGGCAAATTCATCAAACGCGGTACCACCCTAAACTAAACACTTTGCATAAACTATAGTAGCAATTTTTTCTGTAAGAAAGCATAGCAAATTATTGTTAAACAATTTTCCATGAGCTACGAGGGTTAATAGAGTAACAACATAAATGAGCCGTTCTATGGTGATAGTGGGGGTCCAATTCATAAAGGCTTACTAGAGGGCAGAGTCCGGATGTCATGGAGGTCGGGTCAGGACGTGACAGTCTGGGTGAACCCGCCAGAGCACGTGACCGGACGAGGGGGCATGGGGGCCCCTAGGAGGGGGTGAGCGGGCCACGTGATGTGGACCCAGAGCCTCCGCGAAGGATCGAGAAGGAGGGCGTTGACCAGGGGCTCTGTCCCTGGTCACGCCACAGGAGATCTCAGCCAAGTCCCGAGATTGAGCGTGGCTGTTCAACCCGGGAAAGAAGTCGACTTCTTAGATACTCGCTCTTCGGTCGCCGCACACTACGACCCGACGACGTGTTGGCTGTTCTGGTTCAACCACATAGAGATTACGTTCAAGTAGTTAGGTGGTTATGGATGATGGTCACCACCTCACGTCGTTAACCCATAATGTACATAGTCGCTCGGAATGTACATAGTTAACCTTGGAACGTTGAGTAGTGTTGGTTGTTTTGGTAAATCAACGTGTTGCCTCCAAGTCTTGGTGTGTGCCTGATTAGAACCCACTACAATAGCAATAGTGTATACTATTCATATGGATCACGCTTTCTTTGTCTATTTGTCTCTTTCATGTGACCTTCATTGTCTGGTGCAGAGCCTCCTACCACTCCCAGTGAGTATCCGTTGTCTCACGCGTGTCTCACGGAGGTGGAAGTCTCCCTGCGTCTCTCTTACGCGATGGATAGAAGCGGAAGCTGTCTTATCGCGATTGATTTATACGTGAAGCGTGTGTTGGTGGAGTAGGTAGAAAATGCCAGTCAACCAATTTCCATGACGCAATGACCGTGTGTGTGTCTCTGTAGGTGTGTGCCAGAACAACCCTTGTGGAAATTGGGGTACCTGTGTGGATCAGCCATACAACTACCCCTACTACCGGTGCGACTGCATGCCACCGTGGTATGGCAGCAACTGCGAATCTTACGGTGAGGTCGCCATTGTAGTTTGCACTTGTTTGTGTGTGCATCTACATTTGTTCATATTGCACTGTACACACGTAATGGATGCAGACGATGGTGGTAACTAGACACATTGGTGCATCTTCCCAATGTCGTTCTAAAATGTTTAGAACAAATCTGCTTGAGAAAACAATTGTGCTCGTAAACATTCCCTCTTCTTCACCTCATTTTATTGTTCTATATTGTGCAACACTAATTACTGTCCAAAAGCAGACTGCCTGAACTTATACATTATAATTCTTCATGTTTGCATGCATATTTATTCCCGAAAGCAACAATAACACATCTGTGTTTGTGTTTTGTCTCCATCATGTCTGGACCTTCATCATCTGCCATAGCCACCACGACTACTGGTAAGTCCTTTATCGGGATTGTGCATCACGTTATTCCATCGAACATATAATGTAGAGCTGTGTGTCATCAGCATAAGATTGATGCATGACATTAACAATGGAGATAATTTTAGCAAGAAGCAGGAGATATGTTGATATGTGGTTGTATTTAATGTTGTACCCTGCTCTGATGCACAAAGGGCAGCTTCTGCACACATTCTGTAAATTATTGGACTTCATTATCAATGCGTGCATCATTGTGTGATCACAACATGGCTGTAGAAATGATACTAATACAGTAATTGATATTCAAAATTTATTCTCATGGGCAAATTCATCAAATGCGGTACCACCCTAAACTAAACATTTTTCCTGTAAGAAAGCATAGAAAATTATTGTTAAACAATTTTCCATGAGCAACGAGGGTTAATAAAGTAACAACATAAATAAGCCATTCTATGGCGATAGTGGGGGTCCAATTCATAAAGGCTTACTAGAGGGCAGAGTCCGGATGTCACGGAGGTCGGGTCAGGACGTGACAGTCTGGTTGAACCCGCCAGAGCACGTGACCGGACGATGGGGCATGGGGGCCCCTAGAAGGGGGTGAGTGGGCCACGTGATGTGGACCCAGAGCCTTCGCGAAGGATCGAGATCTCAGCCGAGTCCCGAGAGGGAGCGTGGCTGTTCTCGTTCAACCACATAGAGATTCCGTTCAAGTGGTTAGGTGGTTAGGGATTATGGTCACCACCTCACGTCGTTAACCCGTAATGTACATAGTCGCTCGGAATGTACATAGTTAACCTTGGAACGTTGAGTTTTGTTGGTTGTGTTAGTAAATCAACGTGTTGCCTCCAAGTCTTAGTGTGTGCCTGATGAGAACCCACTACAATATCAATAGTGTATACAATTAATCTGAATCACGCTTTCTTTGTCTATTTGTCTCTTTCATGTCACCTTCATTGTCTGGTGCAGAGCCTCCTACCACTCCCAGTGAGTATCCGTTGTCTCACGCGTGTCTCACGGAGGTGGAAGTCTCCCTGCGTCTCTCTTACACGATGGATAGAAGAGGAAGCTGTCTCATCGCAATTGATTTTGACTTGAAGCGTGGGTTGGTGGAGTAGGAAGAAAATGCCAGTCAACCAATTTCCATGACGCAATGACCGTGTGTGTGTCTCTGCAGGTGTGTGCCAGAACAACCCTTGTGGCAATTGGGGTACCTGTGTGGATCAGCCATATTACTACCCCTACTACCGGTGCTACTGCATCCCACCCTGGTCAGGCAGCAACTGCGAAAATTACGGTGAGGTCGCCATTGTAGTTTGCACTTGTTTGTGTGTGCATCTACATTAGTCTATATTGCACTGTACACACGTAATGTATGCAGACGATGGTGGTAACTGGACACATTGGTGCATCTTCCCAATGTCGTTCTAAAATGTTGAGAACAAATCTTCTTGAGAAAACAATTGTGTTCGTAAAAATTCCCTCTTCTTCACCTCATTTTATTGTTCTATATTGTGCACAACTAATTACTGACCAAAAGCAGACAGCCTGAACTTGTAAGTTATAATGCCCTACGTTAGCATATTTATGTATTCCCGAACATCAATAAAGACCTACCAAAAACTGCAATAAAAAATGACTTGACATTTGGCACATCTGTGTTTGTGTTTTGTCTCCATCATGGCTGGACCTTTATCATCTGCCGTAGCCACTGAAACTACCACTGGTAAGTCCTTTTATTGGGGTTGTGCATCATCTAATTTCATCAAACAGATGATGTAGAGCTGGGTGGCATCAGCATAAAATTGATGCATGACATTAACAATGGAGATCATTTTAGCAAGAGGTTGGACATATGTTGATGAGAGTGGTTGTATTTAATGTTGGACCTTGCTCTGATGCACAATGGGCAGCTTCTGCAAACATTCTGTAAATTATTGGACTTCATTATGAATGCGTGGCTCATTGTGTGATCACAACATAGCTGTCGAAATTATACTAATACAGTAATTGATAAACAAAGTTAATTCTCATGGGCAAAATCATGAAACAGGGACCAACATAAACTAAACATGAGAATAGGTTTTTCCCTTTTTTCTGGCAACAAAACAGGTGTTTTAATGTTTAAACACCAAACTGAAACCTTTAACAAAGAATCATGTCTGCATTAACCATAATACTTGTGGTCAGAATGCAAACAAAAAACATACTCTGATAATATATGCATTGTCTTTGAAACTGATTGGTCCACACCAGAGACAGCTTTCTTTTCAGCCTAGTCTTAACGGTGTTAGACCAGAGGACGCCAAAAGGCATACAGCACAAAGACAAGCACTATCAGAGAAATGAGAGCTCGGGGTGAGCAACTACATCATGGGACCGCCTTTGCCAGTACCAAAATATGAGAATAGGTTTTCCCTTTTTTTCTGGCAACAAAACAAGTGTTAAGATGTTAAAACACCAAACTGAAACCTTTTACTAAACACTTTGCATAAACGTAAGTAGCAATTTTGCCTGTAAGAAAGCATATATATAATTGTTGAACAATTTGTTACGAGCATTGATGGTCAATAGCAATAGTGTATACAATTCATATGGATCACACTTTCTTTGTCTATTTTTCTTTTCATGTGACCTTCATTGTCTGGAGCAGAGCCTCCTACCACACCCAGTGAGTATCCGTTGTTTCACGCGTGTCTCACGGAGGTGGAAGTCTCTCTGCGTCTCTCTTACGCGATGGACAGAAGAGGAAGCTGTCTCATCGCGATTGATTTATACGTGAAGCGTGTGTTGGTGGAGTAGGAAAAAAATGGCAGTCAACCAATTTCCATGACGCAATGACCGTGTGTGTGTCTCTGCAGGTGTGTGCCAGAACAACCCTTGTGGCAATTGGGGTACCTGTGTGGATCAGCCAGACGACTATCCCTACTACCGGTGCGACTGCATCCCACCGTGGTATGGCAGCAACTGCGAATATTATGGTGAGGTCGCCATTGTAGTTTGCACTTGTTTGTGTGTGCATCTACATTTGTCTATATTGCACTGTACACACGTAATGTATGCAGACGATGGTGGTAACTGGACACATTGGTGCATCTTCCTAATGTCGTTCTAAAATGTTGACAAAAAATCTACTTGAGAAAACAATTGTGCTCATAAACATTCCCTCTTCTTCACTTCATTTTATTGTTCTATATTGTGCACAACTAATTACTGTCTAAATGCAGACAGCCTGAACTTGTAAGTTATAATGCCTTACGTTTGCATACATATTTATTCCCGAACATCAACAAAGACCTACTAGAAAATTGCAATTAAAAATGACTTGCCATTTGGCACATCTGTGTTTGTGTTTTGTCTCCATCATGGCTGGACCTTTATTATCTGCCGTAGCCACTGAAACTACCACTGGTAAGTCCTTTTATCGGGGTTTTGCATCATGTGATTCCATCAAACAGATGATGTAGAGCTGTGTGGCATCAGCATAACATTTATGCATAACATTAACAATGGAGATTATTTTAGCAAGTGGCAGGAGATATGTTTAGAAGAGTGGTTGTAGTTAATGTTGGACCCTGCTCTGATGCACAATGGGCAGCTTCTGCACACGTTCTGTAAATTATTGGACTTCATTATCAATGCGTGCATCATTGTGTGATCACAACATGGCTGTAGAAATGATACTAATACAGTAATTGATATACAAAGTTTATTCTCATGGGCAAATTCATCAAACGCGGTACCACCCTAAACTAAACACTTTGCATAAACTATAGTAGCAATTTTTTCTGTAAGAAAGCATAGCAAATTATTGTTAAACAATTTTCCATGAGCTACGAGGGTTAATAGAGTAACAACATAAATGAGCCGTTCTATGGTGATAGTGGGGGTCCAATTCATAAAGGCTTACTAGAGGGCAGAGTCCGGATGTCATGGAGGTCGGGTCAGGACGTGACAGTCTGGGTGAACCCGCCAGAGCACGTGACCGGACGAGGGGGCATGGGGGCCCCTAGGAGGGGGTGAGCGGGCCACGTGATGTGGACCCAGAGCCTCCGCGAAGGATCGAGAAGGAGGGCGTTGACCAGGGGCTCTGTCCCTGGTCACGCCACAGGAGATCTCAGCCAAGTCCCGAGATTGAGCGTGGCTGTTCAACCCGGGAAAGAAGTCGACTTCTTAGATACTCGCTCTTCGGTCGCCGCACACTACGACCCGACGACGTGTTGGCTGTTCTGGTTCAACCACATAGAGATTACGTTCAAGTGGTTAGGTGGTTATGGATGATGGTCACCACCTCACGTCGTTAACCCATAATGTACATAGTCGCTCGGAATGTACATAGTTAACCTTGGAACGTTGAGTAGTGTTGGTTGTTTTGGTAAATCAACGTGTTGCCTCCAAGTCTTGGTGTGTGCCTGATTAGAACCCACTACAATAGCAATAGTGTATACTATTCATATGGATCACGCTTTCTTTGTCTATTTGTCTCTTTCATGTGACCTTCATTGTCTGGTGCAGAGCCTCCTACCACTCCCAGTGAGTATCCGTTGTCTCACGCGTGTCTCACGGAGGTGGAAGTCTCCCTGCGTCTCTCTTACGCGATGGATAGAAGCGGAAGCTGTCTTATCGCGATTGATTTATACGTGAAGCGTGTGTTGGTGGAGTAGGTAGAAAATGCCAGTCAACCAATTTCCATGACGCAATGACCGTGTGTGTGTCTCTGTAGGTGTGTGCCAGAACAACCCTTGTGGAAATTGGGGTACCTGTGTGGATCAGCCATACAACTACCCCTACTACCGGTGCGACTGCATGCCACCGTGGTATGGCAGCAACTGCGAATCTTACGGTGAGGTCGCCATTGTAGTTTGCACTTGTTTGTGTGTGCATCTACATTTGTTCATATTGCACTGTACACACGTAATGGATGCAGACGATGGTGGTAACTAGACACATTGGTGCATCTTCCCAATGTCGTTCTAAAATGTTTAGAACAAATCTGCTTGAGAAAACAATTGTGCTCGTAAACATTCCCTCTTCTTCACCTCATTTTATTGTTCTATATTGTGCAACACTAATTACTGTCCACAAGCAGACTGCCTGAACTTATACATTATAATGCTTCATGTTTGCATGCATATTTATTCCCGAAAGCAACAATAGCACATCTGTGTTTGTGTTTTGTCTCCATCATGTCTGGACCTTCATCATCTGCCATAGCCACCACGACTACTGGTAAGTCCTTTATCGGGATTGTGCATCACGTTATTCCATCGAACAGATAATGTAGAGCTGTGTGTCATCAGCATAAGATTGATGCATGACATTAACAATGGAGATAATTTTAGCAAGAGGCAGGAGATATGTTGATATGTGGTTGTATTTAATGTTGTACCCTGCTCTGATGCACAAAGGGCAGCTTCTGCACACATTCTGTAAATTATTGGACTTCATTATCAATGCGTGCATCATTGTGTGATCACAACATGGCTGTAGAAATGATACTAATACAGTAATTGATATTCAAAATTTATTCTCATGGGCAAATTCATCAAATGCGGTACCACCCTAAACTAAACATTTTTCCTGTAAGAAAGCATAGATAATTATTGTTAAACAATTTTCCATGAGCAACGAGGGTTAATAGAGTAACAACATAAATAAGCCGTTCTATGGCGATAGTGGGGGTCCAATTCATAAAGGCTTACTAGAGGGCAGAGTCCGGATGTCACGGAGGTCGGGTCAGGACGTGACAGTCTGGGTGAACCCGCCAGAGCACGTGACCGGACGAGGGGGCATGGCGGCCCCTAGAAGGGGGTGAGTGGGCCACGTGATGTGGACCCAGAGCCTTCGTGAAGGATCAAGATCTCAGCCGAGTCCCGAGAGGGAGCGTGGCTGTTCTCGTTCAACCACATAGAGATTCCGTTCAAGTGGTTAGGTGGTTAGGGATGATGGTCACCACCTCACGTCGTTAACCCGTAATGTACATAGTCGCTCGGAATGTACATAGTTAACCTTGGTACGTTGAGTTTTGTTGGTTGTGTTAGTAAATCAACGTGTTGCCTCCAAGTCTTAGTGTGTGCCTGATGAGAACCCACTACAATATCAATAGTGTATACAATTAATCTGAATCACGCTTTCTTTGTCTATTTGTCTCTTTCATGTCACCTTCATTGTCTGGTGCAGAGCCTCCTACCACTCCCAGTGAGTATCTGTTGTCTCACGCGTGTCTCACGGAGGTGGAAGTCTCCCTGCGTCTCTCTTACGCGATGGATAGAAGAGGAAGCTGTCTTATCGCGATTGATTTATACGTGAAGCGTGTGTTGGTGGAGTAGGTAGAAAATGCCAGTCAACCAATTTCCATGACGCAATGACCGTGTGTGTGTCTCTGCAGGTGTGTGCCAGAACAACCCTTGTGGCAATTGGGGTACCTGTGTGGATCAGCCATACTACTACCCCTACTACCGGTGCTACTGCATCCCACCCTGGTCAGGCAGCAACTGCGAATATTACGGTGAGGTCGCCATTGTAGTTTGCACTTGTCTGTGTGTGCATCTACATTTGTCTATATTGCACTGTACATGCGTAATGTATGCAGACGATGGTGGTAACCGGACACATTGGTGCATCTTCCCAATGTCGTTCTAAAAATGTTTAGAACAAATCTACTTGAGAAAACAATTGTGCTTGTTAACATTCTCTCTTCTTCACCCCATTTTATTGTTCTGTATTGTGCACAACTAATTACTGACCAAAAGCAGACAGCCTTGAAATTGTAAGTTATAATGCCCCACGTTTAAATACATATTTATACCAGAACAGAAACAAAGACCTACTAAAATACTGTCATTAAAAAGTGACTTGCCATTTGGCACATCTGTGTTTGTGTTTTGTCTCCATCATGGCTGGACCGTTATCATCTGCCGTAGCCACCACGACTACTGGTAAGTCCTTTTATCGGAGTAGTGCATCACGTGATTCCATCGAACAGATGATGGAGAGCTGTGTGGTATCAGCATAAAATTGATGCATGACATTAACAATGGAGAAAATTTTAGCTCGAGGCAGCAGATATGTTGATGAGAGTGGTTGTATTTAATGTTGGACCCTGCTCTGATGCACAACAGGCAGCTTCTGTACACATTTTGTAAATTAGTGGACTTCATTAACAATGCGTGCATCATTGTGTGATCACAACATGGCCGTCAAAATAATGCTCACACAGTAATTGTTAAACAATGTAAATTTTCATGGGAAAATTTATCGAAGGTGATACTAACCTAAACTAAACACTTTGCACAAACGTAAGTAGCAATTTTCCCTGTAAGAAGCCATATTTATAATTATTGTTAAACAATTTGCTATGAGCTTTGAGGATCAATGGCAATAGTGTATACAATTAATGTGGATCACGCTTTCTTTGTCTATTTGTCTCTTTCATGTGACCTTCATTGTCTCGAGCAGAGCCTCCTACCACTCCCAGTGAGTATCCGTTGTCTCACACGTGTCTCACGGCGGTGGAAGTCTCCCTGCGTCTCTCTTAAGCGATGGACAGAAGTGGAAGCTGTCTTATCGCGATTGATTTTGACGTGAAGCGTGTGTTGGTGGAGTAGGTAGAAAATGCCAGTCAACCAATTTCCATGACGCAATGACCGTGTGTGTGTCTCTGTAGGTGTGTGCCAGAACAACCCTTGTGGAAATTGGGGTACCTGTGTGGATCAGCCATACGACTACCCCTACTACCGGTGCTACTGCATCCCACCCTGGTCAGGCAGCAACTGCGAATCTTACGGTGAGGTCGCCATTGTAGTTTGCACTTGTTTGTGTGTGCATCTACATTTGTTCATATTGCACTGTACACACGTAATGGATGCAGACGATGGTGGTAACTAGACACGTTGGTGCATCTTCCCAATGTCGTTCTAAAATGTTTAGAACAAATCTACTTGAGAAAACAATTGTGCTCGTAAACATTCCCTCTTCTTCAGCTCATTTTATTGTTCTATATTGTGCAACACTAATTACTGTCCAAAAGCAGACTGCCTGAACTTATACATTATAATGCTTCACGTTTGCATACATATTTATACCCGAAAGCAACAATAACACATCTGTGTTTGTGTTTTGTCTCCATCATGTCTGGACCTTTATCATCTGCTGTAGTCACCACGACTACTGGTAAGTCCTTTTATCGGGATTGTGCATCACGTGATTACATCGAACAGATGATGTAGAGCTGTGTGGCATCAGCATAAAATTGATGCATGACATTAACAATGGAGATAATTTTAGCAAGAGGCAGCAGATATGTTGACAAGAGGGATTGTATTTAATGTTGTACTCTGCTCTGATGCACAAACGGCAGCTTCTGCACGCATCCTGTAAATTAGTGGACTTCATTAACAATGGGTGCATCATAGTGTGATGACATGGCCGTCGAAATAATGCCCACAGTAATTGTTAAACAATGCAAATTCTCATGGGAAAATTAATCAAAAGTGATATGAACCTAAACTAAACACTATTCATAAAAGTAAAGTAGCAATTTTCCCTGTAAGACAGCATATATACATACATTTTTGTACTTAAAACTTTCGTGACTGCAGGAATTTATATTATTCGGTTATTTCGGTAAAGTCAAGTAGATGGAAAAATAATAATAAAAAGTGAATCAAAATAAAACACTAATGTAGACTGTAGCCTGGTTCTAAACGGAGTGAGTGTATTGGCAGTCTATAATATAGACTATAGCCTGGGTTTTACCTTGGTTAGCGTAATGTCAGTCTATAATATAGACTGTAGCTTGGTTTTGAACCTTGGTGTGTGCCTGATTAGAACCCACTACAATAGCAATAGTGTATACTATTCATATGGATCACGCTTTCTTTGTCTATTTGTCTCTTTCATGTGACCTTCATTGTCTGGAGCAGAGCCTCCTACCACTCCCAGTGAGTATCCGTTGTCTCACGCGTGTCTCACGGAGGTGGAAGTCTCCCTGCGTCTCTCTCACGCGATGGACAGAGGAGGAAGCTGTCTCATCGCGTTTGATTTTGACGTGAAGCGTGTGTGGGTGGAGTAGGAAGAAAATGGCAGGCAACCAATTTCCACGACAATTTTTCCTCATTAATAACTTATATTGCTCTGAGCAAATGAGGGTCAACAGCAATAGTGTATGCAATTCATGTGGATCACAGTTTCTTCGTCTGTTTGTCTCTTTCATATCTCCTTCATTGTCTGGATCAGTGCCTCCTACTACCACAAACGGTGAGTATCCGGTGTCTCACGGCAGTTGAAGTCTCCCCTCGTCTCCCTGACACGACGTACAAAGGAAAAAGCCGCCTCGTCACAGTTGTTTGGCAAAAGTAACCGATGGAGTCAGGGTGGACACACGATTAAGTTTGTATGACAATGACCGGGTGTGCGCGCCTCTGCAGGTGCGTGTCTATCATCCCCGTGCCTGAACGGTGGTATCTGTGAGGATCCGTGGTACTACCCCGACTACCTGTGCCACTGCAGCCCAGAATGGTCAGGCCGGAACTGTGAATATTACGGTGAGGGCACGCCGTTTGTAGTTCCATTTGTTTGCGCGTGCACCCACATTTGTCTGTATCGCACTCGGCACACGCATGCAGAAAAGGATGGCGACTGGAAAAATGAGTGCGTCTTCCCGATATCGTCGCAAAATCTTTCGAACAAATGTTCTTCGGAAAACAATTGTGGTCATAAACACGCGCCCACCCCTTGCACGTCCACTTCTTCAATGCACATGCTGCTGTCTAAAATCACGCAGCCCCGTCCGTTCGTAAGTTGTACCGTATTGCACCATGTTTTGGCACAGCAACAATGACTTACTTAAAAATTGAATATTAAATATGACTCGCCATTTGGCACACCTGTTTGTGTTTTCTGCATGTCTGGGCCTTTGTCATCCGCAGTAGGTGGAATGACTACTACTACCGGTAAGTCCTCTCTCATCGGTGTTGCGTGCATCACGTTATTCCACTGAGCAGACTGGGCAGTGCGGTTGACAATGTAGAGCTGTGTGGCATCGGCATCAAATTTATCCTCGACATTAAAACGGGGCATGACTTAGCCAAGAGGCAGGAGATGTCTTGATAACAGTGGTTTTATATTTAATGTTGGCCGCTGCTCTGATGCACAATGGGCAGCTTCTGCACACATTCTGTACATTAGTGGACTTCATTAACAATCTGCACCAGGATTGCGGTGATACTACACATTTATAAAGTGAATTCTACTGGGCAAATGTATCATCTGTGGCATCAACCTAAATTAAAACACTATAATAGATGTGTAACATTTACTGTTCCCTGCAATAAAGCATGTTTTTACAATTTCCAATGAGCGATGAGGGTCAATATCAAAAGTGTAAACAATTCATAAAGATCACTGTGCCTTTGTCTATTTGTCTCTTTCATATCACCTTGTCTGGGTCAGAGCATCCTATTACCACTGCCGGTGAGTATCCCTTGTCTCACGCGTACCTCACGGCCGTGGAAGTCTCCCTGCGTCTCTCTTACGCGATGGATAGAAGCGGAAGCTGTCTCATCGCGATTGATTTTGACGTGAAGAATGTGTTGGTGGAGTAGGAAGAAAATGGCAGTCAACCAATTTCCTTGACGCAATGACCGTGTGTGTGTCTCTGCAGGGGTTTGCCAGTGCAATCCGTGCTACAATGGGGGTACCTGTGTGGATCAGCAATACTACTACCCCTACTACCGCTGCTATTGCATGCCAGGGACATCGGGTGCCAGATGTGAATATGCCGGTGAGGGTGACCTTTAACTTCCGGCACGGTTGTGTGCACGGTGCACATATTCAGATGCTTGTGTCTCTCCACTCAAGAAGCACAAAGTGGTAATTTTCTATGTTGGTGGCGTTTTGAGTGATGAAACTCTGCAGGACAACATTACATACATGGGCATGCAATACATTCATCGTGTGTGGGAAAACCTCAACTATTCGCACAGTTGATGGCGACAGGTGCCCCTAAAGTAGTAAATAATGCATGTTTACAAGTGGGCAGGCGTGCGCGTGTACCCGTGGACGGGAAACGGCAGCGAACACAGGCGCGCGGCGACTCACGGCGGTGAATATTTCTGCAGCGGGGTGCTGGTTAAGACCATGCCACAACGGCGGGACGTGCGTGGATCTAGGGTTCCCCAACTATCAGTGCATCTGCAACTCGCGTTGGTCGGGCCTCGACTGTGAAAATCCCGGTAAGAGAGCCACTCTGCACCTCCGATTAGCACTTGGCTACATGCGGTGCGACAACATACGTACGTACATGTGCGTTTTGACAAATGTCGATTGCTCACGTGTATTTCTATCATAGTGTGTAAAATGGGTATCATGGATAAAAACTGACTACTTTTCATTTTACCAGCTAAGGCCCACCTAGCTGTTATAGTTCTTTTTCCCGAAGCGACCTGCCCATAACTAATGATAGCTCTACGAAGTGGCTTATCAGGTGGAAATTTATAACAGCCTTATACGCAAAACGCATGATGTTGATTCTTAATGTGGAGCGAAAAACTCTAGGATACGAAGAAAAATCCACGCGAGCACAGGGAGAGAGAGACAAGCAAACTCCAAATATATAAGCGCCTGGGTCAGGATCGAACCCACGACCTCTTGTATACCAGGCCAGGTAGTTAACATCTTGCCACGGTGGCGAGATGTTAGTGTCAAGAAACGCGAACGGTGGTGCTGTGTTAGAGCGTTGTTACGCTCTAACACTGCTCACCCCGAGCTATAAATGCTCTGATACGTGCATTGGCTTTGTGCTGTTCGCCTTTTGGCGTTGTTCTCTGGTCTGACACTGATAGTGAGACTCGGCCATAAAGAAGGCTGTCTCTGGTGTAGAGCATGTTTTGTTTGCATGTTCACCACAAGTACGTGTGGTTAATGCAGTCTTGATTTCTTGCAAAATGAATCAATTTGGTGTTTGAACATCTTAACACCTGTTTTATTTCCAAAAAGGGTAAAACCTATTCTTATTTTTGAACAGAGATCAAGCTTGCACACTATTCATCCGGCTGTGCCAAAGTGAGGGTTGTGAAAGTGTGGGGAACCAGAACCAATTCCAATATCATTCACCACTGGTGGTAGCCATGGCCAGGAGTCGTTGCCATCGGCACTGTACATCACTGTGTTTCACACATTTAGACCAAATAGTGCGTACGCAAAACACACGCGCTATTTTTTCCCATCAATAAATTACATAACATGTGACTGCAACTATATCAACAACAGCAGCAGCAGCCAATCTTAAGACCGTGAGTTTACAACCCATCAGGGTCAATGCAGTAGACCCTTGTTAATTCGACACAGTTGGGGCTCTGGCCTTGCCGAATTATCCAATATTCCGAGTTATGTACAATGGTACTCCCCACTGCTTCCTGCGCCCCAATAAAAACAAAATTTCAAATTTGTTTTCCAAACTCTTCACACACCATACGCATTGACACACAGCCTGCATCAATCTATCCACAGCTTTGGATTTGTCTCGCAGACTCAGGGATTTATGCATCGGTCCCGTTCTATTACTTCTTGATGTAGGTGTAGACGACATTCCTGAGTGGGTTGGCTTGCCCAGAGTGCACATGAACAAGGTGAACGCTCACCACGCGCGTCGCCACCGGACCGAGCCGTTGTTTTGGTCGTGGCGCGCGGCGTCGCTCCACGTGCGTGCCGAAATTGGCCCATTCGGTACGGCAATTCGGCTCATGGCGAATTACTAATACACCATATATATGCAGCCGTACCAAATTATCCCCAATTACGAATCATCTAATCCCAAAATAACGAGGTTTACTGTATGTTGAGCATCCCGATGCGTAGACCACCACTTAGCTGGCACTGCGGTTCAACGGCAGCGGCCCTACGGTGGGCCTCTGGTGTCTACCTGAAACGTGGATCCCCATCGCCGGCTCAGAGACCACCGACGGACGAGCACCCCGCAGTGCTCGTCTGGTTACGTGAACACCAATTTGTTTACAAAAGGTTTATTTTATTTTTCTGGATTTGATCACGTAAAATATGTCGGGGAGGTGGCGCGTTTAACGACAGATTTATAATAGATCGCGTGAATATAAATGTGTTAAACCGCCACCACCCATGTCAGGTGGTGGTGGGTTTAACGGCACATTTACTTATACGCGCTCTAACCCTCCCAAAAAAACCTTTATTATGGATATTATTGCTCGCCTGAGCCTGCTACTGCATGTTAAACTGACGGCTGGCACCGTAATAACAAATACGCCACAAAAACGTTACAATCTCGTGCACGCCTACACGTTCACCCGTTCACAGTTCGGGAAGTGGAGCTGATGAACTGCACGTCGCGCTACATGGAGCTGCAGATCCCGCTGAGCGAACTGAGCGAGCTCGGCCTCTCGTCGTCCGACGTCCACCTGGAGGACCCCTCGTGCCGTGGCTCCATCTCGGGGCAGTACCTGGTCCTGCACACCGACCTGCACGGCTGTGGCTCCACGCTGGAGGTACGTGTGTTCGATACAACGTGTGACACTTTGTATCCGTGCAGAGCCCGCGTAATAGAGTATTCCCTCGTTTTTCCCGCACTTGCTCATCCGCGATTTTTGGCTGTCCCCGAATCGCATTTTGAACTCTACACGACTGCATTGAGAGCGAGAAAGAGATATAAAGTGACGAGAGAGAACGCGATGGGAGAAAGTGATGAGATAAAGTGATGATGCGTATTGCCTCGCTGCAAAGCACCGTCATGTGGTTACTGCCACTTGGTGGTGATTTGCGTTCCACGTACACGACATGCAAGGCATCAGAAGAGAACACGCTCTCAAATCTGCGCTTTGTATGTATGTTGAACTTCTTTCGCGCCGTACGTAGCCAACCGTGCTAATCGGAGGCGCTCTCTCTCTCTCTGTCTATCTCTCCACAGACACACGACGACAACATCGTGTACTCGAACACGGCCTACGGCTTCGTGGCTGGAACCAGAGCCAAGAAGCTGCGCATCCCCATGCACTGTTACCTGGGCGCAGAGGGAAGGGTCATAGCGAGCTTCGCTCCCAGGTAATAACAGCAGCAGCAGCAGCAGCAGCCACTCACCAATATATCGAACGTCTCATTTTATATTCGAGATAAATAACCGACAGGCCGAGCAGATTTTTAAAAATGTTTAAATATATTTCAGAAGAGTCCTGGTACGGAGCACAAACCGCGACGTAGCGGGTTGGGGAGTGGTGCAGAAATCCCTTGGACAGAAGTCCCAAATTCTCTCCTCCTGAGTTCACAGGAGGGGGTAGACTTGGCTCGCTGCTGCCCCACCGAGTGGGGACCGCGAGCGGGGTGTGTGTGTACTTTAATGTGGGCATTAAAGTACACCCAAGAAATGGAGTAGAAGGAGTGGGGAGAAGAAGGGGGAGGGGAAGGCTGAGCAGATATTATTAGCGTCAATTGCAAATGCTAATGTGTTTGTCGGTGGCTACGATTCTTTGTCAACAAAATGCGACGCACGCAACGGAAGCTAACTGCACACTTTTGTTTTGTTATGGTGCGATTTCCAAAAATAATCAGACCTTGGTGTGTTTTAAAAACATTCATTCACACCCCGATAGAACTGAATTAGTTTCTAAGTTTCTCGTTTGAAAAATGGTACCATGTGACCCGTAACCTGAATCACACTTTAGATAAGTATGACAGCATTACGCGTGCAAGCGGACCGCAGCAGAAGAGATGGAACAATTGAGATAAGGTTACGTGGAGTGCCGGATGGCGAGGGTTGGCGAAGGCGTAGTGATGCCCTCATCCAGCAGTATGTAGACAAAGACTGATGATGATGATAACAATAACAGCATTCCACATTTCTATGGAAACAGCCAGTTAGTGTGGTGCGCATTTGCGGCAAAAGAGGTCAATATACGTCCATAGTGGTGGAAAATCGGTGTCCTTGTAAACAAGATATGGTCACTGATCCATGCGGGTGTCTGTGCGCCCCCCGTCTCGCTGCAGGGTGTACGACAAGTACAGCTCGGGCACCTTCGACCTGAGCATCGCGATCTACACCAGCCAGGCCTTCAGCCAGGCCGTCCGCGCGTACCCATTCGAGGTGGACCTCGGAGCCCCGATCTACGCAGAGGTTGGAGAGACGAGCTTGCGTTGCGCCCACCACTCACGGTCACACGGCAGCGTGACAAGAGGCACTGTCCACGGCTGCCATCACGTGGTTGCTGGATATGGTTGTTGGATCGGTCGCGTGGGCCGGTGAAAGCCAAGGGCTCAACCGAAGTCGTCACAGCTACGCTAACGGCGTGCCGACTGTGCGCTTGGCTGACTCCCAAGTGGCCGGGTCACCCAATGACCACTTTCACTTCTACCCAACGATCACGCATTCCTCTTGTTTCACCAGGTGCTGCTCAACTCCTACGATAACAGCCTGCAGCTCCTGCTGGAGACGTGCAAGGCTTCCCCGAATCCAGGCACCGCCGACAGCGAGTCCTACGTCATAATTAGAGATGGGTGAGAGAAGAAATAAAACGACTGCCACTTTTTCTGTGTGCATGTGACACCACCGTACTGTGAGCATCATGCACACAGACTCGAGAGAATCAAAATTGTGGCCATATTTTTAGACAGCAACAGACAACAGGGGACATCTTCTTCTCATGGCTGATGTTGATGTAAGGGGGAGACAACTGCAACTTTACATTGAGGTGGTCGAGTCAGATGATTGCGTCAGGAGTAGCGGAGTAGCGTTTCATCGCCGTGAAGATGCCTCCTTCATATTTGTGAATTGGACATTCAGACGTTATATATTCCATTGACCGTTCTGGGTGACCACAGTCGCACACAGCGGAGAGTTTTGCATTTTCCATGAGAGAACTGTACAACGGTCTCATTCTTGATAGAGGTCATCAGTGCAGCATAGCCATCACCATTTCCTGCTTTCTTGCACCTCAGGGGCTTTATTGATCACTTTGTGGCACAGATTGTCACTGCCTAAGGGTGACGATCAACCAATTCTAACGCTTCACACGGAGGCAAATTGGCAGGCTTGGAAAGCTCGGTGGAAGACAGTCCTCCCATTGCTGTTTGGCTTAAGAAAGGGGTGGCAGGAAATCACACGTCAAAAATGTGGATGTGTGTTATGCGTTGTGTTCACGCCGAGCTCACGTGTGCTCATTGGCTCTTCTTTCGCTGGCGACGGCAGGTGCCAGGTGGATCCTTCCTACACCACCTACTCCAGCGGCGACGAGAAGAGGCAGCACTTCAGCTTCCAGAGCGTGGAGTTCTTCAGCGGATCCCAGGTAAGCTCTTCCGAGGCCTCCCTTTAGCCGATTCAGGATCATTCCAATACACTCGGGGCTTCTGCAGAATGAGAACATGTTAAAAGCGCCCCGTATGATTTGATGTTGGTCTGCAGATGCATCTACACGCGTGCGTGGGATTTCCTAAACATTGTGAACATGAATGGGATGCTTGTGAAGTGCAGACCGACATTTTCCAGAATCTTTCACCGGAATATTGCAGAGTCGAATGAACTCTTCTTTCAATTAATTTTAGTCACGGTCACATTTATTTGTGTTGGGGTATTTGATCGTAAGTTCGGGATGCTATCCACCTCTCCTAAGTCTGTGGCTCATGTACCCTTAGCCTCTCTTGTCTTTTACCCTCTGTCCTTTACACCCCTTCTTATTTAACCACAACGTCTTATCTAAGTAAGAATAATCCCCGCTTCGTGCAGGTTCATCAAGTCGATGGGGTTTAATCACTCAGTCGGTGAAGTCAGAACCCAAAAGGGCATGTACCGGAGGCCAGTCAGATATCAATCACCCTAAGGACTTCGGATGACTACGACACAGGCCTGGTGATTTAAATATCTAACATATAACCCAGGAACGCATACCTGTTCACCAATACGGTTGACCCGTATTCTTGTACAGGGAAATTGAGTTTCAGGTCCATGTGGCGTACAGTCGTCTATTGTTTGTGTCTCTCCCTTGTGATGATGGGACTTTGTAGGATGAACGTTGAGATGTATAAGGGGCACGGGGTGACCAATAAGGTCTGAATTGGTCTGTAATACGGAAGGCACTGATGAGGGGTTGACAGGTATGGGAACGTCTCAATCATTTCCAGAGTGAAACCCTGCTGGGATATTGGGTCTTTGTAAACATTTACATTCCTCAAAATAAATATTGACTGCGATATTAATTGAATTCGTGCAATGCATCTAATCGTGGAAGGGTTAGTCACCACATCGCGATATCCCACGCCAACATCTCCGTGTTGATACCATTCCACGTTCACCACTATCCCTGGGCAGGTGTACCTGGAGTGCAACGTGCGCGTGTGCAACATCTCGGACGTGAGCTCGCGCTGCCGGCGAGGGTGCGTGCGGTCCAAGCGCTCCGTGCGTGACCTCGTCGGCCCGGAGAATCGCGCCGAGCACAAAGTGGACCTCTCCCAGGGCCCCGTGCTGCTCCGCAAGACGCGCCAGGGTGAGCTCCTCCTTACCGGTCGGCTACCATCTGCGTAAATGTGTGTGTATGTTGAACTTCTTTTGTGCTGTACGTAGCCAACCGAGCATAGCTCCAGTGGCTTCCTAATATCGGAAGGAAGAGCGTTCCAGACGGCCGCAGAAGCGCATCTGAAAGCGCGCGATGCGGTGACCGTCTTTTTTCGATGGCTTAGCCAAAAGTCGCTGCGAGGGTGACTGGAGTTCGTGTGATGGTTTATGCTCCTTGATGAGATTAGCAAGGTATTGTGGTTCATTTGTGGCAAGCACTTTGTGTGTAATGTTCGTATCCATTATATACCGGCCAATAAACCTGCTATGCTAGAACCAAACAAATACCATTTATAATTATTGATTTGAAGCTTTCGTGACTTTACCGAAAGAACCAAAGAACATTTAGAATTGTCTGCTTTTTTTTTGGTCAGATACCAGGCATAGCCACCCTGTGCTACTTTGTTCTAATTACATTTAATAGCTTGGAAATGCACCGGATCGCTTGTGACCTTTTAACCTTTGGTCCCCGCAGTCTCCGGCTTGAGCAGTTCGGCGCTGGGGTTGGTGTACGCGCTGGCCGCTGCTCTGACCGTCACTGCCGTCTGCGTGGCTGTGGTGAAACTCTACGGTATCCGCTCCAGAGCCACTCAGTACGAACTCATCGTACCGATCGATGACTGAGTGGGACATGCACGGATCCGGACAAAGAGTCGCCGCTCTCCGTTGGCCCATAGAGGGGCGTTCGTTTATTTTCATTCTCCAAACCTTACTCCAATATCAATGTTATAATCCCAATCTCGATCCGGGAGAATCTCGCCGAGTCTAGAACGTGATTTCACAGGGAGGGTTTCAGACCAATGAGATCTTCATAAGTTGTGTTGCTCAGGGGAAACCAGGGTTTTGATGAACGCACATGCATCCCGAGAAGAATATTCACACTCTACGCGGATCGCTAATCAAAAGCAGGGCTGTACTGCCCCCGCCCCCGTGGATATCACTTTGGTGGGCTCTCAACTCAATATCCTTGAGCCTCATGGCTGTGTAATCAAGTTGAACTCTTAAGCCACTTAATCACGGTAGCGAGTTACATCTAATCAATAAACATCGATTTAAAATTAATTATCTACAGTGTACTTTTAGCTATAGGTGTCTACAGACGAGTAGAAGTGTAGTGGCAGTAAAAAAAAAAACCTGACAGCCCTTTAGCACCCATCCATCACTGCATCAACCGTGGACGTTGCTTGTCCATATTTTACCATGCTAATGTTACCATGCTAATGTTACCGAGCTAATGTTACCATGCTAATGTTACCATGCTAATGTTACCATGCTAACGTTACCATGCTAATGTTACCATGCTAATGTTACCATACTAATGTTACCCACGGCCTAGAATTACATTCAGGTTGCTTGGCTCGGAGCTCAATTAGCCAACCACTCCACCACTGCTTGCCCCCACATGTGTCGATGCAGGTAAACGCATTATTGTTATCACCTGTAACTCTTGTATCACGATTCATATATTTTTGTGTGAAAATAAAATGATTTTAAAATAAAATGCGTTCCCATTGCGTCATTCGTCTTAATGGTATATACTGTACATGTAAAATCAGTGATAACGTGAAATTACCACATTACAAGGCTTAAGAAGAAAACTGCGGATGGAAAATGAATCTGGCCCTACGCGCACCGTGACCTCAGCATGTGGCAAAGCGACGATGGGAGCCCGCACCCTCGAGCCGTGGCTGAACGGCACCACGCGCCTGGAACGCTCCTTTGCACCACACCTCCGATTAGCACGGCGGGCTACGTACGGCGCGAATGAAGTTCAACGCACGCGCGTGGCACCGCCACCTCCCCACCCGCATCCGAGCCATTACCGACACTCGCAAACCTAACTCACAATGCCTCGCTTTTTCTATAGATGCACGCGTCGCTACATTTCATTCTTCGCTGGAACGCACTACATGCCACGTGCTTTATTTGTGTCCAAGTTGTATGTTCAGTGCCCTGGTCACGGCTCGGCATGTTAAGGCGCGACAGAACCTGCTATTCTGTGCCCGTATTGGCACGTGTGCCACTATTATATATATTTATAAGATTGAGTTTCTTCCCCAACCCCCACAGGGAGACACCTTCCTTTAGGTTTAGGGAAACGAATGCCAGAATAAAAGTCTCTGTGCAGTGTGGGTTGTTTGCTGGCCACGTTGATTCAAGCAAAGCGCCACCAGTCCAGGCATCGCTTGTTCTGAAATTACGATGCACTCCCAGAGAAGGCCGTGGGGCCAATGGGTGGTGAACTTTTTTTCAAATGTAATATATTACGGAGGGATGGGGGCCATCCATAAATGACGTCACGCACCTAGGGGTCAGGGGGGTCAGACATTTGTGACGATGTGTGACGAGGGGGGGGGGGGGGGTTGAGAAATGTGACGTCACATCAAAATGCGCAACTTTAAATGAATATAGACAACACGTTCTACTTAATTAAATAGACTTTAACATCAGAGTGCAGCGCCACATTAAATACGCACTACAATGACAATAGTTTGCTACCTATTTTGCAACTTTATTCGTATTATTCTAATGTAGACATCTTACGCAGACGTAGACGGCGGTGTGTTTCGGAGCAGTGGCAGAGTGGGCTGCAGGTCACGCCGAGAACTCCGCCAACCCGAGTTGAGTTCGTGGCGCGTGATGCGTGCGGACGGTCGAACTCATGTGGCACCAGTACGTGGCCAACCGTGCGAATCTGAACCAGTCCTGACCACCCCGACCGCTTTCACGAACCCGCTCAGGCGAGCACGGCGGCATGGCCAAGTCCTCCTCGCGCAGCAGTGGAGATTGACAAAGAGGGCGCACGCATGTGTTGCTGAACCCGTGACGCTGCTTCCCATTCTGCATTGCGCTGTCCAGCTGTACGCAAGCCAGTTTGATGTAGATAGGGCTGCCCTCTCTTCTTACTCGGCGATGCGGCAATGAGTCTGATATGCCAGCCAGCCACGACTAGTCGAGTACAGAAAAGGGTCTGCAGCTGGCATGCTGTTCTTTGGAAACACCTCGTAAGCAGTATTTCTTATCATGCCCCTGAATGCATGCCGATACGGTATTTAGATCGCGATGGAAGATAAGTACACGTGTATGTTTACCAATATAAGTTGGTAGATGCGAGCTGTTTAGCCAAACTAAGCCATAAGATTACCTTACAACTTGTTGACGTTATCCAAATGAACTGAGCATTTTAAAATGTCGCCGCAAAAGATGCCTTGTATTTCTATTCACTTATTGAATGTTTGGTAATTTTCTCTCAATTCTATTCTGATCGTGCCATCGGCATCACGTCACGTGATGACGTTCCCACGCGGATCCCTTGCAGGGCAGTGCGACCCTCGGGTTTGAGAACGGCCCACGGAAGCAGAGCCTACAGAGCCACCTCCGAGGAGATTTCTTCCACTGACCTCTGGGCCACAACACGAGTAGCTGGAAGCACTGTCCCCACCCACTCGGCACGAAACCGAAGGTTCGGATGCATGGCAGCCAAACCAATAACTTCCTTCTCAGAGGTGGAATTGAATCCAAGTAAGGGTAGAACCTCGTTTAACGCGAGGACTTTTTGTCCGTGAGCACACCGCCATCAACTTGCCGCGTTGCAGAATGCAGTCAAATTCCAGGCGGCTGCCTGGATTTGATTCGAACTCAGGTGCTCAGAGGTGCCAGCTCAGTGCACTGATCTCTGAACCACTCGGCCACCTCGTGACTGCATTTGAGTTGTTAATCTGGCCATCGACTTGCACTTAGATGACACACAGTTCCAGGGAGAAGTTGACTTTCGAATGAATGCCCCGGGTGGTTTGGCGTGCAGGCTACGATATTTACTATTTATGTAAATGAATATGAAAAAGGGCACACGAGGACTGGAAATGCCAGACAATTTGAGTTCCTGTAAGATCTGACGTGAACCAAACACCTTATCACAAAGCTTTGAACCCTCAAACCTTAGTCCCCCTCCCACCAGAGCCGCCACAAACGATCTCCCTTCAACCACGGCACAAATCTGCGACCTCCACCTCTCACCCTGACGCTCGTCAAACGCCGAGAAGACGACGGCGTGTGGGGTGCGTCCGAGTCCGAGAGGCAAAACGAAACAACGGAGTAAGAGACGGAACGGGCGGCAGGCTGCCCGGCTCCTTCTCTCGCCATGCCACTCGCGTTCTGCCCGCTGCTGATGGTCGCGGTCGCGTCTTTCGTCTCACAAGGCGCTGCTCGTAAGTTTGAAACTCACGGAGGCTCTCAATTTCATGTTGCCGACTAGGCGACCGATTGTTGATAGACACTGGGGGGGGAGGGGTTTGAGGGCGCCGCCAGCAAAGTGGGCCTCGTTGAGAAATAATGCGGCGTTCGTAACAGTCATTTTTAAAAAGTGATAGTCACACGTGCACTCGTCATAATGATAATCGTGAAACGTCTATTTTGCGATGGAAACGTGGACAAACATCTAAAACGAAATCGGTAGAAGTGAATTCAACGTGCAACCCCCTCCCCCCCCATTGATTTATAGTGCGTTGATTACACATCAACAAACATCGATCACACATCAACAAACAACAAATCGCTGTTCATGGCAGAGGCGGGTGTCATCAGGGTAGCAACGGTGGCCACTGCCGAACTGGATGGAGATGATTTGGCCAAGTGGAAGGAGACGTTGTGAGGAGAGCGGATGACAAAGGATGAGCCTTGTGGTACACCACAAAGCAACGTTCCCCAGGAGAAGGTGGTGGCCTTTGTATTGAAGCACCGAGGAGCGTTTGAGACGGGACAGACATTTCCAAGGTTGATGGGGCTCGTCGTGAGTTTTGTTCGGACTCCAGTGACCGCGGTCGTTTGTACGTTGAACTTCTTTCGCACCGTGCGTAGCCAACCGCGCTAATCGGAGGTGCACGAGGGAAGGACAACAGACTAAAGGCAGAACAAGCAGTTCTCAAGAAATTAGTTTGAAAATTCGGCCACCCTAATGACGACTCAGCCATCACTGACACAACTTATGACAGTCCCCCAACAAACTTGGGGATGCCTCGTCCATTCCCAAACGATCCTTTGCTGTAATAGTACCGGAGGTACCAATGGCAGTGACTTCGACACAGCTGGTCATGTCTTGGTGCTTTGGGAGGCTAGACTCTGCTGGGTAGAGGATGGAGTAGAAAATAAAACGTGTTTTGAACGGTAATCACGAAGAACACCGTCTCTGTTTGCGTGTCTGTTCTGACTGTGTCGCCTTCAGTCGAGCCATCGGCTCCACGAGTGCGTTCACTGCAACGTTGTTGGTGCGAGTGGCTTCTCAACTGAGCTCTGTATGGCAGTGAGCGTGCATTGTGCTATCGAACGTTCGTCTTTATACCCCCCCCCCCCTCCTGCTTGACCATCTCATTTCATAGTTCACGACCTTTGGACGTGTGTGAAGAAAGAGCGCCAGAGCTCAATCGGATTACTCCGGGCATAGAGATTCTGATTTTTAAACCGGTTTGTTTTTTACCGGTTAATAGTTCTGTGGGGGCCGTTGGCCCCCGGGGTCCCTCCCGCCTGCATCCCCTATTCCGTTTACGTTACCCCACCTCCCTATTACCCGCTACGGTTTCGCCGGCATTCGAATGCGACGCCCCTACTGTTACAGCCTCGCGCCGCGCTCCCACGCTGCGAGCATACGTGCGCACATCATCGTCAATCAAACGCCGTGCTCGCAGTATAGCCCTGTGCGGCACGTTACCAATGCGCATCCGTATCCGACATGTAACGAACGTATGCACACACACACACACGCCGCTCCGTGCACTCCAACTCCACACCAACTACGCAAGTTATGATCGCGCACCTGTATCACACACGGAGTGAACACACGCGACACCCACTCTTGCGCCGCTCTGCGCAGCGCTCGCCGTCTGCTGGCCGCTTGCGTTATGATCGCGCACCTGGGGTACGCCTATTACGCACGCCGCGAGCTTACGCACACACAGTACCACACGCGTTCCCACACGCAACCCGCGCGCTCAGCTCCGCGCAGCGCTCACTCACGTGGCGAACCACGGTGCACACAGCGCACCCACACGCTCACACCGCACGACAAGATCACGCGAGACCACGCTTCGCTATTAATGATTTATTATATGCTACCTGCGAATTGATGTGTAATCAGTGAGTCGACGAGGCTGGCCTATTCCACTAAACCTGTACCTATTCCCTATTTATCGGCTTACGATACCCTACTTCACCTCCCCACTCACTGTTTGGTGCCCGCGGAGGTTCGCTGCTCTCTGCGCTAACAGCGTACCTCGATGCGTCGCACGGACGTCCGGGTCGCTGGCTGGAAGTCCTGCTGGTCCGCTGGCCTGGAGAGAAGGGAGCTATTTTCCCTCTGCGCCCCTCTATTTATCCTCCCTACCTCCAAAGGGGATGCTGCGCTGAACAATGGGCTCGTGCACCCCAAGCCCGCGCACGGCAGTCCCCAGGCGCTGTTGATATGCTAATCAGTGTGCTGCGTGCAAGGCGTAAATCCTAATTAATC